TGGATGTGAGCATGGATGGCTGTATCTGTCTCCAATTGGCATCATCTGATCATACGACTGATAACGGAAAGCCAAGTGCGTGGTGTAGCCTTGTACGCAGGCGCGGAGATTGCATCCCTTCCCGATGAGGATACGAGAGACGAAGGCGCTCGGAAGGATCACTCGAGTAGAACGCCTCCAGGACCAATCAAATGATTCGTAAACATGCAGAAGCATACTTGATTTCATTGTCGCCCTTGAGTCTTGATGTTGATGATGATGTTGTTGTTGTCGCCGCCGCAATCATATCCCCATTCCGTGCCTTTTCCTGGGGAAGCGCCAGCGCTTCCCGTTCAGCCTCGCCGCATACCCCTCCGCTCTACGGACCGTGACTGCCACATTATTATTACATTCACCTTTTTCCCCAGGTACCATCTACCGAATCTACATTCCACGAAATCCCACAAATCCCACAGCCCACCATTTTCACGCCCTTCTCATTTTTGCCTCCCCCCCCCCTCCTCCACCCTCGACCCAAACCCTCCGCAACAACCGAATGACACTCAGCCGTGTAACCACAACTCTACGGATGCGTTTCACGTTTCAGCCGAGAGTCCGCAGTGGGCTCGGACGCACCATCGTACCATGATCTCACCAGACGGGTTCGAAGCTAGGCTATGCTATGACCACGCAACCAGGGATGCGGATCCCTCGCTTGCTGTCCTGGCAAATTCCGTTGGACGATGACGACCCTACCTACCCCACATGGTTAGGACTGCCTTTGTCCCACGAGGTTTTTTGTTACAACCCGAAAGGAGAAACCATTTAGGGTTACATGCAGCATGCGGTCAGCATTTGGATAAGGTACCTAAAAGTAAAAAGGGTGGGTACCGTGCTTCATCCCACGTGTGAGGAACCGAATCTAGAGAGCTTTACCCCACCCGGACGCACGCACGCACGCACGCACGCACGCATGCATGCATGCATGCGTTCAGCCTCAAACAAGTTTGGCAGATGCGACGGCATCATCATTGGACGTGTGTAATCATCCGGACGGAGGTAGGATTCCTTCGTGCATGGATTGATTTTGTCCTTCAGCCCGGAAGGATTCGTAAAAGTATGTTTGTGAGAGTGAGACCAATGATTTTCCGACTTGGGGACTCCGTAAGCGCCCCGAGGATGAGATCTGTGGGAAGTTGTCGCCCTCCCGTTGGTTCGATGCAGTGTAAGACATCTGCCAGGTACCGACGCCAAAAAGCCAACGCCAACGCCCGAATGGCCTCGATTCGCTTCAAAATCCCATTTGGCCTGGTCCCTGCATCCACTCCGTCCTGAGGCAAATTTCAACTTTCGTCCCTTTTGGAATGAGGGTCGCACGCGAAGGAGATGAGTGAGATGTGTTCATCATTTTTTCCTACGAGGCCCATCTGCTGACTTGCAATTGATAAAATTATCACCGAGGGTGCATCCGATGTATTTCTAGAAGAATAGAGCGCACAGTGTAAGATTGCATTGTTGCATTGCTCCTACTATTCTTAACCCTAAAAAGTTTGCCTATCATGTCATTCGCCTATTTCTGGCCCCCCCCCCCAACCAAGAATACCACCCAACCATAAGCATGTTGCTAAAGGGTATTGCGCATAATCCTTAACCACGGAATCAGAAGTAAAAAGAATAGCAAACTCGTCAAAACGTAGAGGAAGTCGTGTACAGAGTAGCAACAGCAGCAGCAGCAGTAGTATGCAGATGATGACATAGAAAAGAAGCTGGGCGCAGATCCAAGCCCCACCCGCACTAGGCATCGTCCGTGAAACCATTGCGAACATGAAACACATACACAGCCGAGACGGCCTTCCCAAAGGATTTCCCCCTCCAAATTCCATTATGCCATTATTCCAATCCGTAACGCCTCTACCGCATCTGTCATGCGTCTGCCAGCCGAGCCTCTGCTGCACAATCATCCCCGAAATGCACTGGCTCTCAGAAAATGCCCATTCCGCTAACCTCCAACGCAACGTTCAGATCTAAGCCTAGTTCGTAGGATTCCGGAGCAACAAAGGGTGAAGATTTATCACGAAGCAAACACTGATGACTGAGTCTGGATCGGGCTGCTGACGAATTGTGGCCTTTCGTAATTCGGAAACGTTGATGTTGGTGCGGCCGACATTGGAGGTGCCATTGATGATGGGTGTGGAATTCCTACGTTGTAGGATTTGCTGCGCGCTGGGAAGTTCGTAAAAGACCATCTCGCAGGAGTTGCGGCGGATCCTTCACGGAAGCCAAGCTCGAATCGCTTGGGGCATCCGTCCTCGGTATGTCTTCGGAGGGTGTCTCGGCGAGCGAATCGGTTGCCACAAAGATTGCAGCGGTGATTACGCGCTTTCAGATGTACCTGTGGTTACATTAGCTCAAGGCATGTAGTATGGAGCAGAGTAATGCTTACGCTATCATAATGCCGGTCCAGGTCGGTTTTTCGCTGGAACTTCTTCGTGCATAGGGCGTTGCCGACCATGGCTGTGCAAGGGTGAGGATATTTACGTTCTGGGTTGTGTGTCTCCATGTGCGATTTCCAGTTGTAGCTTCGCTTGAAGAGTTTGCCGCAGACACGGCACTCATGTGTTGCTTCCTCGGGGGTGGTCCTTTGGCGCTTCTTCTTGATGCGGTTGACACTGGGCAAAACGGGCGCTGCGTCAAACTTCGATCGAGTATCTTCGCCTATCATGTTCATGTCGTTGCCATAGCCTGAGGTGTTTGGCTTAGCCCAGTCACCAGGCTGATTCTTGTAAAAGTCGTCTGAAGGTCCGTTGATGGGAGACACGCCGTTAGAGTAATTCGTAATTCCTTGAGTGGTCAAAGATCGCTGCAAGACCTGCTCATTTCCAGGGGATGGGTACCACTCGCTTCCGTCCTCGACTTTGACCCTAGGCGTGTAGTATTCGGCTCCGTGCTGGACTGGTGAGGAATAAGACGAAGACATTGATGACCGATGAGAAGGCATGTTTGTGCTTGGAGGTGATTGGCAAAAGACAAGACCTGGGGCTTCTGGCGATTGTGTAGAGATCATACCAGTGTTGGCGTTGGTAGAGTAACCGGAGAAAGGATCGAATGCTGCTGAGAAGATGTCTGGTGGCTGCGATGTCTGTGGGAAGTCTTGTTCCATCATCGAGGAGTGCGACCAGTTGTCTGATGCTTGCGGCGATGGTGGGAGTTCTTGAATTGTACTCTGTTGCTGTGGTAGAGGACACTCGAAGATTCCTAAGCCTCTGTTGGGCTGCTCCATTGATGTTGGCTCTGGTTGGGGCGTAGCTGGATAACGTCTTTGCGAGGAGAAGGATTGCTTTGGCTGCTGGTTATAGGGCGACATAGGTGAGCGCATTGATTGTGGTGTGAGGTTCATCGTTGGATATCGATAGACAGGCAATTAGGAGCAGGTGCCTACGAGGGCAAGATGGAGCGAGCGAAACAATGGCAGAGTTCAAGGTTCTTTTGATATATGGCTTCTGATTTTTGGGTTGTGGAGTTGAAGTAAGAAGAAGGTTGTTTGTTGGCAGGTGTTGGAAGGCGCGACTGAGGAATAAGTATTAAAGTAGTGGTAGTCCAAGGCAGGCAGTGAAGGGTGTGGGGGTTAAGATGATTTGAGAGATATAGGTGAAGGGATCAAGGCAGAATGGCGCTATGAGGAAGTGTTGTGTCAAAGTGCAAGAGACTGTGTTAGCAGAAGTCCAGTAAACACGGCACTGCCCATCATTTAACTATGAGATGGGGGAAATAGGAAATGGGAAAATGGAACGAGAGATGGAGGTGCATCAAGTGAGCAGCAGGAGATGGTCGAATTGAAGCTAAGAATTCTCAATCCCTGCTCCATGCATCATCCACCGCCTCCCAGTGCTAAAATCCCGAACCCTGACAGGGGGAAAGCTTAGCTTATTCCCACAGCCAAGGTACCAAGCAGGGGTTCGTACCATGTATCATACCTGCACGTATTGTAATTTATGCCTAAAATTAGCGTCATTACACAGTCAGACGGACTCTCTTCCAATTTCGCATCCTCAGCCCACCATCAAGAAATAAAGGGAAAATAGGGACAAAAAAAAAAAAGGGAAGATGCGTGCACATCATCATCGATCTAAGCCCCATGCTACCCACTTGCTCATTTTGGGTTTAGTGCGTAAAGTGACCCCTCCTTCAGAGTAGCAAAGTCTTTTTTGTCCGCAAGATGAGACCCTTCAGGCAATGTGGCCCCCAACCCAAAGCCAACCTGGGAAGTCATGGCAAAGTCAGCGTCGTTGTAATCATCAATCATCAATCATTCTTCATCAATGTAGCATTCCAACAACTGACCAAAAGGCTGACAAATGGCCACGGCGCAATGTCTTCCTCGGCGCAAACCGGTTCGGCGGAGTCGAGATGTGCAGCATGCACAGAAAACCCCATGTCCGAGAAGTCTAACCTTTAATAGGAATAAATCGCGTGAATTATGCAAGCACTTCAAAATTTGAAACAACGGCCAAAATCTTTTTCGCTTCATTCGCTTACGCCCCGTTGTGCATGCAGACCTATCTTGTCTCTTTCTCCGGCATCGAGGACAGTCGAGTGAAGATCACTCAACTATTCCAGCCAAAGCTTCCGCTTGCTCTCGTAGCCTTTCGAAATTGAGGTGCCCCACCGTGTCAAAGCATTGGATGAGAGTGGGACTCCTCACGTACGAAGGCGCGGGTGTATTCCGTTGTTCTGTGGAGTCGCCGCCTGTACTCCGTGGCCACGTAGCCTTTGAGATCGGCCTGTTCGAAGGCCCCTTTGCCTTGATACTTTTGCCTGATTTCCACCATGTCCTTTGTTCTGCCGGAAGCCGTCTTGAGATATGTGCGGAAGTAATTGATGTGCATCTGGCAATTGATTGACTTCGTTAATCTGCCGCTCGGCATGGGCCGATTCCATGAGATAGACCAAATCGATGTCCAGGCCAATCTTTTCTTGCGCGAAAGATGTCCGTTGCGACAATATTGTAGGCCTAATACTACCTATCTGCTGAGTTGGTCAATCTTCCGTTCCATAGTGGCCAGTCGCTCATTTATGGTCTTCAGGGTAGCCGCCAAGTCATTGTCCGTTAGCCCAAGCGCACTCGGGCGCTTGGCACTGGTCGGTGTCTTTGGTATCGACACTTCGGATCTGCTCATAAAATCTGGCCGTGGGGTTGGCATATGTGTGTGTATGCCTCGCTTTGCAGATCGCATCCGTTGCTGCGAGCTTTTAGAATACTGCCAGCGGCTACGCAATGCATACAGCTCCTCATAGACCCATATAGCGGCGATATAAGGAGCGTGAGTGATCTTCAAGAGCACGATGCGTGCCGAACGTATCTGCTCTGAAGGTACGCAGAGTCTCAACGGTCGAAACAATAGCAGTGGTAAGAGGTTCTGCGACCAGCGTTGGCAAGGTTACTGAGCAGTGCAGAGGACACATACCAAGGGAGGAAAATAGTAAGTCAGCCGCCGTGACGCTGATGCCTTGACCTGGTTTAGAAACCTGGCATAAATCATATGCAAATTTCTCTTACCTCGAGCACGAACACTGAATATCTGAAACATCGATAAGCGCTTTACGACACTGAAACTCTTCACTGTCACCAGGACAGGCTTACTGAAAAAGGTATTCCTCTCGGGCGTGATCCATGACCTATCAAATCAATCAGTAATACTCTATACAGACCCTAGGGTCTTTCGCGGATCAATACATAGTTATAAAACCGCATATATAGCACCGCTCGAGGGCGGTGCGCGCGGCTAGGGAGCTGGCGGACGCACCTTGGTAAAGACTTGGCTCAAAATGGCAATCAAAGATGTTAATAGTAGTATATTGGTAAGAATAATGAAAATGAGCATGAGCTATTTTTTTATTAGCGTGGCTTCCACCTGACGGCAATCCAATGCATGTGGAAACGGGAGCTAGCGCACAATCGGTCCAAGCGCACGCGAGATCTAGAAACGTTGACCAATCAGCATTGCGATTTGCCACTTAAACCCCTGTCTTGGAAAACCGCGCTTTGCTTGATCGGGACACTTACTTGGTCGGCAACTTCACTGCCCGCCAAGAAGATTCAGTCAGTAAGTACTTGGAATCCTGCGAACGCTGCAGACGCTGCAAATGCCGCAATCTGCCCAACGGAAAGGCACTGCATCTCCCACTTACAATCCGGTCGAGGTAGAGCTGAATTTCCGAGTCAGCCATTGGATCAGACAATATTGACTCGTCCAAGCCTCACCCAAAAAAGACCTTGTTGCATGGTCAGCTTGAATTTTGCAAGTGAAGGAATCGGAGACCTACATTTATCATTATCCATAACACCTGACTAGGCGTAAAGTCGCCTCGTGCAAGCATGGTAAACGTGGTAAGAAAGCCGCAGAACAAAATGATCACTATTCCCAAGAACTTCACGAAGTCCGTGGTCTGATCCGGGTTTGCTGTCAGCCTAACGATTCTGAACCCCCACGTTGAATGTAAAAGCATACCATTTCCTTGAGACAGGGTATCTGTTCCGCGAGTTCAGCGCAGGCCCCAAGAGTCAAGCAATGGATGGCAGCCTACCAAGGTCCCAAAGAACGGGACAAGGGATAGCAAGGAACACACTCTAGGAAGCAAAAATAGAGCTTCGAGAGATAGTATGTCAAAGGATACGTCGGTGATGGCCGGACTATCTCTCGTCAAGCCGATGATCCCTTCGGCAATGAGTCAGCTACTTGTCGCTCAATGGCGGAGTCTGTCTTGCCGCTTCTGCCTTGCTCATCGCGAGAGGCTGGCATGACCTGTTCATCACTCAGACTGGACATGAGGCAATATAATGACTCACTAGATACCATGTAGGCTACACCGATACCAATGATACCAATGTCCCATAAGCTCCAGAAGTCTGCCACGTAAAAGGCAATCCCAGCATCTCTAAATTCTCCGAACTCATCGTAGGCGAATGCAGCAATCCAGATGTACAAGAGGGCTTCGACAGGAGTGATTTTGTGTGGGTTTCGCTCCACGAGCACTGCGTAATATAGGCCAAGGAACAGAGCAAAGAAAAGAGCCTCGAAGCTTTTCTGATATTTGGGTACTCGAAGCCTGCAATATGGATCCGCTCGAGCCTTGTTGTAAAACTTTGCCCTTTTCTTGCTGTGTACACTCAAAGATTCCCAGAATATGATGTGACCATTCCAAATATCGTCGACCGTCTTCTGGACAACTCTTTGGCTGAGGAACTTTTTTGCACCTGCCACTGCCGCAATTTCAAGGGCATTAAGGCCGACGAAAGAGGCCATTGGCTCCTCCTCCGCGATTGAGGATGTTCTAGTTTTGCCTCGTGTACTTGTAGCTGAAGGGTCTCGTCCCGAGAGAAGTGCAGCATGCTCGGCAGCGTCTCCATTGTCTGGATGGGTTCCAACCCCATCGTAGCTTTCAGGATCAAAGCTGACTGGAGGAAGTTCGTGTAGAAGATAGTCAATTAGCTCGGCCGCTGACAAGTGTGTTAAGAACCTCCAAGCCACAATCTCGCAGGCGTGGCCTCGAGTATCGTTGATGCCATGATCATCTTGATCACCAGAGGCGAAATGGCATTTTAGTATCCTGAGTTGTTTATTAAGAATTGATGGAGACTGCATGGTGTTTAAGGACTGACTGACAGCAAAGCAGATACGATGTCGGGATGATGACAGCTTTCAGAGATGGACTGGATTAGGGGTTTCAGTATGTGGCCCACAGATGCCGTCCTTAGTTGCTCGAACGTATGAGGCGCTTCGATAGCATCTATGAAATATCTTTTGAAGAGTCAGCTATCACTATTCTTCATTGTTGAATGGAAGATCCCCCAAAGCACAGTACCCCAACGCGGGTTGTGTGCCTCCTGATTGTAGTTGAATATGTAAAGGCCCATGAGATGTGCATATCATTCGGTCGGGCAGCCGTCCAGGAGTCGATCTGATGCTCCAAGTGTTGCAGCCTAGCTCTCCTGTTTCAGAGTGCAAGTCCGGCGTGATATGTTGCAGTTGATAAATGTCACGATTGATGGTGTCATACAAAGCAAAGTGAATTCCCTTGATCTTGAAATAATGTACTATCGTAGCTCGAGTCCGACGTATACATGTGGTATTGCGGGAAACGACAATACGTTCGCGACTTGAGGAATCTATGCAATGAAAGATAAGGGTGGCGGGCTCACACTGAGAGTTGCCTCACGATTTCTCCAAGCGGCTCATCCTGATCGATACGTGGAGGATCCAACTGCCAATCGGTCTGCCCAGTACGTGGGCCGCCAGACGAAGGGGTCTGTGGCATTGCCGCTGCCATGCTTCAAGAAGCGCTCATCAGGAAAGTAAGATGCCCAGACAAGATGAAAAGGCGATCTCAGAGCAATGTGGATCTATTTTGAGCGGTTTACAGAGGATGGGGTTGAGGAAGTACAAATGCAATCGAGTAAAGTAATCTCACGAATGTTTGAAACAAGGATCTGCAGCAGGGATCTCATGCACGACACGGCAAGTGCGGCTCTTGGAGCTCTGCCGCTTGACCGTCTCTACGATAACATACCTTAGATTTCTCTACATTTCTTTACAGTAATGTACTCTAGAGTCTAGCTGTTAATTAGACATTGTCAACTGATACCGCATCTAGGCCTTCTGGCTCCATTACTCATCGACTGTACTACCAATTCATACACCCTTTCATCTCACACTCTCTCATCCGAGAAGTGGAAGCGCGTACATCATCACCTCCCAGACGTTCCATTTCTTGGAAGTGGCTTTGTTTTCTGCCTTGCCATATTCGCAGAGAATCCTCTTCGCCACTAATGCGCCGATTGCCAGTGAAAGGGTGTAGCTGATCAGGCCAGACTGCCAGAAAGCTTAGGCGGCCAAGGACCAGAAGATTAAACGCCTGCGATGCTCCAAAAGGCAAGCTTATCTCCTATCACCAAGGGTAGAATCCGCCGATTGTGGGCTCTATCTCCGTTGTGGCCTACTATGCCCTGCATCTGGACTGTAGTGAAGATTATTGATGCTAAGGTACAAGAAGAAACGGTAGGCCAGCACCTTCGCTGAATCCATCTTTACTCGAACCCATTGCGACTTCCCTCACTCGGGTGATGAAGCTTAAATATCGTGTTGCATTAATGACATTGCGACTCATGCATCTTTCGGCACTCCGGAGGTCGTTGTATCAATAGTCTCAAAACCTGAGTAGGCAGCGCTCGCTCATCTGGTGCCGCATGGTCAGGAGGGAATACCGAGAGAGAACGTTCTTGCTGCCAAGGTTGATAAACCGTTCGTGAGGGCGGCCGGGAAGGGCACGATTATGAGGAAGCTGACCGAGAGGGCATATGTGGGTGAGATAGATGCGTTCTACAGTGGACCGAAGCATTAGAGAATACCTGAAAAAACGTACACATTGCGGGGCACATTACTTCACATCACAATTCTGGTAATATCTTGCATCATCTCAAGGGATATAGCAGGTCTGCATCTTCACAGGCCTCAACAACCCATCGCCCATCTCCTCTCTCGCCTCCCACCCACTCTTCTGCTGCGCAGACGGGCCCTTCCCAAAGATGTCCTGCTCAGCCTCAGCTTCGTATTCCCAGCTCATCCGCCCCACGTCTTTCTCCAGCGGTATATAGCTCTTCCGTGTCGCCTTCACAATATTCATTCCCCTCCCTGGATATTCAGCCTCCACATCAGCCAACCCATTGCTGATCGTGACATAAGAAGGTTTCGAAGGCTTTTGGTACGCTTGTACGTAAGGGGGGGAGTCTTTATGCCCGCGCAGCCATTGAATCAAGCGCGGGGTTGTAGGGATGGCACCTGCGAGGATCACGGTTGTGAATTCCGCAAACGCCCACATGAAGACTGGCTCCATGGCCCGGGTCCTGTCTGTTGCCAGAGTGAGGTGGACGCTGTAGACCAAGCGGATGATGCTCGAGATGCAGGCACTATATTCATGGACTTCATCAGCGTAGCGCTTCCGATGGCACGCAGTACCGAGGAAGAACCCACAAAAGCCCGGTACCAAATACGGCGGAAATGGTCATTTTCCTCTTCAACGCTATCTGCAGCTTCCAGACCGCAAAGACTGGCAGGAAAAGTATCGAGAAATCGCTTGCAATGTTAATTGCAGACGTCGCCAATATGTATGGATCCATTGTTGTCACGCATGTCCCCGACAACATCGGATTCGAGAGCTGGGCTCTCGGTACGCAGGCGAAGATGAAACAGAAGGTCACTGTGACGTAGAAGACGAAATTCGACCAGACCAGGATGAGATGGCCCAGTAGACGGCATCTTTCTTTGTGCCGCGGAAGATTCGCAGCATCTGCATCAGGACGCAGAGTTTGGCTGGGAACATTGCGGGGCCGTAGAGGATCTCGACTATGTTGCTGAGCTGATGTTAGGGGTCAGCAACGTGGATTGAGTCTGTCGTAGTCTGCGGTAGACTACCATTACGACGCGCATTGCTTCTGCGTTGGATGCATCCCCTAGATGTCGTCCCCGTCCAGCATTCCCTGCAGTCACGGCCACTCCTACGAATGCAGCGAAAGCGAGCCCGGCGAATATGAGCGCGTCTGCATCAGAGTACTAGCAAAAAAAAGGTCTCCTGAGAGGGCTAAGACCCCTTTAGAAACACACAATCTTCTATTTGTGTCTTCTTGATGATGTACGTCTTCACAAAAGTTCGCGCGCATATGAAAACAATTGCAAAAGCCAGGCACAGTATGCCTGTTGCCACCAGCCAATTCTGTGACGAAGGAGAGTCTGTAAAGTTGGGCTGCTGTCCTGGAGGAGGATTGAACGTGGGTGTCATGGAAGGATCTATCTCGGCGAGATTCGCCATTGCTCTGTTTGTTCAATGTAACTATAAAGTTAGCTGCTGGGCAGTCGAGTCTCGAGAGTGTAAAGTTTGGGTTTTAAAGTAAAGAGCGTACGTATATAGTCGAGTTTGCCCACGGACGACAAGAGAGACATGCTGAGTTGTCAACTTTGTCAGCTTTCCTCTCCTTTTCAGCTCGCCATGGCGTACTCGAAGGCTGACAGCCGTCATGATGGAATTGAGACACAACCGTTACGACTTGCAGCATTAGTCATGCATAGAGTATGCGGGTCCGGTATTCTGCATGATGCGGACCTATCATTCTGTTGAGCGCAGATCATACTAGCGCAGCTTTCGCCGCTTATGCTACCTACCATGTCATTAAGTGTGATCGGAGAGGAGAATGTTGCCAGCTGATGTTTCACCGGCTGTAGAGATGGAATCTCTCAGGATTCTACTGCCGATAAAAGCGCAATGATCTGGCAGAATGAGACGAAAATCCGAGATAAAGCCAGATATTCTCGGATTGATTTGCTGTCAAAGACATGATCACAGCCTCGGCTTCTGTTGTTGGAAGGCAATGCAAGTAGAGCGAAAAGTTTTGGGAGATGTCTGTTTGTGAAGGGGCTTCTATGATTTGCCAGCGCTGCCGCTGAGAAAATGCCAAACAAAGTGCTTTGGAATAGGCAGGCGAAACGAGAGAAAGGTGAAAGGCTCTGAACTCTGAGTGCCTATGCCTACCTTACTCATGCCTATAGGCAACCTCATAATGGCTGTCGACTCAAAAAACTTAGTCTGAAGTGCCTGGACTAGGTCGATTGGGGGTGGGGGACACTGGCAGCCACTGGGTTCTTGATCTCCGTTCAACTTCCCACTGCTTTCGATACATCTCCTTCATCTTCCATCTACGTAGACCCCAGGTCAACTGGGATCGAGGAGCAAGTTGCGAGGGCATACTCTCTTCTCTCTCCTTTCAACCACTGATTTTCATAGCGATTTTTGCGCTCTGTGCAAGCCGGGTTCTTGACAACAACCTCGACGCTGGTCAATGGCAGGTTCGCAATCTTCTCTAGGCTTTCGACGTAGCTAGTACAGTAGAGACTAGTAAACCGATTCTTCAGAAGGTCATAGTCCTCCAATGCCAAACCATAATCGGTGTGTAATCTTAGATGCCGGAGGCCCTGAAGAGATTGGATGATGGCCATGTTGAAAGAACTAGTCCCAAACTTGTGCTCGTCCATGGCCTCATCCATTTGAATGCGAAGCTTCTTCAGCGTACGCTTCTGAATGAGGCTTCGTGGCCCCACGAGTCGTTTGAATGTGATGCCGTCCTTGAAGGAGGTGTTCGTCACCCATAAGATGTGGTTGGCTTCGTTGTACATCTGCCTACAGGACCGGAGAATGTGGAGAGGGAGCGTCTCATGATCGCAATATATAAAATCCTGGTCATATTGGTAGTCCAAGCTATCGTCGCACCGCTGGTGCTGTCGTAGCCAAAAGACCTCTTCGCGGTGGCCATCCAAATTGGAGTATGCCTTTCTTCCGTCTTCTTCGTTTTCCGGGCAATCCGCCTCACAAACATCAAGTCTCCAAAGGCTTCCACGCCCCTTTTCGTTTTCTCAGATCATTCCACGATACAATTGCTCACTCGTTCTGATGCCAAAACCATCATCATACGGGTATCTGAGGTGTATGAGGGGGTTCCCGAGCATTTCCCCGTATATCTTGTTGCGTATTCCCAAGGGGCAGTCTTGGGAAGGGCGATGTTGATGCGCTTCGAGCGATTCTAGAGTGAGGGTTTAGTAACCCAGAGAACATGGAATTGCGAGAGTGCGCTGATGATCATTCACATTGCCTTAGTCCGCCTTGGGGAGATCTTCTGATGTCGAATGGGGGGAAACTGCAGTCATAGTGATAACCCAGATGCAAGCATTTGGAATTGCAATTAAATGGGAGTGCTTCGCTGATGATCATTCACATTGCCTTAGTCCCAGCATCCTTGGGAGCGGAGAAAGCGATAGAGGGGGTTTTTTATATTTTTTCGTTCTCCTCTTTTGGTAAATATTATTTAAAGCTTGCCGCCTATTTCGCCGCCTTTCTCCATTTTGGCGTCTTTTCTGGATGATGGCATCGCGTCCGAGCAAGGGCTGGCGATGTGGCTATTACACGCCTAAGTCAGAGGTAAAATACTAGGAAAAGCGTGTATACTCACTAGCTTCGGTTCCGAATGTCCAACTGAGGTAGTGACGACAGTGGTATTGCAAGAGTGCTACGTTCTTTTTTTTCGCTAACAAAAGTAGCGGCTGGATCAGCTTGCCAGCATTTTTTTTATTTGCAAGCCTATATAATTGAAATCTTGGCAGGCAACGTTTCCATTGAGCCATTCACTAACATTGACTAAGTATCCTCTCTGTCTTTAGCTTAACCGTTACTGAATATATTATGAATCTATGGATTGGAAGACTATAGGAAAGAGCTCGCCGCTAGAATGCAAAGGTCTTGAGCAAAGACTCTCATAGCTGCGCCTGCGGCTTCCCATTTCCGATGGGCTTGGATACAAATGCTCCAAAATAATCATTCAAGGCATCCACTGTCCCACTTCCCGCCACCAGAGTGACCACGCAGCCAACATGTCCATCAGGCCTAACAACGACAACACCGCCCTTGTCTGCATCCAATCCCAACTTTGCGTGGGCTGCAGCTTTCGCATCAGGCACCTTTGGATCCCAGACATCGTCGGCATAGACATGATCACTATACCGTGCGAGGATTGGCGGCAACATCTTCGAGATGTCTATTCTATCTCGGGGAGATGCGAACGTTGTGCAGATTGAAAAGAAGTAAGAATGAGGATTGTGTCGCTCGTGATAGGAGACACTTGCAATATCCTCTCGTGCGAAGGTCGAGTAGAAGCTTTTCTTCTTTTGCAGATTCGTAGCAAAGTCAGCAACGGCACGCTGTGTCTTTGACGGTGAGCCAGCGAAGAGGAAAATCCTGAATGAGCCGTTGAGCGGAATTTCTTGCTCCAACTGAACCTCATTGGCGTCCACAACCCTGGTTACATTGGCCGGGGGCATGATACGGCCTACGCGAACAGTATTGCCTTTTGGGTTGAAAAGGTGTGACTGTGCGGAATGGTCTGATGACCAGTTGAACTCGTTCGGACCGTAGAATATCCCATAACCAGATGTAAATTCTTGGCTCGACTTGAAGACCTTCACAAACTCATTGGCCGCCCCATCTATGTTGTCTTCTGACGCTGCACCCACCTCACCAGCGGAGGGGACCCGCTGAGAAAACAGTGCGGCGTACTTGGCGTCGAAGTCGAGAAGTTCCTCAGCAATGTGCTTGCGCTCTGCCTCATACGATTGTAGTATGGATCGATTCGCAAAGCCTGCCTCAACGTGATGGATCTTCCATGCAAGATTGAGAGCGTCGTGGAAAGCGGTATTCATTCCTTGGCCAGCTTTTGGCTGCATTTAAATCAGTCAGATCCTGCTTCAGAACAGGGACCAGGTCGACTAACGCTATGCGTGTGGCAGCAGTCTCCGCCTAAGAACACTCGATGATCTATAGTGTAGTTCTCCGCTATGCCCTGGCCAATAGGGTAGACCGAGTACCACTCTACCATGTCCCATTCAATGTAATAAGGCTGTAGTATCTTCTTTGCCGATGCTTGAACATCCTCCGGAGTAGCTTGTTTGCGAGGGTCAAAGTCTTTGTCAGTCGAAGACGCAATTTGTATGTAAAGTCTAACCATGTTGTTTTCCCTGGGAATAATCATGATCGAGCCGTGATCGCTATGTATCGTGCATTTCATCTAGCCAAGTCAGCAAGGCTATCTTAGAGTCAAGCCGGAGCTGTTACCTTGACATCAGGAAAATCCGTCCTAACAACTCCATCCATGACTCCCCAGACATGACTGATCGGATCTTTATGACGTATTTTGACACCCAGCTGATCCCTTATGAAGCTCCTAGCTCCTTCGCCACTGAACAAGTATTTCGCTCGCACAATTTCCTTCTCATCCGTCCGCATATGCTTGAGGTTGACTTCAATTGGATAGGTCTTGTCCTGACCGTCGTTGTTGAAGCCCGTGATAGTCCAAGGCCTTTGCACATCTGCCCCGTTCTTGTGTAGATCATCAATAAAGACCCTCTCTATTAGACCCTGATGTAAAAGGGTGGTGAAGGGATATCTTGCATCGATGAATTTCGGACAAGCAGCCCAATTTCCTGTCCTGTGGATACCCTTACCGCCTGATTGAGGATCCCAAAAAGCAACCTCGTAGACCTTAGCTGGCTGATGAGCCATTATCGGTCGCTTGAGATCCATATTCCGTAACAGGTGCAGAGACCGTGGTTGAATGCCATCAGCTCGGCCCGTCAGGGTTGGCACTTCCCTGTTATCAATGTTCTTAATCTTGTAGCCCCAGCGCGCCAGACAGACTGAGAGCAGCAAGCCTACAGGCCCGGCGCCCACTATCACGATATCATACTTTTCTGATGAAGCGGCCATCCTTCAAATCCCCGATCTTCATGCGGGTATCAGAGATATCAAGAGAAGCTAGACTGTAGAGATAAGCGCTCAAAAACCGTTGCTGGATCCTTGTAGGCAGTTGTTGAGTAGGCTGACGGCGAGCACAGGTTACTCAAAGTGAATGTAATTGATAAGTGAATCGAAGCAATGCCTGAGACGCATTTGTCAAGGCGGATCTGGTGTTGACAGCAACCTTCTGGATTTGACTTGAGGGGATGTAGGAGCTGTCATCGTATAGGGAGCAAGGCAGGTTTGTTCGGTCATTGGGCCAGTATGTAAGTGGGGCAAGAATTGGGATGGTGGTACAAGTAATCAGTGAGGTTTCGGGATGTCTTTCGGTAGTGATTTAGGCGCCTGAGAGCCAAGCAATTACTTTAGGCCTTCCCCACAACTGTACCAGCGAGGCAGGTAAGCCCCCGGGAATCCAAACTCGAGGTGCGGCAAATCAATTGCAGCGGATTGTAATCATTCTTCGACGGTCCAAGGTGCGCTCATACTTTGGTCAAATATCTTTAACCAGTCGAGTAGAGTAATTAATGAAATGAAGATTTTGTGATCAAGGCTTTCGTTGTCGAGTCATAAACAACTGAGAAAAAATACATATTGCGATTTTCGCGGGCCCTCCGTGCAGTTGCGCCCCGGGCCAAGGAGCCAAGTCCGAACTTCTCCTCGCTCGTCTATCATTGTTGAAATAGACTTGGTACATACTTGCACATGAAAGTAGGATGCAAGGTGACGTGTGGTAAGTCGCAGACAACCTGCTTAACGAAGGCTTTTCGATCTCATCGCTTTGGCTTCGAAAAGGCCTGCCGTTCAACCAAGCAAGGAAAACTGAAAAGCACATTGAAGACATGGATTTTCTAATGTGGCTATCCAACGGCAACTCCATGCCTTTCATCCCAATATTTGCGCTTGTTTTTCTCGGTATCTTATCTTTCCTGTACTTCCGTGCTTTTGGCGGTCTATTGGGTCAGATTTCCGGCCCTTTTGACGCTCGCTTTTCAAGACTATGGATGATCCAGCATTCATGGCAAGGTAACATGCATAAGAGAATGCTTGAATTGCGTAAAAGATACGAGAATCATGTTAGAACTGGTCCCAATGAGGTCAGTGTGGCTGACTTGTCTGCCATCAAGAAGATATACACGGCTGGTACCAAGTTCTCAAAGTCCATTCGGTACGGGCTCTTTCAGGGCCACAGAAAATTCGACTTGTCTGCAGGTTCGTCGTAGTCGCACTTCCAGAAAGCTTGGATATGGAAGTTGAACGTTTCAGAACGTAATGAATGTATCCATAGTTCCCAGCGTCGACTGGTCAGTCAGATATACTCGATGGAAGCTCTCAAAGACTTGGAACAGTATGTCGATGACGCTGTTGTACACTTTAGCAGGAAAATGCAGGACCGCCTAGGCTAAAAATCGACATGGGTCTTTTTGTTCAACTCTTCGCCTTTGATGTTATTGGAGAAGTGACCTTCTCGAAACGATTTGGTTTCATGGACACGGGCAGTGATAATGGTTTCTTTGCCCAGGTTAAAAATGTGTTGCGCAGCGGCGCATGGTTGAGACAGATTCCCGCGCTTTACTGGACACATGACTTCCTGTCCCCCATCATTGGCAATCACTTTAGTGTCACAGCCCGTCATGGCCGACTAAGGGACTTTGCATCACAAGCGATTGAGGATCGGAAAACACATGGTAGCGATCACCAAGACATCCTAGCCAAGTTGTTGGAAGTACAGAAACAGCGACCGAACGAGATGAACGACGCCAATGTCCTCTCAATGGCAACCACCAACATCTCTGCCGGCTCAGACACCACTGCTATTTCAACAAGATCAGTCATCTTCCATCTACTCAAGAACCCGGAATGCAAGAGGGAGCTGGTAGAAGACATTGACACGCAGACGAAAGAGGTGAAGTTGACGAAGCCTATCACTCTCGAGCAGACTAACCACATGCCCTACCTACAAGCTTGTCTGTATGAGGGTCTCCGCCTGCATCCTGCAGTTGGGATGAGCCTTCCGCGAGTCACTCCACGGGGCGGAGTTGAGATTGATGGTCACTTCATCCCAGAGGGCGTAAGTGTCCTAGCCAGCTGACCCGGAGAGCCTCTGCTGACTTCGACTTAGACAGTCATTGAGGCCAACCCATGGGTCGTGTGTCGAAACACTGAGATCTTTGGAGATGATGTCGAGGCTTTTCGACCAAAGCGATGGCTGAAGACAGGTGACAGAGCTGACATGGGTGTGGCATTCCTGTGCTTTGTACTTCCAACCTTGGCTAACAAGAATGTTCTCTAGAGAGGGTTTTCTTTGCGTTTGGTCAAGGGGCACGCGGCTGTCTTGGTCGGAGTACGTGCAACGACTTCTTTTTATCCCTCCTCGAAATCTATATCGCCCTGCATTGTCAGGTTCTTGCAGCTTTTCGAGCCTTCCCATGTTGCCCTTTTCACTGTCCTCAAAGTTCCTAGTGTTCGGCAGTAAAGGTTTGTAGAGAGTATTGACTGATTGCGATACAGATATCAGCTGGATGGAGACGTCGAAGCTGATCCCGACCCTTTTTCTCCACCTTGAAGTCGAGCTCACCGACCCCAAAGCTGAATTGAAAGAGCTTTGTTGGTATGCACGTTGTCTTGCCCCTTGGCCACTAGATCACCAAGGGCTGATGTAGCATCTAGGTGGTTTGTGAAGCAAGAAGGTTTGTTTGTAACGTTACGACCGAGGTCAAAGGTCCATTAGACAACGTGTTTTACGAATCCTTATGGGGGGAGGAGGATGACTTGTCGAAGGGGAGGATCATACCTTAGGCTACAAACACAAGTTCTTCATTTCTCCGTATGCCGGATCTGGTTGGTAATCCTTTTAACGACTTCACTAGTAGTATTGAAATGTGGATGCAACATCTCATGTTTACTCCGAACCTTGAATTCAACATTTCTCGGCGGGAGCCGGCCTTTGAAGTGCCCTATTTGATTTTCACTCCGAACCTTTGACTCGTCGTTGTTACGGGCTACAGACCATGAAATGCTACAAATACATGTTGACTTCGAGTAAAGGAAGTGACCATTTCATAGAGAGCAGAACTTTCAAACAACACACTTTCTACTGACTTGGTACCCTGGACTTCACCATTTTCGTGAGAGCAAGCTTTTGAAATATCACGCATTCATTCTTGTTTGGAGCTACTCCCTCAACTTCGTCGGGACAACATAGCACCTGACTACATTCACTTACCACCAAACATCACACTAGTCTTCACTTGAGATGTTTTTCTATTCACTTGAACAATGGATGCGGACCAACCTATTCAATTGACCCCCAAACAATCACACAAGTCCGCTGAAGCTATTGATACTCAATCTACCAGCTCTAGCGATTTATCTTCTCATGAATATTGCAAACAACTTCTCCTCAACCTTACTCCCTATGTCTTGATCCCAGCAACACCAGCAAGACAAACATCGGAGTTTTTTGATAGTATCAACAACCTCGACCCAGTCAAATTCAGTCCTCCCGATTCTAATCAAACACCCTTGAAGAAAGCAATGTCAGACACGTGAGTGGTCCCTAGACGCCGGTCCAACCGGCTTCCTGCGGCATGAGAAGGTCACTGAAGCATTACAGGCACACCTCGTACAGCAGCTTCGCCAAGCTCAATCCATTCTACGACGAGCGCTACACTCAGATGGAAGACTTCTACGATTCTCAAGCATGGAAAGTTGGCACGGGGACTGGGAAGTCTCCACAGCCTCCACCCAAATATGGCCACCACAAGGGCCACAAATCGCCTGGCATGGCGCACTCGCAATCCGAAGGAAACATCGACTTTCGCTCTCGTGGAATCAAAGATCATAACCTTCGAGTCGGCAAGACTTTTGAGAGTGCTGCTGGCGATTACTACACCAGATCGAGCGAGGATACCGATGCCTCATCCTCCTTCTCTCGCGGTCGCACTATTACTCGCACGCCATCTCCCGTCAAGGCTTTGGAAGACATCAAAGAAGATCAGGCATCCAACTCCCCTCCAAGTCCGACTAAGCGTTCCCGTTCACCTTTCAAGCAGATGTTTGGCGAGAAAGGATGGCTTGGCAGAAGCACGAGCATGAACGAGCTACCAAATGAGAAGTATCGCAAGACTGGTATCAAGCATTGGGGTGGTAAGATTAAGCAACGTGTTGAGAATCTGGTAAGTCTTACAAGAAAAAACCTGCCACCCAGCAAATCCATTTGGCTTACGAGGACAGACCGAAGATGTGTCGAAGGTGTCGAAGTTCATACCAACGACCCTCTACCAGCACGAATCGCCATCCAAGTCTCCTTCCAAAACCAAATTCTACGTCTCTCTCAGTCCTCCTATGCAAGCAAAGCTGTACTCCGAAATGGAGCTCATGATCTGCGCCACAGCCAACCAGTACCTCAATGTCCAGCAGAAAGAAGGCCGCATGACCGTTGAGAGTCTCAAAAAGGTCACTGAGTGGTGGGCCAGCAAGAACCGCCCTCAAGTCATCGAGTTCATGTTCGACCAAGCCACACAGCGTGATTTGGTCCTCTACAACCTCAAAAGCTTTCGCTTCTATGGGCCAAACGCCGACAACTCCTTTCAGATGAACGCAATGATGCAATCCTGGAAAGCACTATCTCGTGATATGAGTGTGCGCACATTTTGCACGCCGGATAGCGTCATTAGGAAGCATACGCATGATTGCTACAAGATCTTGGAGATGCTTGGGGCGCCTTTGGTGACGTTTATGGCGTTCCAGGAGATTCAAATGAAGGCGTTGAAGGTCATGAGGGAGGAGCAGAAGAAGAGGGATGAGTATGAGGCTATCAAGTTTGGAGTTGAGAGGAAGTGGGAAGCACCTACGGAAGGGGCAGAGGAGAAGGAGTTGTATAACCCATTTGCCTGAGGGGGTCAACTTCTTGACTTCTTGATTGGCAATTTGGATCCTGGAGTCCTTCATCTTCGCCACGGGGATCAACGTACTTTCTCAGCATGCTACTTCAATGTCGCGATGGTCAGGGGCACGAAGGCGGCAGGAGCGACTTTTCGACTCGGATCTATTTACCTTCGTTTCACTCATTCGGTACACCCTTTTTTGCATGAATTGCGGTTGATCTTTCCAATTTACCGTTGGGCACCCTTTGGCATCTTTGAGATGTCCATTCTGCCCTTGCATCTTCGAACTTGAATGAAAGTGCAAGCACAATTTTCCTGCGGAGTTGTTGCCGCAAGAAGCTTCGGAGTGTTGTACATAGACCGAATTTGAGATTATACAAACGAAATTAGGATCAGAAGGCATTCAGAGACGCTGTGAGGGGTATATGTTCATGAACTGCAACTGAGATATTAGTCTTCTTCATGTGGATAATTCATGGTCGTTGCTGCCGGAATTGCTCGCTGCAGAGTCACCCCGCGCATGCCCCACCTTGTTTAAGGGTCTGTCGACCAGCATCCCACGCTTTCCTTGCTTTCCTTTCTCCAGTCTAGAGTACAGACTGGCATAATGAAGTGTACGACTTTCCTTTTTGTTGCATAGACTGCATATATTACCAGCGGCAGCTTCTAACCACTCTTTTAATACTCTCTCTTCCCTTGGCCGGGTTCCATTATTCAACTCTGTTGATCCACCTGCAGGACAGGCAACAATACTCTTAATATTTGGCTAAGCCTTCGTACCGTTCCCTCCAACTCATGATAGCTACAGCTAGTACCCTATAGCTACGATGGCTGCGTCAATAGGCCACACATACAGCCCGTCATGCATGCTCCACCAAGCTTCCAACGAATTCACTCGACGGGCTTCTGTAGCATCGACCGACCCTCCCAAAATCAGCGCCCAGTATTTTTACTGCTCATCTTTACCCATCGACGACCCTCTTTCGCCCGTGCCTCCTCCCTCCAGTAATCCAGCCAACAAGTCCTCAAAAGTTCCGCCCAGACCTTTCTCAGTCCACGACAATATCGCGTTGGAAGACGCCTGGCTAAGACTCCAGCAGCCTGTACGCTCCAAGAAGGATGCACCTGGGTCGAGGTTCAATACCACAAATGTATCTCCCAAGAACCAGGAGCACATAGCACAAATAATAAGAGATGCGCACGAGAAGCAGGTACTTGAACCGGGAAAGACAAACAGCCAGGGCTTCGAGGCTCTGGAGGCCATGCCCGATAACAGGAATGACATGATTCATAGAGCGATTGGCAATGCCACACACCCGGCTGGCCTCGGAAAGGAACATCGACCGGCAAGCCCAGATCTGACGCTGTGCGATGATCCAGAGCATATCCCGTTCGATGAGACCATGCCGGTGAGCTCAGAGGAGATTGGCAACGACGAATTTGAGAGCGGTATCGTAAAAAAGAAAAGAAGCTGGAGTCCTTTTCGCCGAAGGGACAAGTTCGAGAAGCCCAAAGGAACAGACGATGCAGTACCTTCCGAGGCCCTGTCCCCGGGAATAAAGGACGCTGGCAATGTAAACCTTAGCTCGAGCCTTTCGGGACGAGATACAAGTGGCACGCCTTTCCTAAGAATCCCTTCTCGCATTCGCGGATCACGGTCACGTAGACGTTCACGCTCGCCGGAATCGCATCTGTCAGCGCCAGAACCGCCCCCGTCAACGCCAGAACTGGGTCAAGCTGATGGTGCTCGGTCTCCAGAAAATTACCATCCGAAAACGTCATCTCCCCTGAGACCCACGTTCCAAAAAGTCAGTTCTAGTCACTCAAGTGATGATGAAGAAGGCTCGAGGCTAGACACCGGTCGTCGAAAGCATTCGCTGCGCCCCAAGCAACCTATGATCCAAGTTCCTGAAGAAGCTCACGTGGCTGTGGGGATGCTCCGATTGCACGTGGTTCATATGCCAAGCTTAAAGGTGAGTACCCAATCCATAGTTTGGGATCCCGCCAAGTGCTCACTTGATTAATATAGATGGGGCCCATATATTGGGATCCAGTTCACGACGTCTCGTCTGTTATTCGCGGGACCTGGTTTTTCAAGGACACAATGATGCCTATCGAGTCTGACCTTGCGAATCGGATCGAGGGAGGCTATGAGTATATAAGACCGTGGACCCGGGCATACGTTGAAGAGTTGGACAGCTGTATGGAGTTTGGTCCTGAGGCCGAACTCAAAATCATCCACAAATTATGGCCAGATGCTCCACTGGCCGATCAGGTTCGACCAACTACGGGCAAAAGCAGTCGCTTGCTAATCGAACCCGCAACAACGGAACTCGGGCCTGAAGAGCAGAAGGTGCAGCAAGCCATAGTAATTGCTGAGATGTCTGAGAACAAGGCTATTGGCGTTCTTGACGGCTTCACTTCCTCTCACACGGAACTAGCGGACGCTAGTATCATCTACGCCAATGGCAAAGACGCCCAAATTTTGAGGGCAAGCCAAATCCCTTCCGTTTCCCGTGGACGAAAACCACTGGGAAATATTCGCAAGGGCAAAGCTGTAGGGATACCTCTAGTTCGCGGGTTTGATATGAAGGCCTGGGAAAAGCTGCATCCACCAACCAAGAAAGCTGCAGCTATCGTCCAAGCTCAGAAAGTGGCCCAAGAAATCAAGAAAGCTGGCACAATATCTCCCGTGGAACCGACGTCATGTATTGCTTGCGCGTCTGCAGACGAAAGGCCGAAGCCCACTGATTTGGTACTGGTCATTCATGGGTAGGTGTCAACCGTCTCCATCAGAGCCCTCCTCTGACAGACATTGTACTAGGATTGGACAAAAGCTTTCCGAGCGCGTTGAAAGCTTTCATTTCACACACAACATCAATCGCTTTCGCAGGCAGATGAATCTGGAACTCGAAGCTGATCCGGTCAAACCCTGGTTGCGTCAAGACTTGGGAAGTATCATGGTTTTGCCTGTAGGTCTTGCAGACAACTAAAATTGCGTTGCTCCCGTGTTAACGATTATGAAGATTAACTGGCGTTCCAAGATGAACCTGGACGAAGGAGGTCCGGAACCTAATCCCAATCAGAAGGAGGCCGACTCTCCTAAAAATCAGTTTGCTCTGAAGGATATCACTGCAGATTCTCTACCGGCGGTCCGAAACTTGATCAGCGATGTCATGCTCGACATTCCGTACTATCTCTCGCACCACAAGCCCAAGATGATTGAGGCTGTCATCCATGAGGCCAACCGTGTTTATCGATTATGGTGTAGCAACAACCCAGATTTTCACGAGAATGGGAGAGTCCATCTCATTGCCCATTCTTTGGGCAGTGTGATGTGTCTCGATATTCTGAGCAAACAGCCGACCAGATTGCCCAGACAGCTCGATCTTAAGGCCAGTAAGGCTCGTACCGACATCTTCGAGTTTGACACCAAGGGTCTTTTCTTCTGTGGCAGCCCAGCTGGATTTTTCTTACTCCTTAATAAGGCACCTCTAATACCTCGCAAAGGTCGAGACAAGCCAGGTACAGAAGGCGAAGACAGCAACGGCAATGTTGCTGGTGAAGCCAGTACTTATGGTTGTCTCGCAGTGGATAACCTCTACAACGTCATGCACTACCTCGATCCAGTCGCCTATCGGCTCAACGCATGTGTCGATGTTGATTACGCAGCGGCGCTAAAACCTGCTTCCGTTCCCAGTGCTACGGAAACCTGGGGTCAGTACCTGGGCTCAGTCTTCCGCAGCAAATCGACTGTACCCACAAGGAACATGACCGGCTTGGACACAATGCCGAGGCGTCCCACTGTCGCGAATATGCCTTCGACTGTGGAGTTGGAAATACATAATTTCACGCAGGAAGAGATCGCGGAGAAGCGGATGTTCCTCTTGAACGATAACGGGCAGATAGATTACACTTTGCGTTCTAGTGGGGGCGCTCTGGAGATCCAATACCTCAACATGCTTAGTGCGCATAGTAGCTACTGGACTATGCGGGACTTTGTCAGGTTTCTTGTGGTGGAGATTGGGAGGAAGCCTGGGAAGTCGGAAACGATCAACTCATTGAAGGCGGCGAAGAAAGCCTTTGGGACGAAGTAATGGATGGGTATGGTTCTTGATGGGGATCCGATGGCAATGGGTGGTAATGTGTTATGATTAGAATGACTGATGGCTTGCATTGCTACGGTGCTCATGCTTTAGGACGGTTTGGACCTTGCGTTATACCCTAGAAAGCACTGGTTCTATTAGAGCATGACCACTTTATTACTACCGTCCAAGGTTTTGCAAGGATCCAAGGCTGCACGCGCGCTCTTTGCATTTGTTCTCGATTTGGCATTTCAAACATGTACATGCTGAAGGCTGACTTTTCCAACGCACAGCTCGTTCATTCGATCATCGTCCAATCTATTCACCGAACAAATGCATGGGTGTTCCCCCTTTAAATTCCCCGAAGCACAACTCGTCAACACCTCATCATTCGCCCTTCACCCCTCGCCCCTCCCTTAATCACCACCAATCCCACCAAAGGCAATCTCAACATGCTTCTCCTCAATCTCCTCCCCCAGCTCATCCCACCGCCGATGACACTCATTCGCCTGCTTCTCCACCTGCTCTATCTGATCCCTCAATCGGTACATCTGCTCCAGATTCGCATTCGGAGTCTGCCATCCCTCGTTCTCTGCCTCAATGTGCTCGAGGGCGTCGACGAGCCGTTTCTGGTGGGCGGCGGTCCTCTTGAGGGCGGCGACGACCGAGTGGCGTTCTGCTTGGAGCAGGGCGATCTCGTACTTGGCTTGTGCTTGCTGCTGGCGTTCGGTGCGGAGGGCGAGTTTGGCTTGGGCGCGCTCGTAGGGGGTTTGTTTCGAGGGCGGCGGCATCGTTGGGTGGATTGGCGGAGGCATTGTGGCTTGCTGTGGTTGTGGTATGGTGGGTTGGAATGAATGGAAGGGAAAGAGGTCTTTTGGTGGAGGCATTCCGTTGTGAATTGGGAAGGCGCGGTCCATTTTTGACGTGAGTGACGGTGTCATGAAAGAGTTGTGTCGACGCCAAGGATCGATGTGTTGAGAATTTTCAACACAGGTGAGGCAATACTTTTGGTGTTAGGACCAATGACGGGTGGGACACTGAGGTGCAATTTCCGTCGTGTCACCAGGTCGTCGACCGGAAGATCGTGACCAAATCCAATTGGTCCGATGAGCATTCACTTCCCATATCCGGGACCTCATTTTCGAACACTCACATTCAGGCAAACTCAGCTTGAACACTATTAAAGCTCATCATGTCCACAGAGACGGTCAACTTGACTGATCCTCCAAACAACACAACACCCAACACAGAACATTTCCCGGAAGAGTAAGCTGGTCGACCCTGTGTGTCAGTTCCCTGACACTGTCCTTCCAACTTGTCCTCATATACTAACCCCTTCCAGCAATCCCAACATGGAGAGTAAACCCGCTAACACGTTCACGGGAGCAGCAAAATTGCTTCCGCAGCAGCTGGTCTTACCAGACGCCGCAGAAGCGCTGAAGAGGGCGAAAATCGAACGCTTTCTGCAGGGAACGGCAACGTTCGAACAAGAGCAAGGTAAACAGCCCCAGTTGCTGCGGCTGTCATCTCAGACTCACTTCCATCTTCAGAGGCCAAGGCCCATGCCTCCGCGGCAGCTCCATACTTCAATCTTCCAGCCAGAGGACAATCAATGTGCGCATATGAACTCCCTGTGGGTCTTGGCCATATCTCAGGTTCCCTGAAGATCGATGACCCTCCCACACCAATGCGCATCGGGAACCTCTCCACATTCATTCAGAAGACGGACCCGTTAACCGGAATAAAATATTGGGTTGGCCTCACTTGGGCTGAGATTTTCTTTCCCGTCTTGGGCGAAAGACCAAGCAGTGTTGCGGGGAGCAAGGCCTATGAGGTTGTCCTCAAGCAGCCGATCGGGGATGGTGGCCACATAGTTCGGGAGAACGTGGTCACGACTGGGAGAGTTGTTGGGGTAGTCGTTGCTGAGTTGCCTCATGAGACGGTCTCTGTGAGGATCCAGGACTGGTTTTCAAAGAGCGATATGTTCAAGAAGGGTCGTTGGAACCAGCTGGATAAGCCAACCCGGACCATTCAAGCTAGAGTTGGAGCGGGTGCGGATTTGGCTGTTACGCATACAGCAATGCGTGGAGGAAACAATGAAGAGAATTCGGTGAGGGCAAGCTGTGACGAGACCCAGCGTTGATGGCAACTTAACAGACAGCGGATGGATTGCTGCACGGCATTGTCTATTGCAGCAATCGAAGAAGAGTACGATGCGACCTTGAATCGAAGAAGCAGATGGGAGAAACCACAGAAGAACCTTCTCAAACAGGAGATTTACCCTCAACCTGCAACTGGGAGCCTTGAAAACTGACTCATAACCCCCTCTGACGGTCGTGCCTCTGATATTCTTCCGTCGTTACCAGAAGGTCATGCCATAATATCTTCGTCCTGCAGGTACCTAAGGTAATAGGCCTTCATGAATGTTCTGAGGACGGATTTCGCCATCAACTTTCCCCTCCACTTTCCCCCTGATCCTCTCAAACACCGCCACCCCTTCCACTCCCAACGCTGTTCCTACGCCTACAGCTGCGGCACCTACAATTCTCATTCTTTTATAGCCATATGCATCACTGACACCTCCCACGCCAATGATTTCAATGTGTTGGAGCAGCTCATGCGCGTCTAGCATGCGACGTATCGTTGCTACATTGCCCAAAGCAAGAGGATGAAGCGCAGAGCCTGCAAGGCCTCCTATGCCCGTGCTGGTTGAGGAATTGAGTGCAGGTGTCAGAGAACCAGAGAGGACGAGGGAGGAACCAAGGGTATTGGTTGCTGTGATGAATGAGATCGGGCAGCGACCTTTGCTCGATGCAAGGAGCGCGGAGATGAGTTCGTCGAATTGTGTTTGGTAAGTGTACGGTGGTGTCTTGACGCCCACCTTTATGGTTCCCCAACCACCAGGGTCCGCGTCAACCAAAGGTATCAGGTACTTTAGTAGTTCATCCCTGGAGTACGCGGGCGGTGGTTTCCCAGCAATGTTCGGGCAGGAGAGATTGATCTCCATCAATAGTCTTGCGGAGATGTCATGAGTTTGGTTTAGATTGAGTTGTAGATGCGACATGCTACGGTAATGATCAAGAACTTCCTCGGCCGATCCGGCTACGGAGATGATGATTGGTTTAGTCGGACGACCCTCTAGCTGAAGGCTTAGCAGTAGGTCCTTTATGATCTTCAGATATTCATGGACGGAGAAAGGGCTGTAGCCAAGAGTATTGAGACTCGAGATTGAATCGGCAGGGGTGGTGCCTTGAGGAGGAGGGGGAGGAGGAGGATGAGCTTCGCTACTGTGACCTCTTATTGCATGACTTTTGGGCTCGAAGAAGCAGTACTGATGAGTAGCATCGTCATGCTCGAATCCATTCGCAAGAGCAGTGCGGGTGGTTATTGCGCCAGTATGTGGGCAGTTGTACAAGGCTTCGAGATCTTCTTTCGTGGTTGCCCATGGGTTTGCTGAATTTAGCAGTGGAGGATCAAAACTCAAAGGCCGATTCGGTGACGCTTCTGTAGCTTTCGAGAGAGTTTCCGATACATATACGGGCATTATGGTTGCTGTGAAGCAATCAAGTCGCGACAGATGGAGGAGTATGTTGCTTGACAGAACACACTGAGTGGTAGGTTTTTTATGAGGTTCTTTCACGTCTTGAAGGTCCTTTATTCATCACGTTATCCTTTTCCAAATCATGACTGTTCGGAATCCTCATGGACTTCATTGCAGAGATGGATCTACATAATACCAAGGCAAATGGTGGTGTTTCGGTACAAGTAGCTGAGCGACTGTTCCGATTCCCGTCACCATCATAAAAACACTTCCATCGCTAATCCAGACCAGATGAAAGGTTTCCCTTAACAACTCTATTAAATGCTCATTCTGAGCCAGATTGAAAGGCTCGACCTCGTGCGCTGTGTGATGGGTCTATGATGCAAATTGCTCCATCCGCTAATCCTCTTAATGATGCTGCGTGATTTTATGGGCGGACTTTTGATGGGGTGATTGGGGAATTGACACCCGCCGCTAATCACGCTCACGTGACCCCCTGATTTGTGCCGAGTCTCACGCAAGATATCTCCCGCCGCTAGTCTATAGCGCATACCTTAAGTTGGTTTGGGCTGACCAGAGCTCCTAGCGTGCTTGGCACAGGACAATGGCGGAAGCTACGGTACGGAGAGTCTTCTACGGCCTTCGAACTTCCATTTTGTCTCTCAAGATGGGTTGTCCTGCGCCGCCACCAAATATCAGCCATGCAGGACACGGCTGCTCTGGCCGCCCGTGTCGTCGCAATCGTTGCTCTCGTCGTGGCAGCTGCCCAGCTTACACAACAAGTCATGGCAACGGCATACGTGATTCGGAAATGCGATCGTATCGTCACAGGCGGCCTGAGCAAAGGCGGTATCCGGCAATGGCACTGGCGTGAATTTCGTTTCACTGTCAAATATCAAGCCATCGTCTTTGCTCTGCCTACATCTATCTATTCGGCGCTTGGCGTTAGACCGACTGTGCAAGTCGATACACCAACTCTGGAAATCTGGCATGAAGTAAATAAGATCCGAAAACTTCGAAAGTCTTCCCAAGGCTGCTGGATCTCGTTTGTGCAGGACCTGGTCGTGTTTACTTGTCTCCGTCCGGAAGATGTTTGTGTCAAGGAAGAAAGCGGAGATCGGGTATCCGATGACCTTACCGTAGCACCAACTCGAGTGGATACCATCACGGTTATGCTGACATGCATCGCTATGGGCATGCAAGTTTCCCGATACTCACCGACGACAGGAGAAATCACATTAGCCTGAGGAGTTGGTGGTGTCTCATCGTCTGTACATCCTGTCTTGGGATGCTTGCTTCACTACAGCGTCTTTTCCAATGAGCCGGTCGGTTTCGAGACCGCTAGACGGCATGGCCGTGCTTTGCGGCAGGAGCACGGTGTTTGGGCCAACGCTGTCTTCGGAAGGTTCATGGATCGATACTGTCGACCCGAGATGATGACGCTTGAAGTCCTTTCATCGCGAAAAATGGCTGATTTACAAGCAAATGGCTGGCCGGAGAACAGCTGCAACGATACGATCGGTGGCGCTGCATGCTTCATGGCCTTTGCACATGTGGACGTAGGTTTGTTTCCTCGCAGTCGCTAATCTAATCTTGTTACATTATGGGCTGCAGAATATGGTCTGACAGTAGAGGTTCACTTACTTTTCTTCGGAGAATATCTTTTGAGTCCTTTTTCGCTTTGTAGAATGCCATATTGACATCAGAACCCTGGTGACCCCGCAGGCATACAAGGCCGTCCCACCATCTGTCGTTCGACCCTGGTGTGCACATTTCGCGGAAGCCATTGTGGAGGCACATCATGTGGAGATCATAGAGAAGATGTTGCAACCCGAAGACGCTTTTGTCCTTCCCCCCGAGCTCAGTGCATGCAGGCAGTCTTTCAATGAAAGACATGGGTGCTCCTCACCCCACCTTCAGTGGAAGAACATCAATGACAGAACAGAGTCTTCCTCCGAAAAGTTGATACCCGGTCCGTCGGTTAGTGACAATTTGCTTCGTCACATCGAATTGCAAGACATGCTTGCGGTTCACGATTTGCTCATCGGTCTGAACGCCAGTCGGCCACGACCTTTCACCATTAACCTAGAGTTCGATGAAAGCGACCCAAGTGTTTACGTTTCAATGGCTACAGCATGGGAGATCATAATGCGAATCCGAAGGATCTCTGTTCATGTTCAAAAGATATGATTTAAGTAGAGTAGATGAAGTGATGATAGCTCTTTGCATGGGAGTTGGCGCCCATATCAGCCAAGAACCAGTACCTTTGAACCTGAGTTGGGGTTTTTGAGTCTCCTCTTCAATGACGAAATCTTGTACCGTCTGTCTATAACCTTGCTCTTTTATCACGACTGTAAAGTATTCCGAATCACTCAGGCTCGCGTGACTCTTAGCCGCATCACGCGTACATGAACCGGCGGGGGTTTCAAATACGGAGGAGTTGGCGCGTCGCTTCAGCAACCGTCCATCTGGCGCTAGCGAACGTCATATCGATCCCTTTGTTGAAGACCTAGTCTCAGTAATTCAGACTCACGGCTAGCCGGGGTACCTATGGCCAGCCCTACACTCGTGCCTCGCTTCGGGGGCCAATCATATCGCAAGCTCATTACGGCATACCCCTCCCTTAGAGTCTGAGTACGAAACCCCCGAATCGCTACATGGACCGTTAATTTGTATGGGCCCACCGCAATAATCACCCCGTTATCGGGAAATCGCGACTTCCTCCATTTTTCCAGTCATCACCACATAGTCTTTTAACATCAATTGAGGGGGCAATAGGCCTTTCGAGGTCGCTGAACAAGTACATAAACTTTTTATTATGATCGGATAGCTCGTTGTTGTCGCATAAGCTCATCCGGACACGCGTTCTCCGCTGACGGTTACAGTACCCACCTCCAGCCGGTCACCCTCCGATGATTAAATTTCAGACGATGGCGCATCGTGTTCAGCATCATTGAAAGATCATATAACGAGTCGGGTGTAATGATTGGATCACAAGTTTGACCGTGTCACTGTCTGATGGAAATCGAGCACTGGAGCTATCCCCCCTACATACACATCTATCAACTCGAAGGTGCATCACTCAGGAGTTGGAGGGAGCATAAAACACATACCTTGAATGGTTTTGACGCGCTTGACGCGTTCAAAACGGACTTAGGCGGACGAGGAGACTGTGAGGGGCGCTTAGGTACGCGATTTTCTCTCCGACGACGACAGCGAGGTATTTTCGAACTACATATACTGACCTCTTTATAGCTTATAGACACGTCCTTCCTCCTGACGAACACGAAGTTTTAAGACATTTGGCGGACCAGTTCTGGAGCAAAGAAAAAAGTCATATATTTGATTCCCGGGCATGAAAGTAGGGAGATAACCTCCATGACGACGACGCAGACCTTCCTGCATTCAAAGACGTCTTTTTCTACGTTCCATATACCCATAAGAGACTCCGACGTCGTGCGAGATATTCTCATTCATCGATGTCGCCGCCACCAATATCTGACTTCACACCAAAAGGATGAATTATCTCCGCTTCGCTCTCCGCTCTGCTCTCCGCAAGTTCGGCCGCAATTGCTTCCATGCATGCATGCTTGCTTGCTTGTTTGTTTGCACGCATCGCCGGCCGTCCAAAAAATGGGGGAGACTGCGGCGTCTAACCGAAGTAATGAACTGACTGGCGAGGCCACGGCATTTTCCCCAACACGCCGCGCCGTCGGTCCGGCGAGTACCATGGCGGTTACCCCGAGAATGTGTACTTTGGGGGATTTCTTTATGGTGTCGCGTCTGTTGAGACGTACAGCGTTCTTGAGTACTGGTGCCGCTGCTATGGCTGAGTTAGCTGAGGTTTTCAGTGGAATGGAATTGGAAGCCTACTTCTTAACCACTGCACCACAGCTCCTAATTTGACGAGGGCCTATTTGACTATTTATTCGACTTTTTTCAAGAATTCCAAAAAGGCCATATCACGTAGATGCGCATTTTTGTTAAGGATCATATGTACGCAGGGTGTGAATATTACATATCGGGCGATACACCAAAAATTAAGTCTTGGCAGGGTTTCCTACTCAGACCCACCTCAAGGCCGGTGGGGCCAAGCTGAGACTACTGAAGACCTCTCCGGACCTACACCACCACCACCACCTACACCCATCTTTACCGCGCAAAGACCACACACAACATGCCTCCCACACGCCGCAAGCCCTCAGGTTCCACCGCGCGCGCCCAACAAACCCTCGCCTTCGGCCCCAACCCGAACAAAGTCACCAAACCCTCCCAGCCCGCCGCCGGCAACAAGAAGAAGAAACCCTCCCCCCCCGCGCCCACAGACGCGGAAAGACTCCCAAAAGCCGCCGCGGGCATCTCGACACCGTCCCCCGGCCCGGAAGAGGAGGACCACCCGCCGCGGCCGGATGCGCAACCGGAAAGCCCTCGTGCCCTCGCGATCCGGGGCCAAGGCGGCGCCGCCGCCGCCGCGGACGCAGGGGTCTGGAAGAGCGAGGCCGAGGAGAAGGGGGGTCGGGTGTCGGACGCGCAGGTGAGGAGGTACTGGAAGGGCAAGGAGGAGGAGAGGATCGCGCCGCGGGTGCACCAGGCGGGGGTGAGCGTCAACGAGAAGATTCTGAGGCACTTTGACCTCTCGAGTCAATACGGCGTAAGTTGCATCCATCCATCCCACCTCGTGACCGCACTGCTTTCGGAATGGGGGAAGATGCTGACCGCGTTTTTCGGGGGGCCTACAGCCCTGCATCGGGATCCCGCGGATGAAACGGTGGAAGCGGGCGGAGACGCTGGGGCTCAGGCCGCCGGTGGAGGTGTTGGGGGTGCTGGTGAAGGAGGAGAGGAGCGGGAACGGAAAGGCGGAGCGGGCGTTTATGGAAGGGCTGTTGACGAGTAGGCTTGCCGTGAACGAGTGAGGCCGGCAGGACGGTGGTATACAGGGGGATCGAGGACTGCGGTCATCGAAGTTCAGACGGTTTTTGCACTGCGAGGAGCGGATCGAGGCTACTTTGCCACATGCAGCCGGTTGCATTGGGCTATGGCATTGGCTAGAAAGCCTGGACACGCCGAGTCACGTTTGATTGAAATCAATTCATTAATGGGGAAAGTTGGAGTCCACGTTTAGCAATAATGCATTGACGTGGAATGACTAGCAGCTGCTTGGAACCCCTTGGATGATAATGGACAAGGCCGATCCACTAAAAATTACATTGAACGCCTGGTAAATGATCCATGTCTATGGCATACACGAAAATTGACACAGATAGCTCTCAAGCTGTCGAACTTGCATGGCGCATTTTCTGCCACTCTAACCATCCGCTTTTGCGTATCTGTACGATCTATAAGCTGACCTCAACTCTTCCCTCGTTCCCAGGGTTAGCGCCTTGTGCCAAGTTTGGTAGCAGGTAAGTAATATCATCCCAAGGATGTCTATACAGACCGGTGCGCAGACGCTTCTGGTCAAGGTAATGCGCAATCAAACCAATACTCCTACCAAGCACGAACAATCCGTTGAGCACACCCATGTTCAGGTAGTCTTCGGCTTCCTCGGGGCTGAAGGCGCCGCAGTTTCGCATCAGGTCAACAAAGCAGACTGCGACGCAGCCATCGACGTTGAGAATGAGATTGTCCTTCTTTGAGGTAGTGACAGTCTCGACAGCGATGGCGTAGTCGAGCATCTTGCAGCTAGGGAAGCGCTTCTTGACGAACTCTTTGACTAACTCCACACGAAGATCGGGGTTATTGCGGGACTTGACTTTGTGGCCGATACCGGGAACTGTTTTTATCAGCTATGGATTCGAAAAGAGATAACCTCGGAGAGCATACTTAGCTTGTTCTCTTTCCTCATAGTGTCGACGAAGTCACGTGGACTAAGACCCTTGTCGAAGGCCTTGGTGAATTCTTCTGCTGCACCATCTAAAGCACCACCAAATCTCGAGCCAATGGTAAGAAGACCAGAAACCAAAGCGCTGATAAGATCCTTTCCTGCTCTTGTGGTAATGATGGTGTTCATAGCTCCTGATACAGCTGGACCGTGGTCGGCAGTCAACATGAGGACCATCTCAAGGAATCGGCTAGCATATTCTGGAAGACGACGACGGAACCAAAGCAAGGACATCACACCACCAATACCGATTTCCTCTTTGAAGACGTCAGAAATTGGCATCCCAGCATACAACAGCTCCTGGCCACGGTCATCGGAGATTGTTGAAATGAAGGCAGCTGGTTTACGAATGAGACCGAGCTCTTGTGCCCAGGAGTAGTCGATGGGGATCTTTGGTGGGACTGGCTCTGCTTGTGGCTTAATCGTCCCTTTCTTGACAAGAGTCTGGTAGACGGACTCGAGGAGGTCGGGCATATCTTCGAATGTATCTGGCACGTGGAACCCAGCGTCTTTCATAGCCTTGTTCTTGGACACCGCAGTCTCCAGCTGAGAATTGGCAGACGAACCAGCGTGACCGAATTGAACTTCAGTCTTGAACATGCTCGCGCAGGTACCGATAGCCCATGCCACGATAGGCTTTGTGATGGTGCCATTCTTAACCGCCTCGATTACGCGATACTCTTCAACACCACCCACCTCTCCGAGTAGGAGGATAAGCTTGCACTCAGGGTCAGCTTGGTATCGAAGAATGTGATCGATGAAGGTAGTTCCCGGGTAGCGGTCGCCTCCAATGGCGACACCTTCGTAGACACCATTGGTGGTATTGCATACGATGTTGTTCAGCTCGTTGGACATGCCTCCAGACTTTGAGACGTATCCAACAGAGCCCTTGCGGTAGAGTTTCGACGCGACAATGTTATCCATCATCCCTCCTGTGTTTCCGATCTTGTACGAGCCAGGTTTGATGCCTCCAACGGTGGCAGGACCAATTATCGTGATGTCCTTCTTTCTGGCGACGTGGAGGATCTCACGGGCACGTCGCTCAGGGACACCTTCGGCAATGATGGCGATTGACTTGATTTGAGGGTAGTTCATCAATTCCATCGTGGAGCTGTATACACTTCGGGAAGATGCAAAGTTAACCACAGTGTCCACGTCTCTGTGCTTCAGCATTGCCTGCTCGACATCTTGGTAGACAGGCAGCAGAGTCTCGCTAGTTCCCCAATACCTGCAATTGCAACCATTAGTCTTCAAAATCCTTGCAAAGGGTCCGCCGAGCACGAGATCTCACATCTTGCTGACGAATTGACCTCCGAATGTGTAGATGATACCAGCAACTGAAGGTGTCTTGCGCTTGCAAATAAAATCGAAGTCCAGCATTCCCTGTACAGCGCGAGGTTGTAGACCACTGCATGAAAAGTTAGCAGATGTATTGATGTGGAGATGTTGGCCTTGGGAGGCTTACTAGACGAAGCATCGTGTCTTGTCATTGAAGAGCATGTGCTCTGCTCTTGGGCTCATCGACCTACTGGGAGCTGCGAAGCGCCGAATGTTGTCGTTTGCGGATGCGCCAGCAGACGCAGGGCCGGTCCCGTTGGTTGTGCCATTGGTTTGAGGTGCAGAGGTGCTGGCCATTGGCGTACCGTTAGTAGTTGGGGCGGGCATGATGAGGGTAAAGGACAGATGAATGAAGTGAAGAAAAAAGAGAGAAAGATTGGTCTAACACCACAAGTGTCAGCTCAGAAGCGGCATATTTAATGGCGGAGATAGTGGTGTGCAAAATGCATGCTAGCTTACTGGATTTGGACCTTCGGAGACCGGAGTAAGAAAGGCGGTGTCACGACTTCAGTGGAGTGGTGGAGCGGATTGGTAAGAGTAAGACTGCAGCTGCAGGCAGTAAGTCTCCGATACTCGGGTTATACCTTTTTCAAGTAAAAAAAGAAGAAAAAGAAGTATTGGAGGCCTCTCGGAACAATGTTTTTTGGGGATAAAAAAGATAGAAGATAGATAATTAGTTGGTCGAGTTGGAGTGAGAAAAGTATTTTCCAGTTGAGCTCCCAAAGTCCTCACCAGTCACCACCGAACCCTTGTCCTTCCGTCGTTGAGCTTCAATCTGGGGATACTAAGCCGGATTAGGTAAGCCCGTTTGCAGCTGGCTTACACAAATGCTTGGATTTTGAGGCCGAAAATTCAACTTGCCAGCGGTGTTTGTTCATTCTTTCAAAACTTGGACATCAACATCATCGGTATCAAGTCATTGAGATCAATTGCATCTTGTATGCACAATATCAAACCTTTTCTTTTTCGGTCACCGAATTTAGACTCGCTAATCGAACAATTAGCCCGCAGATTCCGCTACCCAACGGCGAATTTTTTGCGCTTTGCCCGACATTCCACTAGAAGAGCTTCCTCACCAACAAGCTACCTTATATTTGCCAAATTTTCGATTGCAAGTGCAAAACATAATTGGAGCACTTTCTACTCCTCCCAAGTTCTCACGTCTGCATAGATAGATACTACCTGTACCTCAACTATCGCCCAGCTCCAAGCTTGAATAGCGGCACCAGATGTGAATGATGCCTCCGGATCCTTCGATCCCACGAGGTAGACAGCTGCTGACACTCCATAGCCTACATTTCGAGTACTACTTCTCGCAATGGCCGCCAAGTCGATCCTCGAAGCAGACGGTAAAGCCATTCTCAACTACCATCTCACTCGAGCTCCCGTCATTAAGCCCTCCCCGTTACCTGCTGCCGCAACCCACAACCCGCCCTCAAGACTTGCATCTCTCTACTTCCCAGAGGATGCCGATGTCCGCGGAATCCTCGACCAAGCTGAAACCACGTACCCATGGCTACTGCTAAAAGACGCAAAATTTGTTGCCAAGCCAGATCAATTAATCAAGCGTCGGGGCAAGAGTGGTCTTCTAGCCCTCAACAAGACATGGTCCGAGGCAAAGGAATGGATCGCCGCTCGCGCAGGAAAGGAGCAGCAAGTTGAAACAGTGAAGGGTTATTTGAGGCAATTCCTCGTCGAGCCTTTCGTTCCCCATCCGGAGGGCACCGAATACTATATCAACATCAACTCGGTGCGAGACGTAAGTTGCGCCCTTGCGATTCCGCATACATTGGACCCTTGAGCTCGCATAAAGAACGACCTTGGGATTGGCTCAGTCATCCAAGACCGCGGCTGATACAAGTTATAGGGAGACTGGATTCTATTCACACATGAAGGTGGTGTCGACGTTGGCGATGTCGATGCAAAAGCCGAAAAGCTTCTCATTCCCGTCGACCTCTCAGAATACCCATCAAACGATGAGATTGCATCCGTGTTGCTGAAGAAAGTCCCCAAAGGTGTCCACAACGTTCTCATCGACTTTATCACAAGACTGTACGCCGTCTACGTCGACTGCCAATTCACATACCTTGAAATCAACCCTCTCGTCGTCATTCCCAACGCTGAAGGCACATCCGCCGAAGTCCACTTCCTCGATCTGGCCGCCAAGCTCGATCAGACCGCTGAATTTGAGTGTGGTGTCAAATGGGCTGTTGCTCGAGGCCCAGTAGCTCTGGGCCAACCGGTGATCAAGGTGGACAAAGTCAGCATAGATGCGGGCCCACCAATGGAATTTCCAGCACCTTTCGGACGTGAAATGAGCAAAGAAGAATCGTACATTGCTGAGCTAGATGCTAAGACTGGTGCCTCGCTCAAGCTTACGGTGCTGAATTCGAAGGGTCGCATTTGGACTTTGGTCGCTGGAGGTGGTGCCTCTGTCGTCTACGCTGATGCCATTGCTTCCGCCGGCTATTCGGACGAGCTTGCCAACTACGGAGAATACTCTGGTGCTCCAACAGAAACCCAGACATTTTACTACGCTCGCACTGTTTTGGATCTCATGCTTCGTGCTCCAATCAGCCCTGAGGGTAAAATTTTGTTTATTGGCGGCGGTATTGCCAACTTTACAAACGTAAGAAAGCGTCGCCCCAAATTCTCAAAGCTTGAGAACACTCATCACGTGCTAAACATGCTGCTAGGTCGCGTCTACGTTCAAGGGTGTCATTCGAGCCCTCCGAGAGTACGCCCCAACTCTCGTCGAGCATAAAGTTCAGATCTGGGTCCGGCGCGCAGGTCCCAATTTCCAAGAAGGCCTCAAGAATATCAAGGCCGTCGGTGAGGAGCTCAAATTGAATATGCATGTTTACGGGCCAGATATGCATGTCAGCGGAATCGTGCCCTTGGCACTGACTGGCAAGGAAACTCACGTCAAGGAGTTTGTTCACTAAATGGTTCTTGTTCATTAGACGGTTCGCGAAGCAAGATCTTTTCATGGCGTTTCCTGACCCCAAGGCAGCTATCAATTGCCATCTTTGTGTTCTAGAGAGCGATGCTTTCACATGCGTTCATCGAAACGTTGCTTGGCCGTCAGAGAGCTGAGGGATGATGTATCAAAAGGAATCTATCTTTTCAGCTCGATTTCCATGTTCCTGAGCGATTTTTGCCACTTCAATCCTACGCGTCGGATACACATCTGGTGTAACATGAGATGACTAACCCCAAGCAGAGTGCACGCACGAGCGACTCTTCAACTCTCCTCGACCCAAAAGTCACGTGCAAACCCAACCACAGCATCTGATTCCAGATATGCGGCTCTTCTCCTTCTTTCACAAAATTTGCTATTCATGGCCACGTCTCGCGTCCGGCCCAACCCTGATACTCCACCCTCCATACAACCAACAACAGCAACCCACCACTACCTCCTCTTACCACCCTATCCACCACCACCCCAGCCTCAACCGCAACACCCACCCCAACCCCAACCCCAACCCCAACCCCAACACCCCCCGCAACCCGCTCCATCCCCACACCCCGTCCACCCATCCCCCAGCCTACGACGCCATCAACGGGCCCCACCCACTCTCCTCGCCCTCGCCGATGCAACCAGCCACGTCCCTCACCACTCCCACCATCCACCAACCACCGCAACCCCGACCGATACCGCCCTCCCTGCTCCACCGCGCCCCGGTTGCCACACTTCCGAGGGCGCGTTCGGCTGGTGCGGTGGCCCGCGTTTCCAACGCCCCGCGTGACGGCTACCGAGGGTGTGGTGGCGCGGTGCTGGACGGGGGCTGGGAATGGCAATGCGGACAGTGTGACGTCGATGGTTAGGGTCATGGCGTTGGTTGGGTCCGAAGGGGAGGGGTGAATTTTTGCGGCGCGGCGGAGCGGGGGGGGGGGGGGGAGGGGGAAGGGGAAGTGGAGGTCGGGGATTGATGGATGTGGGTTTGGTGGGAGGGAGGGGTAGGTGGCTTGTGCTGATTCGAGGTGACTCGATGACATCTTGCTTCGCCGGACCGTGATGCAAATGTAACTGTGAGGGAGGTGGATCTTGATCTCGTCTGATTGGCAGAAAATGATGATGCTGACTACGGATGCCCACACTTGATTTGGGGTAGGATGAGCGCAGGTAGAAGGACTTCGCGGAATTGGGATCTGAATCGTAAGGATCGAGCATCGGCACATGTCATCATTGCACTTTTGCTCTCTCAAAAATGCTTCCAAAATTTACATCTGATGATGGGTGTTCTATCATGGATGAATCTGCTCAACGGGTGATGGATGGTGCCGAGGAGCTTCGAAAATGGGAGTCCGTTGAGGGTCCTGGAGAGGAACATCGGGATCGAGGGAAGCGGTCACTCTCGTATGAGATGAGAAATCGTCGTATTGTTTGTCATTGCATGTTTAGAAACAGGTACAACGTTTTGTAGGAAGAAGGATGTCTTTCGTAGTCCATTTATCTACCCTGCGACGCAGCTTCGAAACCCACGCAGTTTGAGCCTGCAGTCTCATAGGAACAATGGAATTTCTCATGATGTAACAACTTCCTCTGCGACGCCTCAAGATCGAGCCTAAGCGCATCGGCGAATTAGTTTACACATTAATATTCCTATGGTGATGAGTACTCTACGGGGCAACGGTGAGGCGACCTGACCGCGCAGTTTCGCAGAGAGGAGGCTCTCTATGACTTAGCCACCTGCTCTGCGACATCACCTTGATACTCAAATCCTCGGTGCGCAGTAGATATGTTGGTGCACTTATTGTTATTATGATGTGCGAACGAGTACTCCGAGACGACGAGGCAGCCCTTTCTTCTTCTTCATTGTAGCTACGTGGCTATATTATAGTTCGATTGGTGCACTGCACAAATGGCCGGCAGCTTGTTTTGCGACATCATACGCTCTTACTTTTAGAAATGCTGGGTGACATAGGCAGCATGATGAGTGAGCATTGGGGAATCGGTGGTCGTTCAATCTTTCCATGAGGTAATGAGACTCCTGTTCCTGCTGATATTACCTGGACTATCATCGGACAGCTGGTACCCGAGTCCGACGTACTTGTAGCGAACCTGCCACTCGACCTTTTCCGTTCCATTTCCGTCACTAATATCGAAGATGCCTGCTTGCCCAAGCGTTGGCAGGGCGAGCACTCGACCTAAAGGCAAGGCATCGTCTGCAAGCTCCGCAACTGCAAGTAAAGTCCAGCGCACCTTGTCAGGTGCCGCGAGAAGGAGGAATTGGTGAAATTCTTTATAGCGTTGAGGGGTGAAGGTAGAGCGAAGATATTTGAGGTCGGCAAGTTGAAACGAGCGAACCACTAGGGGCCTACAGGAACGATTGAGGAGTCTTATCCAATATCGGCCATCCCAGAGCTGCCAAGAAGACCAAGAAGGCGGATTGTCTGCAATTTTGGATTGTGTGTTTGCTGAAGGCTGTATTGTGAGACTCAGCGGGGCCTCGGAGAATGGTTGGCGGGTCAATTTCCACACAAAAACAGAGTCCAGATCCTCCGATATGCCAGAAATCGCTGGACCCAAATCTGACCGTGGCGCTGGCAATGGAGAGTGGAGGCGCTGGAATTGAGCACCGCCTCCGGTAAAACTCGTAGGCTGGAGCCTTCTGTCGGCCCCAACAAGCTCTGGAAAGATTGACACCGCTGCTTGTTTCAAGCTTTGCAAGGATACCTCCTCCTGCGGTGTGACAATTTCTACGAGACGTTTTAGAAGTAATGTAGCTGTGAACCGATGTTGTCCCTCATATACCGCCCATCCTTTCCCTCGTTCGAAGTCATCTCTCGGTAGGAATTGGTTAATTGGAAGGCGGACAATCAGTCTGCCGGAGCGTACGTCGAGAAGCAGTATTTCACAGCAAGACAAAATCCTCTGGATGGTAGTGTTGACTTTGTGCATGTTATCAGATGTTTGCTTCGCTAGGTGCAACATCGAGGTTTTCTGCAGAGCTTGCGGAAGCTTAGCGCTATGCAGAAGCTCTCGTATATTGTTGCGAGGAGTTCTCCATGCATCATTATTGGTCTTGTCCTCTTCCCAGGCCAAATCCTGAGCTCGGCATGTCTGGATAAGCCTTTCCTTGCTGAAGCCTAACAATGGTCTCAAAATTCGGACTCCGCCTTTTTCAAATATGTCGTCTCGTGCAAGTATCCGCTGCAAACCCTTTGCGTGTGGAGATGCTGGGTCTTTGTCCTCCTCCCTACGGAGTCCCGAAGCGGCCAGGTCTCTTGTACCACTCCGATGGACACCATGCACGCCCCAGCATTCAGGTATGTCCGTGATAGACCGCATCCCGTGCAATCCAAGACCCTTGTGCCCAGAAGCCAACCGCATTAAGACTGTTTCGGCCTGATCATCATCATGATGAGCCAGCAGAAGGTACTGGATTTGCTGTTTGCAACATTCATCCCCCAAGGCTTGGTAGCGGAGACGCCGTGCCTGAGTTTCAAAACCTGGCAGACCCAATGGGGATACTGACTTAGGCCACGTCAAGTTCCGAACAGAAGAATATAAACCTTCCAAGTCAATGAGGGGACATTCGGGCCTATCAAGGAGTTGTACCCATTCTATTAAGTCTTTGCCGGACTCGTTCTACCTCTTCAGAGCTTCCTTCTCGAGCTCTGTGATCAATAATGAACGGCCGAAATTGAAAGTCAAAGCGCTGCTTCGCTGGAGGGTAACTTTTGAGAGCAACACAGAGAGCGGTCAAGGCCATAGAATCGACGCCCCCGCTGACAGCGATGCCTATATGCAATTAGAGGCTTCAATAGAGAAGAAAGGAGGAAGAAGATACCAATTCTGGGGGTTTTCGGTACCCGCACGGCGCCCATGAGCGTAATCCATAATGGCGCGAAAACATCATAAAACTCTGCAACACTAATTGGAGAAGGTTGCAAGATTTTCGAGCCCAGATTGGGCATCATCATACAACCTCATGATGCGGTAGAAATCCAAGTGGACTCTCGTGGAGAGCTCGGCGCCAAGGCTAATTCCCATAAGGCTGAGGACGAAGGCGAATTTCTCCATCTGCGAGCAGAGACATTTGAACGGGTGCCGTATTTCTCACCTGGTACTTGGAATGATGGGAGACAGCATGCGTGCCCATCCATGCATACCTGCGAGCCCTGATGTGTCTCGATAAACAAGCACTGCCTTCAACGCGGGACGTCGAGCATGGAATCTTCAACCTCCAAAGTTGAAAGCCCCTTCGCACGTGCCCTCCTCGTAAGCCTCACATTTCGATATCTTCCCTCGATTTCTCAAATCAACGTGCGCAACTCAACTGACATTGATAGGCAGGCGCCCTAGCAGGGACAACTGTCGATCTTTCCCTCTACCCCATTGACACCCTTAAAACCCGTCTCCAATCCTCCACGGGCTTTTACCAATCCGGCGGTTTCCGCGGTATCTATGCCGGCGTCGGCTCCGCAGTTGTTGGCTCTGCCCCCGGTGCCGCTCTTTTTTTCGTGAGCTATGAGTCTATCAAATCAGTCTTGAAACGAGCGCGTGAAGCCGAAGCAGGGAAACAATGGATGGGAGACTGGAGCGAACCCATTGAACATATGGCGGCAGCCAGTGTGGGTGAAGTGGCTGCTTGTGCGGTCAGAGTGCCAACGGAGGTAGTAAAGCAAAGGGCGCAAGCCAAACAACAGCAGAATTCCTTGGCAGCCTTGAGCTTTATTCTGGGGCAGAGGAAGGATATTGGGGTGATGGGGGTGTGGAGGGAGATGTATAGGGGATGGGGTATTACCGTTATGCGGGAGGTGCCGTTTACCGTTATACAATTCCCGTTGTGGGAGGGATTGAAGGAGTGGCGGAGGAGGAAGACGGGGAAGGACGGTATTACGGCTTTGGAGAGCGGAGTCTTTGGGAGTGTGGCAGGTGCCGTAGCTGCTGCGGTGACAACGCCGTTAGACGTTTTGAAAACGAGGCTGATGCTGGCGAGAGATAGAGAAAGAGCTGGAGTGTTGCTGGTGACGATTTTGAGGGAGTCAGGGCCAAGGGCTTTCTTTGCGGGAATGGGTCCCAGAGTGCTGTGGATAAGTGCTGGAGGTGCTATCTTTCTAGGCAGTTACCAATGGGCATACAATGCAATGGGTGAGCCTCGATAAAGCGTAATATGAGTGTTTTAGTGACTCAGAGTGCAGTGATGAGACTTGGAGAACGCCTCCATCTGTACAGAATGTTGTGTGTGGCTAGTGTCTATATCTTGATAATATACATAGGGCCATCAGGCGGTATCAAAGTGATTGTACACGCATCAATATATCCAGTCAAGTATGTAGTACCGGCCCAGTTTTTGCCGTCCCCTCATCCGCAGCAGCCTGCTCCTTCTTAACCCTTTCTCTCTCCTCAAGCTCCGGTCTTCTCCCATTCGATTTGTAGTACAATATGACATCTCCACCAGACTTCGATACATGAGCTCGCAAAGTAGCTAGGGTGGAGTTGTGTGCAACGAGCTGATCCTGGCAATATAGCTCGAGGTAGTCTTCTGGCTTGACTTCGCCGGGATCTGGTTGCTCAGGCAGAGTTTCTATACGTTCGGCCACGTAAGCGAGGACCTTTTTGGCACGAAGCATGCGATTTGCGTTGAGTCGGGAGTTGCTGCTAGCATTTAGTCTTCAAGAGTGAGTGTAAGAAGAGTAGGGGGGCGTACCCATCGGGGCTTGCGATGCTGGGAAGCAGGTCTTGGTAAGGTAACAGCACGAACGACACCTTGGGAATTTCCTTAACAGGCATGTGGTTCTAAGTTCGTTAATAGTCTACAAAACGCGGTTGTAGGATTACAGCATACCTTCAATAGAAGATCGCCTAGCCACATTGGCGCGGTTCTCTCAATTAGATCAGCATCACTGCCGACAGAGCTGATGGTCCCTCTATACAAATCCGCGACTCCCCCTGAATCAGGCTGGTCTTCTTGGATAAGTACAGTCGTAAACGGCGGAGGCCGAAGTAGAGGTGTTTCGTTCAATGAGCTGGGCGTAATCCCCGTCGCAAGGGGCTGGGAGGGTCCACGCTGTATACGTTCCTCATAGTCATACCTGAGCTTCTGTATCGTGCCGAAGAAGTTGTCTTGAACAGTCTTGTCCTCTTTCTCCTCGGACTTGTCAGACTCTTCCGATATCTCATCTACGACTGCTGGCTTGACATCCTGGGACGTGCGGCCCAATTTCTTTGGGAAATTCATACGGAATTTCTTGCCGAATAGCGAGCTGGATTTCTCCTCTTTGTCTGCGTCAACAGGCGACGTTGTGGCTGTTTCAAGAGATGTGTCTCCAGGAGTGACGGGTCCTTTTAATTGACCGTCGACTGGGCTCTTGGCTTGAGCATTAGATGAGAAGTAATCACCTGCTCTGTCGCTAGAACTCCGGGGCTGGCTGTGTTGTGATACTCGCTTTTCTAGTGCTGTCCCTTCTTCGGCCGTGACTGACCTGTTCGGCCCCGATGTACTGGTCACGCCGTTGATGTAAGGTGTCGCTGCTCCAATTGTAAGACCGGGGGTATTTGTATTTGGGGGACGCGTGATGCCATCCGTCACGATCGTGGGCCGTGGCGTGATCATGCTATCGTCTTCGTTCATGAAACTTGGGGGATGGATTATAGGAAGCTGTATAGAGGATGGAGCATTCTCCCTGCGTAAAGTGGTAGGCTTTGACGTGTTTGCCATCAAGTCATGACGGAATTTGGCATCACGCTCGATCTCCTCACCAATGAGCTTGGCGAACAGAAAGCGCAGTATCCATTTCCCCAGATTTATGCGCTGATCGTCTCTGAATTCGCCAGCATTCTCAATGTCCAATTCGTCGGCGTACATCTCTGCGTCGAAGCAGTAATTCTCTTCGAGAATGCATGCCAATCTTCCAGTCCTTGTATCTACACCGCACCAATTTGCAACGCTTTCAATCGTATTGACTTCGGGCATAACGTCTTCCAAATGCCTTTTGCCAAAAGATCTGATCGGTACACATCTCAAAAGATCCCACATCGTTACTTCGCCTGCGGTATCTAACGTTAGGACTCTTCTTCTATCATTCAGCATCACATGTTTGATCAATCCATTTTGGCCTTCAATGGTCTCTTCAGGCAGATCGTGGAATGGAACTACAACTCCAAGGTCTTGGTCCACAACTGCTTCGGACATTTTTCTCGCACTTGTTCCGGAGTATATAGTCGACACTTCTAGATCCCTGGGTCTCTGGCCCGGATACGCCGCGTTGTTAGATATTCGCAAAACACAGGAAAGTGGTATCTTTGATTTCGTTATCCCATTCACGGGAGAGGTCTCTTTAGGAGGAGGCGAAGGGATCTTGGGACGAGAGACTATACTAGAACCTCGTTGCTGCCGTACTGACTCCGGAGATTGGACCTCCTTTCTAGTATCCACATCGTGCCACCGATTGATGCTCGAGCTGGAGGTTGCGGTCCAGACGTAGTCTCCAGCAACAACCACCTTGGCAACGCCATCATGCTCTTGGGCCACAGCCAAAGACAAGCCTTCGTCCATATCAGGGCAATCGCGAACATCCGTCTTAGCGAGCAATCCTGATCGATCACTTGAATAGAAGAGAGATAATTGGGGATGGTCAGAGTAGAGTGACCATACGCTGTCGTTGTGCATCGTCAAAGTATACATGCATCTGCCCGCAGTAACGGACCAAACTTTGATGGATTGATCTGACGAGGCGGTCATGATCGTATCGCCGTCCTGGTTGATCAGAATATCTCTTATGTTGTCCGTATGGCCCACGAAATTGGTAATGCGCTTCCCAGACTTCGGATCCCATAGCCTGACGATGCTTTCTGGACCTCCACTAGCCATGACCGAGCCTCTAACACTCAACGCATAGACAGAACCCTTGGTCTCGTTCTCTCCGAGGTCGATATGTAATCTTTCTCCTCCGCCATTGAGATCCCATAGTTTGATTTTGTGATCTAATCCGCCAGATGCTACCCAGTCTGAGTGTGCTCCCGGTGATGCGAGACACTTGACGTAGTCGCTGTGTAGTCCGATGGTTGTCGGTATCTGATTATCTTCGGAATGCGGTCTCCACAATTTTACTGTGATATCTGAAGACGCTGAGACCAAGGCGGAATTGCTATGAGCGAGAAGGATGTCGTTGACCCAGTGGGTGTGGGCTTGCACTTGCTTGCCGAAGGCCGATGATTTGGACTTCTTAAACGCCTTTGCAGAAGCGTCTTCTCGGGATGTGAATGGGTTCTCGTTATCGTAGGTGTTGGATTCCAGGTCGAGGCCGAGATCCCAGGCGCATATCAAACCATCTCGACCGCCTGAGTATCTGTCAGATTGTCAGCGATCTCACTGAGAATTCTTGGTCTAAAGTCCCTTCACAGAATCGAGCGATCTGTGTCTATTGCGAGGCCGTTGACCCCCAAACGGTGTCCCCCGGGCGAGTTTGCCAGGGGTAGCACTAGCAATGTGTGTGAGCTTGGTTCCCTGCAGTGACTGTGGGGGGCACTGACCATAGCTGATCCGTTGGCGGGCCTTGCGCGCCATCTATGTTTATTTCCTGCATGTAGACCTTCAGTTTTCGATCAACATGGAGCACTCTTATAGTCGGCGGGGTTGAAACCATGCGGTGTTGAGCATGCCGTCGCGCGGTTGGTTGGCTTCGGGGATAAGCAGAAAGTATCCCCGAGTGGCTGAGCGAATGCTTCATTCTCGGAATATCATGAGTCAGAAACAGAGATGATTGTGAATAGTAATTACAATGGCGCTGGCCGACTTGTTGCATTAATCGTGCCAAAGAATGGATGTCGCCTTTCAGCGCGTGTAAATATCATAGCCGCTAGGGGAATGCACTCAAATGACGTCCCTGCAGGTCTACAGACACTCCTTTCTATCAATACTTTAACATGCTATACACGATGCTGCGATGTAACGCTAGCAGCAGAAAGACAAATAGCAGCTTCATCGCGAAGATTTGCTCAAACATGGCGTATGTTCATTCAAACCCAGGGGAACCTCTGTGAAGGCAACTGTAGTGCATCTCGTAATCCTTGCATTACTAGCACCGATATCTGTGGTGCGACATCGATGCATGTCTCTCATGGAACCATCCACGTTTGGTATACGGAGCCCAACACGCCGCCGAGGGAACGCGTTACTTCTGGCCGGGTGCTGGAGCAGGAGTGCCTGGTTCTAGTGTGTGCTCGTGACCGCGAGCTTTAACCACCTTCCCTCCTTCAACCTGTTGGCAAACTGGTGTACTCGATATCCATGGATCGGCTATCATGTCCTCCAATGTAGCTCGATTTTTGGGGTTGACCTGAAGCATTTTCCCCATTATGGTTCTTGTTTCTCTAGGTAAAAGACGAAGTAGGCGCCAAGGCCCTTTGATGACATTGTCTTTCGGAGCGTCAAGTCGAGACCCTGGATTAGTAGATTCACGAGCATTATTTTTGACTTCCGAGCTCTGTCCCGGCTGGTCATTATGATGAGCGGGCGCTGAGCTTCGGCGCTCGTCTGCATTGCCAGGTGTGACTTCTGTTGCAGGCTTTGATCTTTCCTTGGCCCCGACCTCAGTGGATGGAGCTCCCGCGGAAGGCGGCGAAACGAAGAGTTTGAAGGAATTGTCGGTCAAGCGGGGCATCTTCCACGGGAAACGTCGCAGAGACATGCAGGCAAATATTATGGCAAGAGACCATATGTCTGCGGGTTGAGGATCATATTTGGGATGATCGTAAACTTCGGGCGCCAAATATGGATCTGAACCCACAACACCTACTGTCTGTGAGCTTTGAATTGTTTCGTGGGGCGGAAAGGTAGCTTACCACTCGCTAATATTATGTCGTTCTCGAACGGATACTTGAAGACGCTAGCGCTACCAAAGTCGATCAACTTCATGATGCCATGCTCGTTCACCACCACGTTATCCAACTTGAGGTCTCTGTGGGCAAGCCCCATGCTGTGGAGAAATGTTACACCGCTCACAATTTGAAGAAATGAGCACGCGACCTCTTCCCTTGACATTTTGCCAGTCATCACAATTGCAAAAAGATCAAACGGCGCGTACTCCATGACCTCATACCAATGACCCTTTTCGTGCACGATGTCTAGTGTCTCGATGATGTTGCCGTGATGTAATGTTGATCCAATGCAAAATTCGGCGGTGACTTTTTTATTGTATTCTCGCTCAGTCTCGTAAGAATGTCGATCTCGGAACTGCTTGACGGCGAAGGTCAGGCCATCGCTGCTCCGCTTCATGAGCTTGACAGAACCTCCAGCCCCTGATCCGAGGACTTTCCCAAATTTCCCCCACTTGGTTTGCAGACCATGATCATCAGCGAATGGAACGTTGGCGATCGCTTGCTGGTGTGGCGGCGTCCTGACCCCTGAATTATTATTGAGCGATGCTTTTGCGGACTTCGCAGGCGATTGTGCACGTTTCTTATGATGACCTCCAATTCCAAAGAAGCGTTTCAACTCGGACATCGAACCGTGTGGCTTATCATCCATATGGGCAACGTGATCCTTCTGCCCCCCTAAGCCATGCATTGAGAACGTCGATTTTCTATGCTCAGCTTTAAGATCATTGCCACTGTTCGAGCGCGGCAAAGCTCCAGAAGAACCACCTGTCAAGTTGATGCCAGATCGACGCCGCACATCACCAAAGACGAATCTTTTATCGATTGTGTCAAGGTTTCTCGTTTGCGGAGGTCTCTTACTTCTAGCATATGGATCATCTCGGTCGCCGACTGGTGTGAAAGGTCTTTGGTAGCTTGATGGAGGTGTGACTGTCCCAGAGACTGCATCTGCAGCTTGTGTAGGACTAACCTCTCGCGAAGGTGGAACAGAGCCTTCGCTAGGTCTTGAGTTGGAGCTGTCAGATTGTGCTGGTGTCGCTGAGCCATCGGATGGTCCAATGACAAATCCAGATGCACGCTTTGACCGATCTGCTGTGTTGGAACCTTGAGATATAGATGTCGGACGGGTAGAGGCGGGATCTGAAGGTGTCGACGGCCTTGAAGTGGCGGCGCTTGCCGGAGATGGAGATTTCCCAGGACCTGAAGTCTGCGGAGCCATCTGGACCGGGTCAGGGTGAACTTTGGCCAGATGTGCGCCAGAGCCGTCAGGGATCAGGCGAGAACCTTCAGGATGCTCTATTCCAGCTGGTGTAAGAGGAGGTGTAGTCATTGTAGAAGGGGGAGACATTCTGGGAGATGGCGCACCAGACCGTGTTGCCTCCCTCGATGTATGGTATGGACTTGATTCATTCGAAGGTGCTCTGGAGACGGGCAGAGACACAGGCTCGTAGGCGAAATTACTTGTCCGTCTCTGGTGCAAGTGTGAATGATGTAGTCCCAGGGACAAATTCCGTATTTCATCCTCTGCGCCCGAGCCAAGTTCACCTCTGGATATTGGAGATTCTGAAGCTTCTGTATTGCTTTGTAGGCTTTGGGCAGGCTCTATTTCTTGGTTGACAGACGCGAATCTGACTGTTTGTGGTAACGTAGGTTCAGAAGGTTGTGCGCCGGATGGTGTCTGCCCTGGTGTCGCGTTTCCCTCTTCACCTGAGGTTGCTCGTGGAATCAGCTGCTGACACACTGCGCCACGAAATTTAACGGGTAGCTGACAGACCTTCAAAGTTCAATGGATCTTTTGGATGTGTTGGTTCCATCCTCACAGTCCAACCCTTTTCAACTGGGAGACTGGGGTTGCGAAGAATTAGGCCTCGGAGCGACAATTGAACATGCTGGGACAGCGAGGCAACGGTGCAGACTTCTTAAACGGACCGAAACACGACGGGAGAGTATGCTGTTGGCGTATAAGAAAGCAAAAAGTGACAGAAAGCCGTTGGGATAGTCGTTAGATAAGATACTTATAGTACTTCATACTCAACCGCAATTGAGACCTGTAACGGTTCTTGGATGTGTGATCTTCGGCAGGTGGGATGATTCATATGTACTTTATCATTAGCGTAAACTCTAAAGCTTATCAGCGCCGGCGTTAAGCCCTCAAAGACTTCGTGTTAGTGACACCTGCAAAAGCAAGCGTCCTATACTCTAGTAAACACTCTCAGCTTAACGAAGGATACTGAAACACTGGAAAATCAAGACAGCTAAACCAACCAACTCTGACTCGCGGGGTCAGCCAGTCGCCCGACCAGATTTTCCCTTGCAATCAGGCAGCTCCGACGACGCATCGATGCCTACTCACCTGTCGTTCGCGTTCGGGGTCGGAAACCTCTTCAATTTCAAATTTGATTACCGTCCCCGAGAGTCATCTCCGGGCAGATATGATCCGAGATCTGCAATTACTGACTACGATATGGCCAGAGTAGGTCAATCATTCTAACAAGACTTTGGGTCTGTTCACTAATATGTCAGAAGAGGTAGGACTTCCGCAGCCGCAGATACCTTCAAATAGACGTCCTTAAGAGCAGCGAGACATAGTCCGGGATTCCCATCCTCCCAGGCACACGTTTCATGACTCCAATTTCCGTCTATAAACAGTAGTTGCTGACTGGGAACTTCGCCAGCGGGGTCAAGATAGATTCTACAGAAGATCCAATCATCCCTCAGGATCAAAGTCAATGCCCGCTGTTCTCTGCAGTGCCCGCTGAGATAAGACATATGATTTTCCATCATCTCTTGACAACAGCGGACCCAATAGAGAAACCGCACAAGCATTTGGGCAGCAAGGAGACAGCGTTGCTCGACAATTACAAGCCAATCCCCGAAATTGATTCCACAATTCTCAGAACATGCCGTATGATCTATTCCGAGGCTTTACCCATTCTTTACGGCCAGAACACATTCGAATTTTCCTCGGCGAATGCTATCCGCTCTTTCCAGAGCAAGAGTCTCATTGGTTATCCTCTGGGTAAGGCAATCCACATTCCGCTAATATCGCGATCTTCTACATATGATGAGACCTACTGATGGCGACCAAGTAGCTTTCAATCTCAAGTTGGCCCCCATGGGACGGCTGACCTTGCTCCGCTCGGTCATCATCAATCTGAACGCGGAGTATCGTTGGCACTCCTCAATCGGGGTCAATGGGACACGCGGCGCTCCGAACAGAGATCACATTTGGCGTGACTGGTATGTACCATTTTAGCGCAGTTTTTTCACATTTCTAGGCCACTTTATGAGTTGCGTGCTTTCTCGCGGCAGAAGGCTCCGGACGCCCCTATTGATTGTCAATTCGCTCAAAAAATTTGGCCCGGGGGAGGACCGTTGACTCAAACAATTTTACAGGTCCACAACATTATTCAGCGAGAGCGACGACCTGTGTCCATGGGGTGGCCGAAACGGACTCGGCTTCCCTGCGTTAGAAAAATTGACACTCGACTTCTCAGAATGGCAGTTGACCGAAAGCGAGGGTCTTTTGGTAGATTCTGCCACCGTCTGGATCTAGTCGTTTGCTGACCTTACCATTAGGTGAAGCCGTTCCTTAAGAAACTTGGAGAATCGGGAGGCTTGAACGAACTGGTGCTGAAAGGGGTGAAACATCAGCCCACCATTGACCAGTTCCAAGCTGGGCTTGTAAGGGAGGGAGGAACGTTTCGAGTGAAGAATTGACCCACAAACAGTCTGGCTGCAGAACTGCCAAACACTGGTCTGTGCAGATATTGAGAGCATAACTAAAATCTTTAATTTGTGAACCCAATTTTGTATAAATGACCCTCCTGCATTCACGAGACGACGGTAAGTTTAGAGTGACAAGCCGCTTGGCGATCATGATTTCAAGTCCGGATGTACTATATGACACCGTCGCTATGCCGAACAGGAGCAAAGTTCCTCATGGTTTCACTGTAACCCCGATTGTCTTCGCCTGCGCGATAACACTCTTGCACAATCCATCCAACGGTAACCCACTCAACCTCAGTTCACTCTGCTTTATCTTCGCAATATCGTAAATATGTTTCAGCGAAACCTCCCCAACACTCTCCTTCCCTGGCAACATAGCCCCCCTCACTTTGCCCTTCCTTTCTTTCACATTCGCTGCCTGAAGTAGTAGGTAAGATGTCGTAGGTGTGCGCAGTTCGAAGTGAAATGAGCGGTCAGGGCGGACGGTGACTCGAGCAGGGATTGGTATACCGGGCGTCATGTAGGCAGTTCGAGCGTTGAATTCCTGAGGGCGAGTTCAGAGATGATCCTTGGGACGGGGCAAGGGCAGAAGGAATTACTTTACAGAAGTCAATCGACTTGACCCCCTTGCTACCTAGAGCGGGACCGACAGGAGGACTGGGTGAGGCTTGGCCGGCACCAACTATGAGTTTGACGACTTGGTCTTTGGCTATCGCTTTTCGTGCCATTGGAAAGGTCGTTGTGAAGTTCTGATGAGGGTAACGATGGTTGGGCTTTGTATCGTTCAAGCAGAGTCCAGAGCTGATCGCGAGCAAAAGACTCCTGAGTTCGGCTCTACTGCCCTCCTCCTCGATACATAGCCTTGCTGTCACCAATGTGGCTGAGGTCTTGGAATAAGTGCTGCTGCTTTGAAATCCGAACTCCAAGGATCTTCTCAGCGGGCCGTCCCGGATCTGCACGTCGATGTCTCCGAGGTTGTGTCGGTCTCTGTAGCCTCGAGTCCAACACCACTTTGTCACTACACACATCCATTATCGCTAATCATGAATTGGATAAAGCAGCAGTAAGTGAACGTGTTCTACACACCTTTCCGTCATTTGATACTGACAGAGTAGGGTAGCAAACGTTGCTGGAACGCAAGAGCCAATCTATGGACCTTCCGCTATACAGTCAGTCGCCGAGCAGGCAGAGCAAGTACCCTACACCGAGTTGCAAAAGGATGACCTCAAATGGGCTGCAATGACATCGACGTGTGTGGAGACACAGACTTTCTATTTGATGGCGGATACTGGGCATGTTGGAATGGCTCAAGTCATCTACAGCAATGTCGCGTGAGACAGCGCTACCTCTACCCTATGTGGAGAAGCAGGCTGATACGCTCACATTAGCGGTATACACACCACATGCCAATACAACACAAAAATCTTCTATCCCGACGGCAGAACCCCCAACCTCTGGTCCTCCGATGCGCTCAAGAACTTTGAATTCGACTCCGAGAAGCTTTCTTGCTACGCCGACGGCTGTGCCCTTACTCTCGGCGAGGACGGAACTTCATACACCGTCAAATCGGCGACAAATGAAGCTAGCATCGTGAATTTGACAATCAAGCGGACAGCGCCGGGATTCCATGTTGGAAAGGATGGGAAGAGCTATTTTGGCACTGATCCAAAGCATCCATGGGGTTCCATGAGACATGGATTTTGGCCTCGATGTCAAGCGGAAGGTAGTATCATTACCAAAGCTGGAGAAGTGAATTTCAAGGGAAGGGCTTTCTTCGTGCATGCTCTTCAAGGAATGAAGCCTCATCACGCGGGTAAGGAGCTGATCGCGCTTTCCACCAACTTTCTTTTTTACTGATGACTCAATAGCTGCCAAGTGGAATTTTGTCAATTTCCAGTCTCCAAGTTATTCAGCTGTCATGATGGAATATACAACCCCACCCTCATATGGCTCTACTATCGTTAACGTTGGTGGGATAGCAACAGACGGAGAGATCCTCTGTGCAGGTTCCCAAGGAAATTCTGTCGAGCATACCAAAGTCATGCCAGATCGCGAAAATGAATGGCCAGAGCCAGAAGCTGTCAAATATGTCTGGGGTGGAGTCACCAAGGACAAGAAGCCTGTTTCCGCCACTCTTGCGGGAAGTTTGGGCAAGAGACTTGATAAGGTGGACGTGATGGCGAAAATTCCTGGCTTTATCAAGACTATTGTTGGTGGAGTAGTAGGAACGAAACCTTACATCTACCAGGTACGCTGTCTTGCAGCAGATTTCGAAGTTTCTCTTTCGCTAACAATGCGTCTCACAGTATGCACCGCAGCAGAAGCTTTCCATCACGGTCAAGCTTGATGGGGTCGAAACAACAGAGGAAGGAGAGTTATTCACGGAGGCGACTTTCATTTCTTGACGCGTATTGCCCGTTTATCTGCTTGCTTCCTCTTGCCATTACATCTAATGCCTACCTGTATGACTAGACGCCTGGTACCTAGGATTTAAAAAATCCCCTCCATTCCGTGAGTTTGTAAGGTTCAAGGAGTAAAATTTTGTGTGCTTGAGGACGGGAGGATGGGTCCTTTTGTAGTGTTATGATGGTAACCGTAGTTTAGCCGAAGTTGAGGGCGCGTCACTTTTCAACATCAACAACATACCTTTCAGCAGAGACAAAAACTCGAAGTTGCCCTGCGGCCACGCACACATGAAAAACCACAGATAACCCATGCCCTTTCATTATGGAGGTAGTCTCTCCAGGGCAAGGGGCCAATGGCCATCCGTCCTCCTCTCCTGGACCAGTAACCATTAATCCGAACCTGGTCGTACGATACCTTGTGGACCTTCTTGAAATAATACTAGGGGCCACTACAGAGGATCTAGAAAGCAAAGGGAGCATACTTTCGGAATTCAAAAAGAGTGATACGGTGCAGCGGTGTACACGCTTCGCTTCCGAATCGCAAGTCGCCCTCTATGTTCAGAAGGACGTCATCTCTCCAGATGTGCCTAACAGCAGGGCGAACGGCCATGTCTCATCCGGTATGCCACACGCCACATAATTACCTCGTGAAATAGCTGCTAAGTCTTCGATCCAGAACATGCAGGCCACTACGTCTACTCGCTGTCTTCGGAGATTTCAGTTTCCCCCAGCACAGTTGCTTCCGTGGCCCTCATGAAACGTCCGCAACCTATAGATCCACGGGTACCCCTTTCCACACAAATACAGGTCATCAACCTACCCGGTGTCGCAACTTTGGACGAGAGCAGCACAATCCAAGGAAACCCATTCTCACCATACGAGATCCTCCATTCAATGGTGCACTTAGCCTTGGCGCCATATTTCAATGCTTATACCCGGGGTCAAAAGTCGTTGGCGGGCAGCCACGACCGGTCCGATGCAGACGCAAAAACAGGCGTGCCTGGCACAAAGAAGAAGCTGGCAGAACTCGAGCTCAGCTTTTTGCATCTACAACAAAATGTTGAAATCCCTGAATTAGTGTTGTCTTTTCCCGATGTTGTTCAGGAAGCTCTCAATACAGCAGCTGCGAGGAATACCAAACCATCGATAGACGTGATACCCTCCCAGCTTCTGTCGGATACCAGATTTTTAAATGACCTTCAAAACACAGTCAATAATTGGATCAAATCAATACAGGCAATCACGAAGATGTTTCGCGACCCTGATAGTGGCTCGGCTACTCAAGAAATCAACTACTGGCTCTCTCTCGAATCCGCGTTGAAGAGCATCGACTTACAAACAAAGAATGATGGGGTACAACTCACGCTGGATATCCTACAACACGCAAAGCGCTATCAGGTCAAAGTCAGCTTTTATGCAGATACTGGACTAAAAGACGCCTTGGACATCGTCCAGAAGTACAATCAGTTGATGCGGGAGTTCCCTATAGATGATCTTCTGGCCTCGACTACATTGCAGAAAGTGCAGGATTCCTTGGACACCATATTCGGCCATCTTAACAGAAAGCTTCGATTCACCACATACCCCATCGCACGTGCTCTGCCCCTCGTTAACGCCATTTCCGGAGATCTCGATACTCAGCTCCACTCTCTTCTCCATGGTCGAACGCTCATGCACCTTGAGTTCAAGGACTTTGAAGCCGTGATGGATGTCGCAGAAAACATATGGATTACGTGGGACGAACATGCCAAAGACTTCACAAACGTAGCCCGAGAGCTCATGAGAAAGAGAGCCGAGAAATTCATGCCGATCAAAGTAGCTGGCCGCCATTTGAGAACACGGGATCGCATGAACTATATCAAGACATTTCGTGTCAACCACGAGCAATTGCAAAGGACAATTGTCACTGTTCTGGGCAACAAAGGCTTGAGCAGTACCGCGCAAGATGAAGCAGATGGCGACCAAGTCGTTCTCGTGGAAGAAATTGGAGATGTTGATGCGGTGCAAGAAGTAGCTCAAGCATACGCGGCTCTCAAAGACGTCGATGTTCTTGATGTGTCTGAGGAAGGAACGCAGATCTGGGTGCAAGCAGAGTCGACCTACAACGAGCGCACTTCAAGAGTAGAAAACTCCATCATCGCTCGCCTCAGAGATCGTCTAGCGACTGCTAAAGGGAGCGCAACAGAGATGTTTCGGGTCTTCTCGAAATTCAATGCCCTCTTTGTCCGACCAAAGATACGTGGAGCGATCGGTGAGTATCAATCTCAGCTCATGGATAATGTCAAGCATGACATTTCTGATCTACACGAACGCTTTAAGCAACAGTATGGTCATTCCGAAGCTCATGCCATGGCTCAGCTCCGGGACTTGCCTCCAATAGCGGGGGCCATCATATGGGCTCGTCAAATCGAAAGGCAACTCGATGGTTACATGAAAAAGGTGGAGCAGGTCCTAGGTCAGGATTGGGCTCTACAATCGGAAGGACAGAAGCTAGAAGCGGAAAGCACAATGTTCCGTCAGAAGCTTGACACCAGACCAATATTTGAGTCTTGGTTGCAAGATACTCAAAGAAGAAACATCTCAATTGGTGGTCGACTTTTTGGCATCACTCGAAATCGCGCAATGGGAAACACACTGGAGCTTGCCATTAATTTTGATCCGCAAGTCATTGTGTTATTCAAAGAAGTAAGAAACCTGCTTTGGCTAAATTACCAGATCCCGCACGCAGTCAGCAGCATTTCGAAGGAGGCGAAGAGGGTCTATCCATACGCCGTTAGTCTCATGGAAAGCGTTCGATCTCTGGCCCAGACGAGTCGTGTTATCGACTCCATGCCAAAAGTTTCCATGCTGCTAAGCGGTTATCAGAAGGAAATTCAAAACCTCATTCTCACAGGGGTGAATCTTAAGTGGGAATCTTTCGTGCACTCATACGACCTCCATGTGAAGCATGCCCCAGTGCTTGCGGGTGGCCCAGCAGCTCGGTCAGCTACTGCTGGTCGAAGCGAGAGCAAGCATGTGCAATTTGTACGTGATTTTGCTTCGACCACCTCGGTATTGCAGAGCAAGACTTCGGCTTTACAGATCATCTACGACAACGTCCAGAACGCGATGAACGACCTGCAAACCTGCCCTTATGACGCACCAGCCTTTGGGGCGCGCTTAGAGACCATTCAAACAGCGGTCGATCAACTCAACTTGGAAAATTACACGAATCTGGCTTTCTGGGTCAGCGAGATGAACCAGACCATCGAGAATGTTCTCATCGAGCGTCTTCACAAGGCAATGCACGCCTGGGTCGAGACTTTCAATGCGTCCAGAACAGAAAAGGCCAACGACAATAGTGCTCGTAGACGAGCCCGAGTAGATCACGATGAAAACCCTAATGTGCCCCCACTTCGAGCACTAGTCCTTGAAGTATTGATGCGAAACCAAGTCGTCTACCTAGATCCTCCTATCGAGTCTACTCGTGCCAGCTGGCTGTCTCAGTTGCATGAATGGCTTGCTGTGGCATGCAATTTGCCTATCATCATGTCTTCAAGATACGAGATGAAAATTAGCGTTAATGGTCCTGGCGCAATGATGTCACGCTTCACACATCTTCCGAGCAGGTGCATAGATACTTTGTCCACAGTGTATCAAGTTATTGAGGACAAGATCCATGATATTTCTGGATACGTGGATAAATGGCTTCAGTTCCAGTCTTTGTGGGACCTCGAACCAGAGCACGTTTATGATATTCTAGGAGATGATTTGGCGAAATGGCTACAGCTTCTCCAGGAGATTCGCAAGACTCGTGAAACATTTGATACCTCTGAGTCAAGCAAGAGCTTTGGAACGGTGACAATTGATTATGAGCAGGTTCAGACAAAAGTCACCGGAAGATATGATCAATGGCAACACGAAATACGCCTTAAGTTTGCAGGTAGACTAGGGAACAGGATGCGCGAGATCTACGCAGAAATCGAGAAAGCTCGAAGAGATCTTGAGGGACAATCGTTAGAAGCATCGTCTACCGCCCAAGCCGTCTCATTCATCACCGTTGTTCAGCAATGCAGAAGAAAGGTGGAGGTCTGGGAACCCGAGATTGAGATCTTTCGCCGAGGCCAGACACTTCTAAACCGCCAGCGTTATCAGTTCGCCAATGATTGGCTATTTGTTGATCAGGTTGACCATGAATGGACTGCACTGAATGAGATCCTCGATCGCAAAATAAAGATCGTGGAAGACCAGACTGATGCACTGCGCGCGAAGATCTTGGCTGAGGACAAAGTTGTCGGCGAGAAAGTCGGCGACGTGATAGCCAGCTGGAATGACGAGAAGCCGATATCTGGAAGCATCCCTCCAAACGAAGCGTCTGCCACGCTTGGCTCGTTCGAGACACGGCTTACGAACCTGCGCTCCGAGTCAGATATGGTGTTCAAGGCCAAAGAGGCCTTGAATTTGCCTGGTAATCCTGATACAGCGTTAGCTGCGATCTTAGAAGAGGTCCATGACTTCATGTCCGTATGGGCTGCTCTGTCAACCATTTGGAAGAGCCTGAACGATCTTCGTGATACCCTCTGGACCAGTGTGCAACCAAGAAAATTACGACAGTCAATAGACAATCTCATCAAGATGACGAAAGATATGCCAAGCCGTATGCGACAATACGCTGCCTTTGAGCACATACAATCAGTTCTTCGGCAGCTCCTGAAAGAGAATCCTCTCCTCTCTGACATGAAATCAGAAGCAGTCCGTGAACGTCACTGGGTCAAAATCTACAAAGTCTTGAGGCCTGGAAAGAGATATTCGTCCGTCTCGATGAGCCTCGGAGATGTTTGGGATCTTCAGCTTGCTGCGAGCGAAGCAGTCATCCGGGACATTGTCGCTCAAGCGCAGGGAGAGATGGCGCTTGAAGAATTCCTCAAGCAAGTCCGTGACACCTGGCAGAGTTATTCTCTGGATCTGGTCAACTACCAGAACAAATGTCGTTTGATACGGGGCTGGGATGATCTGTTCGCCAGGTGCAGCGAGAACCTCAACTCTCTACAAGCAATGAGACATTCGCCATACTACAAGGAATTCGAAGAAGAAGCTTCATCCTGGGAAGACAAGCTCAACCGAGTACATGTCCTGTTCGATGTCTGGATCGATGTGCAAAGACAATGGGTCTACCTTGAAGGTGTTTTCACCGGCAACGCGGACATCAAGCATCTACTTCCTGTTGAGTCTTCGCGCTTCCAAAACATCAACTCGGAGTTCTTTTCCGTGCTAAAGAAGGTCTACAAGTCGCCATTTGTACTGGACGTTCTCAACATCTCCGGCGTGCAGAAGTCATTGGAGCGCCTGGCTGAGCTTCTCAACAAGATCCAGAAGGCCTTAGGAGAGTATCTCGAGCGTGAACGCATGTCTTTCCCCCGATTCTACTTCGTTGGTGACGAGGATTTGCTTGAGATCATCGGGAATAGCAATGACACCATAAGAATCTCAAAGCATTTTCGAAAGATGTTTGCAGGTCTATCTGGTCTACTAATGGACCAGGAATCTACAATCACAGGCTTTGTATCCAAGGAAGGCGAGCAAGTGCAGCTTAAGAGACCTATCTCACTGGTAAAGACCCCCAAGATCAATGACTGGCTTGCAGCGCTAGAAAGCAATATGAAACTGTCCTTAGCTGAGCTTCTTGGAGAAGCTGTGCAGTCGTTTGGAGCACTGCTCGATAATTCTATGACCGGTGCCTCGTTTTTCAACGATTATGTCGCCACCTTCCCGGCTCAGATTGTTGTACTTGCAACGCAAGTAGTTTGGACTACCTCGGTCGACGCTGCTCTAGCTTCCGGCGGTGAACGTCTACAGTCCTTGTACGATGTATCGGACAAGCTCCTTGATCTTCTTGCATCAACCGTTCTAGGAGACCTTGACCTCTTGATGCGAAAGAAATGTGAGCACTTGATCACCGAATTTGTTCATCAGCGAGATGTCATTGCGAGACTCATGAGCACGAAAGCCTCGAGTGCAACGCATTTTTTGTGGCTCCTACAAATGCGTTACGTTTACAAGCCTGAAAGCGAGTTCGCTGATCGTCTACGGATCAAGATGGCCAACGCTGATCTCGTATACGGCTTTGAGTACCTGGGAGTGCCTGAACGACTTGTCCGCACTCCATTGACTGATCGCTGTTTCCTCACCTGCACACAGGCTATGGCCCAGCGCTTGGGAGGATCTCCCTATGGCCCAGCGGGTACCGGCAAGACAGAGTCAGTCAAAGCTCTTGGTGTTCAACTTGGAAGGTTCACATTGGTTTTTAACTGTGACGATACTTTCGATTTCCAGGCCATGGGCCGTATCTTTCTTGGGATATGTCAAGTTGGTGCGTGGGGATGTTTCGACGAGTTCAATCGATTGGAGGAGCGCATTCTCTCAGCCGTGTCTCAGCAGGTACAAAACATTCAATTAGGCTTAAAGAAAGGCATCGACACCGGCAATGCGCAAATCGAATTGGCCGGACGGCAATTCTCGGTGAACGCCAACACTGGAATTTTCATAACGATGAATCCAGGTTACGCAGGACGCTCAAATTTGCCCGACAACCTGAAGAAACTATTCCGTAGCGTGGCCATGTCAAAACCGGACAAAGAACTTATTGCCGAAGTCATGCTTTATTCTCAAGGCTTCAAACAAGCCAAACAGCTTTCGAAAAAAACCGTGCCGTTCTTTGACAGCTGCGCAGCTCAGCTGACAAAACAAGCCCATTACGATTTCGGTTTACGGGCTCTCAAGAGTGTACTCGTCAGTTCAGGCGGGCTCAAACGCACGAGGCTGACGACTCGGACGCAAAATTCCCAGGCAGAGGAAGAATTGGAGCCCCAGATCATTGTTCAGAGTATTCGAGAGACCCTTGCGCCAAAGTTGATCCGTGAGGATGTCGAGACAATGAAGCGAGTCGAAAAGGCAGCGTTTCCAGGCGTGAATTACGTATCTGCAGACCTGCAAGGATTGGAAGGTGCAATCAGAAAGGAAGCTGCTGAGAGAAACCTGGTAACAAATGAAACCTGGATGACAAAGATACTCCAGTTGTATCAAATCCAGGGCATTCATCACGGTGTCATGATGGTAGGTGACTCCGGTTCCGGCAAATCCGCAATATGGAAAGTCCTCATAAAAGCCCTCCAACGCATGGAAGGTACCGAAGGTGTATGGCATATAATTGACTCGAAAGTCATGTCAAAAGAAGCTTTGTACGGCAACCTTGACAGCACAACGCGTGAGTGGACCGATGGATTGTTTACCAGTATCTTGCGAAAGATAGTCGACAATCTACGCGGAGAAGATTCTAAGAGACACTGGATCGTCTTTGATGGCGACGTAGATCCTGAGTGGGTAGAGAACTTGAACAGTGTGCTAGACGACAACAAGTTGCTAACCTTGCCAAACGGAGAACGCTTGAGCTTGCCGCCAAATGTCCGAATACTATTCGAAGTCGAGACTCTGAAGTATGCAACTCTCGCAACTGTGAGTCGTTGTGGTATGGTCTGGTTCAGTGATGATACTGTTACATCAGATATGCTAGTATCAAATTATCTTCAGGGTTTGCGAAGCACGGCATTTGATGAAGTCGACGAGGATAGCACTGGCCAGACGTCGGCAAACGCCTTAGGTCTACAGGAACAGGTCGCGGATCTACTCCAGCATTTCTTGGGAACCGAGCACCTTCTTGACAATGCTTTGATGGAAGCACACAAGTACAGTCACATTATGCAATTCACAGAGATTAGGGCACTCAATACCCTGTTCTCGTTGCTAAACAAATCCTGCAGAACAATCATGGAGTACAATGCACAACACGAAGACTTTCCCCTCGAGCCAGACCAAGTCGAATCATTTACCTCTAAGAAGATGCTCCTTGCCTTGGTTTGGGCGCTGGTTGGAGATTGCCCGATTAGAGAACGGCGAGCTTTTGGCGAACACATCGCCGGCTTGATAACCTTTGATACTCCTCTGCTTAGCGACTCATCTTCGTTAATTGACTATGACGTCTCCCTTCCACGAGCAGAGTGGACACCTTGGCAGAACCAAGTGCCCAACGTCGAGATCAACACCCACTCAATCACCGACACCGATGTTGTCATCCCCACACTTGATACAGTACGTCATGAGGACGTTCTCTACTCTTGGCTCGCAGAACACAAGCCCCTTGTCCTATGTGGCCCGCCAGGATCCGGAAAGACTATGACGCTTTTCAGCGCCTTGCGTAAATTGCCAAACATGGAGGTAGTTGGGCTCAACTTCTCTAGCGCAACGACTCCAGATCTGCTGATCAAAACATTTGACCAATACTGCGAGTACCGGAAAACTTTGAACGGTGTAGTCATGTCCCCAACCCAGATTGGTAAATGGCTTGTGTTTTTCTGTGATGAGATCAATCTTCCACTTCCTGACAAGTATGGGACCCAAAGAGCTATATCCTTCCTTCGACAGCTGGTTGAGCAGAATGGCTTTTGGAGAACATCAGACAAGACCTGGGTCAGGCTCGAACGTATCCAATTCGTTGGAGCTTGCAATCCTCCAACTGATGCCGGACGTACACCAATGGGCGCACGGTTCCTAAGGCATGCTCCTCTAGTCATGGTCGACTATCCCGGAGAGGTCTCTCTTCACCAGATCTACGGCACATTTAACGGCGCTGTCTTGAAAATCATTCCCAACCTTCGTGGCTACTCTGATCCACTTACCAAAGCAATGGTACAGCTCTACGTTGAATCACAGGCACGTTTCACGCCCAAAATTCAACCACATTATGTTTACTCGCCTCGAGAGCTGACAAGATGGGTTCGTGGGTTGTACGAAGCCATCAGACCGTTAGAGACTCTCTCAGTAGAAGGGCTGGTCCGGTTGTGGGCCCACGAGGCTTTGCGGTTGTTCCAAGACAGACTTGTAGCGGAGGATGAACGCAAATGGACTGATGACACCGTGCGGCGCATTGCATTAGAGCATTTCCCGAACATCGATGATGATGCAGCTTTGAAAGGCCCGATCCTCTACTCGAATTGGCTCTCCAAGAATTATGTCCCAGTAGGGCGTGAGCAGCTCAGGGATTTCGTCAAGGCAAGACTAAAGACATTCTGCGAAGAAGAGGTGGATACGCCAATCATCCTATTCAATGATGTGCTTGAGCATGTGCTTCGTATTGATAGGGTTTTCCGTCAGCCCCAAGGACATCTCATTCTCATTGGCGTCAGCGGAAGTGGTAAAACAACACTCTCACGGTTTGTAGCTTGGATGAACGGACTCAAGGTCTTTCAAATAAGGGTGCACGGCAAGTACTCTGCAAGCGACTTTGACGATGACCTTCGGGATGTTCTTCGCCGTTCCGGATGCAAGGGCGAAAAGATTTGTTTTATCATGGACGAGTCTAACGTCCTTGACTCGGGCTTCTTGGAGCGTATGAATACTTTACTCGCCAATGCTGAAGTTCCAGGTCTATTTGAAGGAGACGAGTTCGCAGCACTTATGACTGCCTGCAAGGAAGGCGCGCAGCGCCAAGGCCTACTCCTCGACTCCCAAGAAGAATTATACAAATGGTTCACTCAGCAGATAATCAAGAACCTGCACATCGTCTTTACGATGAATCCGCCAGAAGATGGCTTGTCCTCAAAGGCTGCAACGAGTCCAGCATTGTTCAATCGCTGCGTCCTGAATTGGTTTGGAGATTGGTCAGACCAAGCGCTCTTCCAAGTTGGATCAGAGCTTACTCAATCGGTTGATCTCGATCGTCCTGATTTCGTTGCGCCTGATAGCATTCCCGTTGCGTACGGCGATCTTTCGCTCCCAGCTTCCCACCGCGATGCCGTGATTAATTCAATGGTCTACTTCCACCACTCTTTACATCGATTCAATCAACGTCTTCTAAAACAACAAGGCAAGAAGACCTTCCTTACGCCTAGGCACTTCCTCGACTTTGTCGATCAGTGTGTGCGGCTCTTCAACGAGAAGCGCGAGGACCTAGAAGAGCAGCAACGACACCTTAATGTTGGCTTAGAGAAGCTAAGAGACACTGTGGCTAAAGTGAGGGACTTACGTGCAAGTCTGGCGCAAAAGAAGGTTCAGCTAGAGAAGAAGGACGCCGAGGCCAACGAGAAGCTGCAGCGAATGGTTGCCGATCAACGCGAAGCAGAACAACGCAAGTCTGCTTCTCTTAAAATCCAAGCCCACCTTGATAAACAAGAAGAAGAGGTAGCGAAACGGAAAGAAGTGGTCAATGCTGATCTGGCAATGGCGGAGCCCGCTGTACTGGATGCCGCAGAAGCGGTCGGCAATATCAAGCGTCAACATCTGACCGAAGTGCGATCAATGGGAAATCCTCCAGCTGGCGTCAAGCTTGCTCTGGAGGCGGTATGCACCTTGTTGGGTCACAAAATCGACAACTGGAAGACCATCCAGGCTATAGTGCGTAGAGACGACTTCATAGCTAGCATTGTTGGCTATGACAATGAGCGTCAAATGACCCGAAGTCATCGCATCAGGATGCAAAATGAATTCCTCTCTAAGGACGACTTTACCTACGAAAGAGTGAACCGTGCCAGCAAAGCTTGCGGACCCCTGGTTCAGTGGGTAGAGGCACAAGTCAACTTCTCAGATATCTTAGACCGTATAGGTCCTTTGCGTGAGGAGGCCGATCACCTCGAGGAGCAAGCCTTACAGACCAAAGCGGAAGCCAAGGCCATCGAGAACACCATCGTCAACCTCGAGAACAGCATCGCTACTTATAAGTCAGAATACGCTGCTCTCATTAGCGAAACACAATCCATCAAGTCAGAGATGTCCCGCGTTGAGAATAAGGTCAATCGAAGTGTTAAGCTGCTTGACAGTCTTTCTGCGGAGCGGACTCGGTGGGAATCAGGAAGCAAATCTTTCGAGACGCAGATCAGCACCATCGTCGGTGATGTTTTGGTGGCGGCTGCATTCCTTGCCTACAGTGGTCTGTACGATCAACAGCTACGTAAAGCCATGGTTGATGACTGGTTAGATCAATTGTCACAGTCAGGCATCAAGTACAAGATGCACAACCCTGTAACGGAGTATCTCTCACACGCAGACCAGCGCCTCAAGTGGCAAGAGCATGGCTTGCCAGTCGATGACCTCTGCACCGAGAATGCCATCATTCTGAAGCGCTTCAACCGTTACCCTCTAATCATCGATCCGTCAGGACGCGCTACAGAGTTTTTACAGAACGAAAGCAAAGAGCGCCAACTCACCGTTACCAGCTTCCTGGATGACTCCTTCATCAAGCAGCTTGAAAGTTCGCTCCGTTTTGGCAACCCAATCTTGATTCAAGACGCAGAGCATCTGGACCCGGTCCTGAATCACGTGTTGAACAAAGAGTACCAAAAGACCGGCGGCCGAGTTCTGATCCAGCTTGGCAAGCAAGAGATCGATTTCTCACCTGCATTCAAGCTTTACTTATCGACACGAGACCCATCTGCTATGTTCCCTCCTGACATCTGCAGCCGAACTACTTTTGTAAATTTCACCGTGACGCAGAGTAGTCTTCAGACACAGTCATTGAACGATGTGCTCAAGTCTGAGAGGCCAGATGTTGACCAGAGGCGTACGAATCTTGTCAAGATGCAAGGCGAGTTCAGTACCCATCTACGCGGTCTCGAGAAACGCTTGCTTCAGGCTCTCAATCAGTCACGAGGCAACATTCTAGATGATGACGTCGTCATCGAGACGCTGGAGACGCTTAAGAAGGAGGCTGGCGAGATATCGAAGAAGGTGGCAGAGACAGATGGTGTAATGGCTGAAGTCGAAACCATCACCCAACAATACACCGCGGTTGCTCGCGCCTGCAGCGCTGTCTTTGCGGTTCTTGAGCAGCTACATCACTTAAATCACTTCTACCAGTTCTCGTTGCACTATTTCATTGACATCTTCGATTCTGTCCTGCACAATAATGCGAATCTCCGAGCGCTTAAAGACTACACGGCAAGAGGGGATGTCATCCTGCGTGATCTCTTCATCAACACCTACCGGAGAACATCATTGAGTCTACTGCAGAGAGATCGCGTTACCTTTGCGATGCTTCTTGCTCAAGCCTCACCATACCCGATGGACAAAAGTCTCATCGAGAGTATCTTGAATCCAGGAATAGAGGGCAACGACGTATCAACCAACGGTAGTCTTTGGACAGACGCTCAAGCCAAAGCTGCTCGTCTTCTGCCTCTGAAGCCTTTCATCTCCGATATCTCTGACAAGAATTGGGACCGCTTCTGTACCGAAGAGTTAGCCGAGAATTTTGTGCCAAGGGTCTGGGACGATGGGACAAGCATCCTGGATCGGCACCTTCGATCGCTTTTGTTGGTCAAGTTATTCAGGCTCGATCGTTTCGTACCAGCAGCCGAGAAGTTTGTCGTAGCCGTGTTCGGCGAATCTGTATTCGAGGCCACTAGCGACCTGCAAGAAGTTGTGAGCCAAGTCACACCAAAAACTCCCATCGCGCTAAGCTCTAGCCCTGGATTCGATGCAAGCTATAAGGTCGAAAATCTGGTCGAGAAAACGAAAGCTCAGTGTTCCTACATTGCTATGGGCTCCATCGAAGGCGTTGCCAGTGCGGACAAGGCTATCAGTAATGCAGCTGCCACAGGAAATTGGGTGCTCATCAAGAACGTACATCTTGCGCCGATATGGCTGCAGAGTCTGGAAAAAAGACTTGGCTCGCTGAAACCGCATCCTGAATTCCGCGTATTCCTTTCCATGGAAACAAGTCCTAAGATATCCGTCAACCTGTTGCGAGCTTCCAGAGTGTTGATGTATGAACAGCCGGCAGGAGTGCGAGCGAATATGAGAGATTCCTTGTCAACGCTGTCTATCCGAGCCGTTCAGCAACCAAGAGAAAAAGCAAGGCTATATCTACTACTTTCTTTTCTGCACGCGGTGATTCAGGAACGACTGCGCTACGCACCAACTCTGGGATGGAAGGGTTTCTGGGAGTTCAATGACAGCGATGTAAGTAGTCTCCAATTTGCTAGATCGTGCCATCATACTAATGAGCCGCAGTACGAATGCGCGGCTTACATCATCGACACGTGGATGGATGCTGTTGCAAACGGAAGGACAAACATCGCCCCTGTTAAAATCCCCTGGGATCTTATTCGGACTCTCATCACAGAGACATATGGCGGAAAGGTCGACGATGAAGCGGACTTCAAGCAGCTATCTCAGCTTGTGAACAGCTTCTTGACACCGGAGGCCTTTGAGCATGATCACAAGCTTGTCAGAGGGGCGCCAAGAGAGGAGGCAGAGTTTTACAGTGAAGGGGATGGAAGTCTGATTGTTCCCGAGGGGAACGAAATGAAGGATTTCATGGAGTGGGTAAATCGCTTGCCTGAGCGTGAACCTCCTACGTACCTTGGATTACCAGCAAATGCGGAGAAGCTACTGCTTGTGGGTCATGGACGCAATATACTTGCGAACTTGGCCAAAATTACCGAGATACTGGATGAGACGGAGCAGCTGACAGAAGAAGCCGAGAGGCAGAGTTGAGAGAGTCGCTGCAGCTACTTGAGACAGCATATTTCGTTCGTTGTACATTGTGCACTACTACGTCCAGCGTTTTGGCGAGCATTGGGGGCGTTGTTCCACAAGCAGGGAAAGGCCGAGAATGATAGTTGCATTGTATCGGCGTTGTAATCAGAGCGTGTTTCGGCGGATATACCCCTTGCTTTTCCATCTTATGTACTTCACCTTCATACTACTTTCAAAGCACATAGCTTCCATTAAAACCCAATCGCAAAGGTGCTCTTGGTTTGCCCCATGCTCAGAGATATTGTGTGAATTGCTTGTTTCATAATGCCCAAAGATTCAAGCTATTGTCCGTCGCCTGAGGTGGTCTTTGCGAGGATGCACTCATTGATGATGGTGAACTTGCCGAACTCGAGGAACGTGGAGATGAGGAGTCACTGTCGAATTCGATGTCCGAGAAGTCCTCGACTGCGCGAGTTGAAGGAAATGAATGCCGCTGGCCAGAACAAGTCGCCAGGACAGACCCAGATGGATGCAGGGTAGTCGACGAAACAGTGTCTTCATGAGCCTTGAACTCCCAGCTCGGATCCCTCACCCCTTCCGCCATACCCAGCCCCTCCCAAACCCTCACCGCTCCATCTAAGGCTCCGGCCCACACCTCTCCTCCCATTACCTCGACGCTGAGCCGCTGTTGCGTCCTTGCATTTCTGCCTCGCAGCCAAGCCAGCCTCTTTCCCGCGCCCCTGATATCCCATATTCCGACCCCGTCACTGGCCCTCTCCACGACGCAGAGGTAGCGCCCACACACGCTCCAAATCACTTGCGTGATCCCACCAGCTCGCTCGACCCCATCCTCGGCACCGGCAGAGAAGACGCCGGCGTCCCCACCCCTTCCGAACCCATCGTACAGACCCACCCATCTCGAATATGTCCCCGCTGCTAACATCCCCTCGGAACTCATGCCCAACGCGGACACTATTCCCTTCATGCCTTGGCCTCGGCCAGCTGCCCCACCCCGCCGGCTCGGCGTGGTGTGCATCCTCGTCACAGGTGCACCCCCGGCCCTGTTCACATCAAACACGCTCACACAGCTCTCGCTTCCTGCAAAGAAGGTACTCGCTTCCTGGGGACTGAAGAGGAGCGAATGCGGCGCTATCCACGCTTCCGTCGTCGGACTGACTAGTGGGTATGATGCCAATATTCTGTCCGCAGTGAAAGGAGAGAAGAGTCTGATTGGCAGAGCGCGCGGGGAGGCGAGGGTCAGGCACGTGGATGGTTCTTGGAGGCTGTAGGATGGGTGGAATGTGGCTGCGTACAAGGGCTCTGGGGATTGATGGAGAGCGTAAGGCCGGAGCTTTTGCGGGTGGGGGGGAGTGAGCAGGTCCGCTGGCAGGACGAAAGAACGGAGGGTGTTGTCTGCAGAGGAGGTGAGGATGGTGGTGCCATCCGGGGACCATTGAGCGCTTTTGAAGTAGTTGCATTCATTCTGGGTTCCGGACCTCTTTGTCGGGCTCAGGCCTGCTTCAGGATATTCGCTCAGAAGTGTAGCTTCCTTGAGGGCTGTTTCGGTTATGCTGCCTTGGTAGAGGTCTGCTGTGGTGCCTACGAGTCGAGGCTGGGAAGAGTGGTTTTCGTCCGCGGCGGACGTCATTTCCCCAGTGTCTGAGGCCCGCGCTCGCGGAGGTCCTGGTATCTGTGCCTCCACGATCTGGTGAAGCACAACATTGCCGCAGTCTCCAAGGTGTTGTCCAGTTGTCGTATAAGATTATGGTGGGAGTACGGAAGAGTATGCGACAAATGGGAGAGAACTGGGTGTCCCATCTCAGCCTAGGGAGCCCTCTTCGACCTTACAGGTAGGGCTGGGTAGAATTGTATAATTTGCTCAAAGTTGCACAATTTTCACAATTTGCTAGCATACCATTCGTCTAGGTAGTACCTAGGTATGTGAGCATATTGTCCTATCCCACCACCATTTGCCACTCCCTCCCACCAGGATCCGCACATCAATTGGCCTGCCCACCACTTGACCCACTTTATCAATAGACCTCTTACATTACTTTCCCAGCCTACATCAGACGATTTTCAACGGAAGAATCAGGCTGCTGATGAAGCATTTTGACACTGTTCGTCTACTGGACAAGGCAGGGACAGGGACAACTAGGAGACGTAGTAGATTGCTTGGTTCGTGTAGCTGGGTAAATGAAGATTGACATTCGACATTCAGCCTTACAAAACGTCCTCGTTGGGACAGACCGGCTTTTATACTCATGCAGGGTGTTTGGTAAGAGTATGTAGCAAAAGTGATGCATAGAGGGCCATCCGAACTTTAATTTTTTCCAAGTCCTACAGTGGAGAAATCAAGGATTCTCCGCAAAGTTCTCCAGTCAGCCCTATAGGGCTACCACTGTAGGACTTGGAAAAAATTAAAGTTCGGATGGCCCTCTATGCAATATGCATGACTTTTGCTACATACTCTTATATTTGACTCATGCTTCACTTTCCGGCTCCTTCATTTCCTTCATGAACTCATCAATTCTCTTGTTTGTCCCATTTCTATTATCGAAAGATTGTTTACCTATCCTCCTCCTCATCTTCTTATCTTCTTCTCAACACTATCAAAAGCCTTTGGAATATATCCCGGGCTCAATGCCTTTACCGAGATTAGACATTGTCCGGAGATTCAAGTACCCATTCCAAGCAGATGGTACAGGGCGTTTTACTTCATGGGGCAGTGCAAAAGGTAGGGCAATGCAAGAATCCCTGCACTCGCTGTCTGCATCCCATCATTGGTGCAACGGTACAATCGTTTGGAAGTGCATTGAGCCAGCCTCCGGCGTGATTGACCAAGGCTGAGCGCGCATGTGGAACTAATAGCCCTTCTTCGCAATTTCTTCTCAACTTCGGACACTGTCACTACCTTTCAAACACAGGATCCACGACCACTTTTGGGAGAATGTCAAGTCTCACGTTGCATGATGCATCGACTAGCTTACTGTCGAAGAGATTTGACACTTCGGGTTCTTTCCAGCAACAGGGTCAATTGTCTTGGATGGATGTCGGCAAAACCACCGTTTCCGCATCGCTCAACGTGCTCGCCCGATACTCAGCTGCCAACGTCGATCCATACACAGTCTTGGTTGGTCAAGGGATGGCCGGATCGTTTGCATTTGGCCCCAACGGCAAGAAACGCTTTGAACAAGCAATCATAGGCCTTCTATCCATGCGATCAATTGGTGACTTAGTCCATTTTGGCTTTGGTATCAACAGTGTCATCCGGAATCTAACTTCTACTGAAGAAGGCGGCTGTCTTGTGGCGCTTTGCGCTGCCGCTGTGGAGTGTTATCCTGAGGATCAAGCGGCAAACATCATGTGGGAATTAGTGCGGCTTTACAAAGCTTCCGACATGCTCAAGCCATCAGCACTTCAGTGGACGTTTTTGATCAGAGCATGCGCAGGCAGTCTTGCAGCGACTCAATTCTCCACCATTGCAGAGCAGTTGATGGGGTTGAATTATCGCCATGGAAGGGCTGACCGAGTCCATGGGAATAGCAGAGGCTGTTCAAGTCCAGATACTATCGCCAGGGCTCTGTTAGGCATTGGTGAAGTGTCGACAGGAAAAGTTCAATCCATCTCAATAGTTGGAGGACCTGACGCGGGATGGCTAGCTGCACTGGCGGAGTGGATGTTCGATCTCCGAATTGCTATTTCAACTCTCGAAGGGACTTTGCTTCATGCCAACTGCGGGACAACAAAAGACGCCCAAGTCCACGTCTTTCTTGGTGATCAACTTACAAGCGACCGGCCATACGAGGTGGAGGTTCGGGCTAAGACCTTTCATTTACGCGACATTATGGACGTGATCAATGTCAGAGAAGGAATCAATGGTGCCCCTCTCATCTGTGGACGCGTTCCATGGAGCTCTGCTCTATCTGACACCTTTGGGTCATACTTTGCAAGTCTAATAGAAATGAGACGCGCATTCGGAACAGTTTTAGGTTGCGCAGCACGAGTTTTTGAAGCAGTCAAAAATGCTGAAGATGGATTTCACGGTTCGCCAGCATCCGAATGCCATTCTTACTTTACTTCAAGTTATGGAGTTGGATACGTAAGCTTTGCGGTCACCAAGTTCCCAGAGCTGAAGGCGTTCAGAAGAGAAATGGATCTTGGAGCCAGAAAATCTACCGAGGAGGCTCTGAGAACATACGAAGCCTGTATTGTAGATATTGGGCGTATCTGTGGGTGTAGATTCTGCGATGCAGGATCCTCAGTTGAAGCGATCCAAGGCCAGCTATGTCTGATCTTTATCGTCGAAACGATCTTGGTCGTCATCAGATCGTTATCTGGTATCTCTATCGCCGGGAAGCTGGACCCTTTGCTCGTCGGTCTCGAAGCTTCCTATCGACACCAAGTCCAAATACACGCTGAAGATGCTACCAATGGCAAAGAATTCTTGCAACAGCTTGGGACAGTCCGATTTATACTGGAGCTAAATTTCGGTACAGCTCTAGATGGAGTAGTAATAGGACTTCACCTTCAGGTTGGTAGGCTGGAGCAAGCAGCCAGGATATTTGGCAGAGGCAGAGTTGAAAGGACCACTCACAAGAGAGGCTCGTCTATTAGTGCAGTCAGTGCTGGTGGCATTACCGTCTTTCTGGATGCCCTGCTGGATGTCTCAGACGATCCAGAAAGAATGGGTCTCTGCCATGTCGTCCCAGGGCACATCAGCAAGGATGGCCGCCCGTTTAACTATCTCTCCGATCTCAGCGATTTCAATCCTGAAGGTATGGACTATCAAGCCCGGAATGGGCAGGTCGGATTGTACGACTGCCCGAGCCCTTCTGATCTTCAATATCGTTACGAGCAGGTCTCACTTGCAGTTGCCGAATCCATCGACTCGCTTCAGGTAGGAATCGTTGTCAAAGATTCTAACGCGAACACTGCATTGCTAGGGCCTTCACAATACACCGCTGGGTTCCTGGCAGCTTTCGGTCTCGTGGCATGTAGCGGAGTTGGTTGCTCTGTCAGGGACGGTTTTGCTCTGGAGAGCACTGATGACTTCAAGATCGAAGAGCTCAACAGGGGGGGCCTTGCTGCGTTATGGCACTTCAGAGGCAATATGATTGCCCGTGTTGTGGCTCTAATGAGAAGTGAATCACTTCCCGTTCCTTTTGAAGCAATCATACGAACCCAAGAGTGCCTCAATTGTTGTAGAGCTACGGCGCTCATATGGAACTTCGAGAACGCTATTATCCTTTCTAAAGCGAATGTATGAACGCCTACCGTCTTTCTTCTCCATACTTAGCTGGTCTCATAGACGTGTGAAGTGATCGTGCAGTTATCAAGCACGCATAGCATGTATCAATGTCTCTTGATTCGGAGACCCTCCATCGAAGACTTACGTATAATCTGTGATTCAGGCATCACAGATGCGTTTTATAGAGTAGAGAAAGAAGTCCCCGGCAAACTGATCGTGTCGACGATTGGTTCTATTCTTGAATCCGGTATATGAACACGCCATCACCATCTACTCTAGCGTCCGGTATCCAAACAGCCGCGAGGGTTTCCACAAGATCTCACAACCATCTCCCCTTCTGCCCTTCAACTTCAGCCTCGGCTCAACCCCGTAGCGGGATTTTCTCCCAGAACACGAGCAGCAGGAGTCCTCGTTTGAATCACGCCTGGCGCCCGTCACCAAGGCAACGACAGACGTCTAGATATACTCTCCTACCGGCCACCTACGAAGTCATCGTGATCCGCCGGCCTTCCGCGGGATGGTTACCGCGTGCTATCCGCACGTCTGCCTGCCATCATTATCCTACAGCCATACCCAGATTCGTTCCGATGCAATCCGTGACACCCATGTCGGCTGGCAAATCTCCGAGCAAGCGAAGTGAAATTCACAGAGGACAAAGCTCGAGCATGTTTGAACTCACTTTTGTCCTGAAATCCTCACGGTAACATTGATGCAGCTGAGCATAACATCCTCCTTCCTTCTCCCACCTCCCCTGACCCCCGTCTGCTTCCCCAACGAACCGATTTCAACCAGTTGCAGTTTCCGCGCGGACTGGCGTGCCAGAACTCACATCGGCTGGCAGGGTCAAGGTGCGCTTTGGCTCGGGCGGCGTACTGGGCCTTTACCCGTCACGATGGACGTTGTCGTAGCGAGATGCTAACTAGCTGACACGTAAGCGGATGTGGGCACAAGTCATGCGTAGAGAGCATTCCACCTCACGGTAGGGAGAAGGATCTCTTTCTTCCCTATGGATATCGCTCAGGGCGAACCAACTCTTTTCGTCAAAGGATCTTGAATGGAAAGGATCAAACACACAGAAAATCCTCTCACAGGGAAAACAAGGAATTTTGCGCGGAAGTCTATGAAACTGGTCATGTCATTCCGGCACCGGCCTCTGAACCACACAACTTCTCTGCCTCTCTCTCTCTCTCGCACCTAACAATGACGGTTTCTTAGGAAAAGTTGCACGAGAATTGGCATTGGTTTCTAACAACTGGAGCACTTCGAACAATCTCATCAAGGGCTTTCCTTCGAGTACTCGTCCCCTCTCCTCCCGGCAAGAGTTCTACCATGATGACAAACATGCACGTACGACCTTTGCAGTATCCACACGAACCCGATGTGCGAGACTTTCCCCCTCCCTCCCCTCCCTTTTTTTTTGATATATAGTCATCGGGATGATGTGCCTTCATTTGCCCCCGGTAGCATCTGAGTACGGAACCACTGAAGCGGTATTCGAAAGAAAGAAAGAAAGAAAGAATGAAAGAAAAAAAGAAGACAGATAGAAATTCTCACCAGGGATTTCTTTCTGCCGACCGGCCTTCTCGCAAGCTCGATCGTCTCTTTCGCTCGGCAAATATCCTACCATCGTGACGAGGAGATGTGGCGGGGTTGCTGTTTGTTCGCCGGGGGACGATGGGGATGGGTTGCTTGGGCGGTGAGGAGGTGAGTGATTGTTGGCAACATGCTGGCTGTGAGGTGCGGCGGATGATTGATCAGGGGTTTGGAGATGCGTCGGGAGAAGAGCTGCGGATGGCGGAATGCTCGGCGAGGGTGAAGAGATGAGCGTTGAGGTTCTTGTGAGTTTTTTCTTGGATTGTCTTGGCTACGTGGTGGGACTTCGGGTCGTCCCTGTAGCATCGGCACGTGGTGAGCTCGGTGGTTATGACGTGCTCATAGATGTGATGGAAGCTGTGATGGCTAAGGAGCATGAGATGAGCTAGATCGCTACATGTTGGAAATGTTGACATCCGCGTAGAGCCAGAGATACCCCGAGTGCATCAAGTGCCACTTTGTCATCTTCCTCTCAACCTACCATCTCGCATCCAACGCCCTACTCACCCTCCCCAGCAACCTCCTCCCGCCAAGTAGCGTCTCGAAGTGCGCGAATCTCTCCTGGACCGACATCTTGGCAAAAGCCGTCAGCCCAAACTCAGTCCCGTGCGTCCCTGCAGCGTCGATTTCATTTCGATCCGGCGCCTTGAGCGTCGCTAAAATAGCTTGAGCGGCAAAAGCGTTCATGCCTGCTCGCCTCAGGAAGACTTCCCACAGGGTCTCGTCTTGTAGCAGCTTGAATTCCTGGTCAGTGTTCATGCCGTGCTTGACCATTGCGGCGACGATCCATTTTGCTAGGTCCTCTTCGCCGCCTGCTATGAAGATGGTTTGGACTTCGTCTGGGAGAGTGGAGCAGAAAGCTGTGAATTCGGCCAGGGCGGTACAATCTTTGTCGTCCAGAGGTTGGATATCGATGTTGGTTCTGTCGGATGAAGGGGCTGTGTTTTGATTTTGGCTGACGAGAACGAGTAGCCTCTCGTAACGTAGGCTGGTTCGGGAAACGCGTTCTCGAATGGCCGATCTGTTTATTTGGCCTGGTAAGGCGAGTTGCTTGATCTTTTGCAGGGAGGTCCAGATGAGGCCTGTGCTAGGCGAGAGCAGCACGTCTGCTTCGTCAGCCATGGTCCCAAAATTCATGCTTGTTGTGTGTACTTTCGATTGGGATCTTTGCTCGAATTGACCTTGTTGGTGGAGCATGAAATCTCGCTCGATAAACTCGGCGGACGGGTAGACGCGTTGTACCTGGCGAGAGAGGCTGCGATTCCTAAGGAAAGAGGCTGAGACGATAAAGAAATGAGGAGAGGAAGGGAGTGACAGCGTTGGAGCATCGAGGACGGGCGCGCGCTGGGCAGGTGCTGGTATGGCGATTTGAGATACGCGTTTGGGCGGGTGCAAATCGGCTGGTTCAGAGAGTTGTTGGGCTTGAGAATGTTTGGCGAAGTGGTGGTCTGATGTGACCTTTCGTCGAGTCATCTGGCCTTTCCGGACATTGATATAATCTTCTAAAGCACTCATCGCGGAGAAGCTGTTGGTGAAAGAGACTTCTTGGTTGATTCCTTTACTTGTGGTCTCTTTAGTAGGTTTGCTGACGATGCCTGTGGCTTTAGCGACGGCCGTATCGGCATTCTGCTTGCCTTGAATTCTAGCATTAGCAGTGCTTGAGACGTCTTCTGACGGCGGTGAGACGAGATCGCCTGCTTCTAGCTCGAGCTTTCTTTTCCTGACGAGAGAATTAATATCCTTCTCTTCTGGGAAGTCTCCTTCTTCCAGCTCTTCTTCATCCGATTCGGCAAGTTCATCAAAGATGCGCAGCCCACTAGGCTTCCATGTCAGAGTGGTAATGTCCACAGGCTCTGGGGGTACTATATATTTGTCGATGAAACCGTTGTCAGGGATGCTCTCCTGGGTTTCGACTTTCCCAAGTGCCACCGGAAAGGGTGCCCACTTCAGCTCCCGCTCGGCTTCACCGCTCGTAGGCCAAACATGCTTGCTGAAATGGAGCGCCTTCATCTTGGTCAAAGTCTTCTTCAATGCTTCGCCTTCATTGTTGGCTTTTGGGCCATGGCTCTTTGCTTTCCATGGAGCAATTGGCAAAGAGAAGTCCATAATAGGTACCGAGACCCTTAGTGTCGTATCAGCTTCTTGCAATTGCTCCTGCTCAATAGCACGCGCAGCTTTGGCAGCCACTGGCTTGATGGTACTCTCAAAGAATGCATCAATATCGTCAGACGAGGTATCCTCCGGCTTTGTTATCGGCAATGGAAGCTCAGGGATCAGCTCCGGCAACGCCTCGCTGAACGAGACGCTCTTCCTCTTCCATGGCGGAGGCTGTTCAGAATGTGAAGGTGAGAGCGGCACTTCGACCTTGAGGTCCTTCGGGCGCTCTCTAAAGGGTGAGGGAGATGAGGGCGGATTTTTGATGCCTTTGAGGGGACTGTAGATATCTCCGAGGCTTTCTGTCTCCAGCAACATTGGGTCTGAGTTCTGCGAGGGTGAGTCATCTTGCTTCTTGATTGGTAGAATCCTGTCGTCAGCAAATATCGTTCGTTCGACTTCGCGTGCTTCCTCTCGGGTTGGACTGGTAGTGTCGGATAGGAAATCAAGATGGCCGGTGTCCGATGAGGGTATATAAGGTTTAGGGCTGGGCGACAATGGTAGCAATGGAGGTGATGCTGGTTCTGGAATAGTTCTCTGTCCAGTGTTATTATCACCTTTCTTACATTGGGAGATGCAGAGGACTGACCCTCTTATAAGATAACTCATCGACCTCCAATGCTCCGTGGTCCACACCCTCAAAGCGAAATTTCAGCGTCTGTTGCAGATACAGAAAGTCACCTTCCGAAGCCTCAATCTTCTCAGAGCGTGATTTCTTGGCAAATTGATCCGGTAATGCATCGTAGCTAGACGGCCACTCAAGACCCTCGTCTTCTTCTACATCGGCCGTCTCGAAGGGTAGGAACTCATTTTCGAGATCCGGTACGATAGGGGCCGCGAAGCGTAATACATCGATGTCATGCTCTGAGCGTAGCAATGGTAGCTCATGTTTCATGCGTCGGACTCGGTGTCTCTCGATGCCGAGATCTTGATCAGACTGTGATGGCGAGTACTTTACCGACTCGGCGATGGATGACAGGAATGATGCTGCGCCTGCATCGATTGCCAACCGCTCCTCGGGTACCTTGACATTTGTAAGATGGATATGGAATAGCTCAGGCGGATCGTCAAGAAGCGAGTCAAACGACCCCAGGTTTTCGGGTAAAGTGAGTGCCTGCAGAGGATCATGCTCGAGATGATTCTGCACTAGCGCGTAGAAGCGCGCATAGTCGATGATTGGAGGCTCGACATTCTGTGACATGGTGTACCATGGCCAAAGCTCAGCGCGGAACCAGGTACATGCGGCAGAGATGCACCCAGATTACGCATCGGATGCGGGGAAACCTGGGGTAGGTGGATCCAAAATCACGCCAGGGTTCAGGGTTTCAATGGTTGTACTTGTAACGAGGCGCAAGTTGGGTCGCCAATCTCCAATTCTTCATGCTTTAATCACATCCCCTCGCATAGCAAGATGTCGTTGACAATGATCAGGGCCATGCTACCATGTGCGAGCTCTACTAGCCTTGCTTCATCCATACCTCACGGAAGTCTATGGTATCGATGCAATAATGCATGCGCGCTAAATCGCATCGACCAAGATAAAGGTGGCCATCAAATGCATGCAAAATTTGCTACTCCCAATCCATTGCTCAAATCCAAGAACTGGCACCCGCTCAATCGTTGTAGTTCGATTGGCCCGACCCGTCCTTGTTGACTTTCGGCAGGCCATAGCGGGCGTTCATCTCCTCTTCCTGAGATTTGCTGTTAGGATCAAAATACGGGCACTCTGCCTGAGATGCGACACGCACTGCGTGTCTGCGGTGTGGGGCAAAGCCGTAGGATGCCGAATGGTTCTTTCGCGTGTCAGCTATTGTGTGTAGATAGGAGGGCGGGCTTTACTCACGCATATGCGGTTGTCCCAGAAGGCAACGTCATTCTTCTGCCACTGAAATCGAACATGAATCTCCTGAGTCGTGGTGATCAGCTCGTTCAGATAGTGGATGATTGCATCGGCTTCTGCTTTGGGAATGCCAACTATATCCGTGACGAACCCTATATCTTCGGGGTCAGCATCCGTGGGTCGAGGCAAAGGACCCGAGCAATGAGACAACTCGACAGGTTGTTGAGGATGCTTCTCTCTCAATCAGAGCATGTTTCACGACGCGAGCATGAGTCCAGAATAGGAAAGACTTCCTCCGAAAATGTACATACCAGGGTTGAAGAAAACAGACTTCCACCCAGTGACGGGGTGGGTACGAATTAGCGGGTGCTTCGTGACGACAGGCTCCCGTCGCACGGTACGGCCAAGGGCGATGGTCCCATCCGCTTGGATTTGTGCCGAGTGCAAAGCCTCAAGTCCTTCGAGGTATTTCTGCATACCCGACGACAAAAGATCATACACAGCATACTGAGAAGCCCACAGTGTGTCACCACCTCCACCGCGTGGAGGGCCAGTCAGCATCTTTAGCGACGTATATGATGGCGGTTGTACTTCATAGGTCACCTAATCGATGTCAGACATCCCAATAAAATAGGAGCTGTTGGGGACACAAGCTGCTTACGTCAGAATGCCACAAGAACGTAGGTGCGAATTTGGCACGCTGCTCTTTGGACTTCTCGTCGGTGTAGACCACATGCACATCATCTAGATCCCCTCGGCGAGGCACAGAAGTGGTAGCGTGCTTGTGAAGTTGACCAAAATACTGGCCAAGCTCGCGTTGGGCGTCAATATCAAGGTCCGTTTGGTTACGGAAGAAAACCACTCCTCGCGTTGAGATGAGGCGAGCTAGGTCGTCCCTCTGGGCGTCTGTGAGCTTCGCCAGATTTATTCCACTGATTTCAGTGCCAATCTTGGGGTTGTAATCGAAAATATTGGTGGCATCGGAAAGTAGATTACCAAATTGAGGATCACCTTTGGTACCTCGATCATGGTATGGTACCTCTGTTAAGGGTTCCCAATGAACGTCGGGGAATGCTGGGCGAAGGTCGTCATACTCGTACTCCCCATGACCTTCGACAATCGTCCGACCGGGTTCGTATTGAATGTTGTGTTTCTTCTTATTAGGTAGATCCAAAATGCCTCCATCGATCTTGGGCTTGCCGGAATATGCAGGACGGGTGCTTGGCTCTTCTAGAAATGGGGCCATTGTGAACAACGTATGTTTACAATGAACGGTAGTGCGGTGTGTGATATCTTGTTTTGGGGCAATTGTATGCAGAACGATTATGCTAAGGCACAAAGACACTGTGTAGAAGGTAAAATATCGGAACTGAAGGACGTTACTGACACAGGAAGACAGGTGAATGAGAGGGAGAGATAGAAGAAGGCGTATATAGTCGTGTATTTGAGGCATTCGTATGGGATGATAAATTACTGTGCTGCGGGTCTCTCTTCCCTTGCTTATTAGCCCGTCACACCATTAAAGTCCGCGAGCACGTCACAAAGGAAATGTCAGACTGAGGCTCTTCCCCACATTGCGGAAAAGTAAAACAACACGCGACGATCTGCATCGTGGTGTCCAGTTGCTTCTCATGAACTATTCGCGCTGACTTTTGGCATTCATATTGACAAGTCAAGATTCCCATTCCTGCATTGGTGCATCTGCAAATGAACGCAGAGCCTAGAGTCGAGGTTCGGAGAGCCTCTTTGTTGGTTCAATGTTGATCGCTCAGCGTAGCAAGCTCCTCTCGCAGCAAAAGTGAAGGAGGGTTGTCCGGAAGGGAACACAAGAAAGAAGATATGTTGTGCTGTGATTGGTGGCTTAATATTTGGCTAGTCCAATTGCGGTCATAACGCGATCCGTGCGCCGGAGGCGAAGCACCATCATCATCTCGCACGCAAAATCAAACATTCTGGCGTGATGACTCCCTTGTACAATATTGACAAAAGATCCGCCCTTGGTCAGCTAGCTACAGATGCCCATGATTACATACCCTTTCACTTGCGCGCCATACTCCTGAGCATTGCAACCATACATACTATACTTATCCTCTCGGGATCTTCAGGAGTGCGTTCAGATCTTGCCTCCACGGCGGCCTTTGGAAGAACAAGACGTATAGGAGATCCAATGGCGCCTTCATCGAGGGTTGACACTGAGAGCATCTTGCCGCCACTTACCGGGTCTTCCGCAGGTTTACCGCAGACTTAAGGGTATTGTAATTATGCATTAACGATGCGAGCACTGACCGCAGCGTTGGCGTTTCCCCAGCTTTCATTATTCAACCGGGTCCATCATAATATCAGCGTCTCTCTCGAACAACTCGGCATTGCCCGGTACGAACCAGGCTTGCATATCATTTGAGTGTTATTAGACCTGATGCCTGGAGCTGAGTATCCACCTATGATCGGCGATATCGCCGCACACCACGGAACGGCATGGCTTCCTATTCACTTCCACCAATTATGTATCCGTTCAATCCTTGGCATATGCACAGTAAGACCTCAATTCACACCGCTCGAATGGAGACCCTTTCGTTGCGTCTCCACCTTGAAATGGTGCTCTTCAATCTTTCCAGAGCTTTTCCCTCATTGAGTGGACTGCACCAACACTTTGGCGTCGTGTAATGGCAGAAGGTCAGCTCAATTGAGCTTTTCGCATGCGCGTCAAACTGGACTTTGGACCGAATTGGTCAGATGCTTCCCCGTGAAGCTCTAAAAGGTCTCATTGACATATCAGACTTGCTGATAGCACATCACGCCACCGTGGTCCTTGTTTCGTGGTCTTATGAAGTCTCCAAGTAAAGGGGCTTAATACATGAGTCACTGCTACCCAGAGCCAAGGAGTATGGTCGTGTCGAATCTGCTCTTGTATTGCCCTTCACTCTAGTGTCGAACGAATCCGCTTGGTATTGTGCCGCTGGTCGAATTAGATGTCATTGTGAATATAGTGACAGTCCAAGAAAGAAAATTCGCGCTATCGTTCATTCCCGAGCAAGCCCGTCCGTTCATGATCCTCGTCGCCATCAGCATAGCCGTGCCCGTTTCCAATGATTTGGTTAGCATGCTCATTGGAACCACCGGCCACGCCTCCAAGCCCAGCTTTCCCCTTCTTCCGTGCTCTCAACTCGAAGGTGATCCCCATCACCAACAGACAACCCTGGAGTACCCCTGTCACAAGATAGATTCCCCACGTACTCCAGCCCTCCCACCCAAATCTCGCTGCTAGACTCCCCACCCACACAAAGCTTCCCGGCGTTTGTATGCACATCATCGGTATGCTCAAACTGCCCATCTCTTGCAGCTTCCACGTCGTCCATATCTGAGGCAAGAATTGTATAGCGGCCAAGCATGTGCCGAAGATACCAAGGAAATGTGCCCATGAGGCGAGACGGGAGCGGTAGAGGTAGATGATGATGACGGACACTAGGAAGGTGAGGACCAGGTGGACTATGGAGGTTAGGAAGACTGTGATGGCGAGTCGGTAGGTGGGCTCATCTTTGGACTTGGCGTCCGAGGGTGTGCGCGGGAAGAATAGGAGGAAGAGGAATAGTCTATGCTGTCATCAGCCATCGAGACCATGGTCAAAGACCGAGATGACGAGAGGACCCTCACATGACCATGAAACAACTCCACTGCACCCCGACCTGCGCTATACCCAAGGCTCCCGCCACACATTCAAAGCCACTTAGCTCTCGGCAGCATGCAAGATCTCGGCGACTGGCAGGGAGAGTCAAGATATTGGCAAAGGCACAGGTGCCGGATGTGGTGCCTAGGAGCACGAAGTACGGTGAGATGCCTGCGGAAGATCGGCGGGAGATGATGCGATGATGTTGCGGGAGATATGACACAAGAATACCAAGGAGGATGAGACTTATGGGACCCGTTACTAAATAGGTAAACGTCTGGGAGCGGAGAATAGACCTACATGGAGAGGATGAAGTTGAAGATGTTTGGGGAGGAAAGGTCGACGCAAGCACCGCTGACGGGTTGGTCTATCTCATAGGAGCCCATGGTGGATGCTTTGAGCTCAGTATACTGGATGAGATATTCTCGCCGCCCATAGAAGCAGGTATGGCTCCACGACGGTGAAGGGAGAAACAGTAAACAATGAAGAACCGCGTGATCGGCGGGCAAGCAGTCAGCCCTATGAGGATCATTTCCGCGTGCCCCTCCCGGCCCACTATACTTTTCGCCGGAGCTTCTTTTCTCTCTACGTTGCACGTTGCGATAATGGAGGTCTTCGGTAGGCCAGCTTCTGGCTCCAAAGATCGAGGCATCCTGATATACGGTATGTGGATAGCCTTACTCGCTGATCAGATTCATCTTACATCCGGAATAGCATTCATCCTCGATCAATGGCATGAGTACAGATATTTCTTGCTGCTCGCCGCAGTCCTGTTAGGCCTAGCCGTATTTATGCACTTCGACAATAGGCTTCGAAGGGAACGATTAACGCCCTCACCCGCCGCGAGTACTCCAGAATATGGTACAGTGGAAAAGCCGGGCTGGCTGAATGAGAAGTCAAAGTCCACAATACTAGCAGAACGTGAAGATGAGCGATCTGAGAAAGCAGAACCATATGAAAACGTTGCAATGCAATTTCCCAATGTCTCTGTGCGACCACGACCCGGCCCGAAAAGAGTGACAGGCTCCAAAGTGGATAGGAAGCCCAAGTCTGAAAGATCCGCACATCGGAGGATTCAGCCATTGGTCTTCTTTTCATCTTTGACGGGGACGACGGAAATTCGTGCTCTAGCATTGCTAAACGAATTACATACCTTACTGAAAGACCACTCATCTACAGTACTAGAGCCTCAGATTCATGATCTATCCTACATTGACTACGATGATTTCTATGTCACACCTCCCAAGTCTCACCAGATTGATCAGCATGTTCAATACTTCTACCTTCTAATGCTACCCTCATACAACATCGATACCACCTTAGACACTTTCTTGGCCCATCTTCAGGAAACCCACAATGACTTCCGGATAGACACGGCGCCACTTTCTGGCCTTGCAGGGTACTCGGTCTTTGGCTTCGGAGACAAAGAAGGATGGAGCACGGAGAAAGAAGGCTTTTGCTCGCAAGCAATTGAGGTGGATAAATGGATGGCAAAGTTAACTGGAAGGAAAAGAGCGTATCCATTGGGTTTGGGAGATGTAAAATCAGATTCAGAGCGGAGACTGGGCGAATGGAGGGACGGGGTGGTAAAGGCACTGCTGGACATAGCTGCTAATGGAGGTCTAGGTGAAGGTGTCGCTGGGAGCGGAGACGCTGTGGAAAGCGAGGAGGAGGATGCGGACGAGGCCGCAGAGCCGGGAACGGTTCTCAAAGTAGAAGCTCGGAGACCGGCCAAGCGGAAACGACAACAAAAAAATTCACCCGTCGATGACCTTGAAGACCTAGGAGGCAAGTCGGGCGATGCCTCGGAATTTCGTTCTCCCTTGCCTATCGACTTCACTACCTCCTCCCTCACATCCACTACTCCTCAAGCTCCCAAAGCTATGGTTCCCGTCTCCTCACCTACTCACGCAGCCCTCACCAAACAAGGCTACACAATCATTGGCACACACTCCGGTGTCAAAATCTGCCGTTGGACTAAATCTGCCCTCCGTGGCCGAGGCTCCTGCTACAAGTTCTCCTTCTACGGCATCAAATCACATCTTTGCATGGAAACCACTCCCTCTCTTTCATGTTCTAACAAATGCGTCTTCTGTTGGCGTCACGGCACCAATCCTGTAGGTACGACTTGGCGCTGGCAAGTTGATCCGCCGGAGATGATCTTCGACGGGGCAAAGGAGGGCCATTACAAGAAGATCAAGATGATGAGGGGTGTGCCAGGGGTGAGAGCTGAGAGATTCCAGGAGGCCATGAAAATTAGGCACTGTGCATTAAGTTTGGTCGGCGAACCCATTTTTTACCCTCACATCAACGAATTCGTTGCGATGCTGCACAGAGAACATATATCCAGCTTCCTAGTCTGCAATGCGCAGCACCCAGATCAACTAGCTACTCTCAAATCCGTTACGCAGCTGTACGTGTCCATAGACGCCAGCAACGCCGAGTCGTTGCGGAAGATCGACCGCCCCCTACATCGAGACTACTGGCAACGCCTCCTACGTTGTCTTGATATTCTACGTGAGAAGCGGTTTAGAATGCGCACCGTCTTCCGTCTGACCCTCGTGAAAGGCTTCAATATTGACGATGAAGTCGAGGGCTACGCTGACCTTGTTGCCCTTGGACTCCCTTGCTTCGTTGAGATCAAGGGCGTAACCTACTGTGGAAACTCATCCTCCGCGGGCGCAGGACTGACGATGCAAAATGTTCCTTTCTACGACGAGATCACTACCTTCGTTGAAGTTCTCAACGCTGCTCTGGAACGCCGAGGGTTAGAGTATGGCATTGCAGCTGAGCATGCGCATAGTTGCTGCGTGCTCGTTGCCAGCAAGAGGTTCTACGTTGAAGAGAAGTGGCATACAATCATTGATTACGAGAAGTTCTTTGAATGTCTGGAGAGTGGGAAGGACTTCAGTCCTGAGGACTACATGGGCCCACCAACTCCAGAATGGGCGACTTGGGGCAATGGAGGCTTTGACCCAGCGGATGAGAGGGTGGACAGGAAGGGGAAACCAAAGGTTGAGAAATTGAGGTAGAGTCTGAAATGGTTCTGACTTGCCGGAGGGTTCGAGGCTTTGGTGGAGGGAGAGAAGAAGCACTTCCGTAGAAACGGCGGCTCGGGGGGTAGCAAAGGGTCCGAGGACCGCAGCCCCAAGTGCACAGTCTGCAGAATACCCCAAAAGCACGGGTCAATACTATCGGGAACGGCGTAGGTTGTAAAAAGCGCATTGCAGGCATCGTGCAGTTTATGGGCATCTAACCCCAAGTCTATGGTAGAATACAATCACGTTTTCATAATCATGTCCTCCCTCGCCGGCCCCGTACCTATGTACTTGACCTTCACGCCGACGAACTTCTCAATGAACTCCACATGCGCTCTCGCGTTCTTGGGCAAATCGTAGTAGGTTCTGGTGCCTGTTGCGGGTTTTTGCCATCCCGTTCAGGTCGTATATTGGACCTGTGCCCTTGCTAGTTTTTGCAAGTCTGCTGGGAAGGAGTCGAGAATCTGGCCGTTTAGCTGATATGCGGTGGCTATCTGTATCTCTGGAAAGTCGTCCATGATGTCGACTTTTGTGAGATTCAAAGCGGTGTAGTGGTTCGCTGCCGTAGAATATTTCACGATGACTAGATCCAGCCAGCCCCGGTTTTAACACCGAATTCTCTGCCAATAGACTAAAATCTATCCCCGTGATCGTTGAGCTGTTCTGTAGGTAGGGGTCCCCCGCCTACCCGAGTGGTGTAGGCTTTCACCACACCTATTGTCTCCTTTACCTTGAAGGGATTCAGGGTAAGGCCGGTAATGACACGGCGATCCCTGTGTTTGATGAGGTTACGAAGTGGTAGGTCCTGTTATAACTGTCAGTAACGGTAAGAAGCCCGATATCAGGAGCTGTGTAAATCAAGGATTGTCGACGCATCGCAAGCTTCGTGGCACGGTGAGCAAACTCGGTTCCCCTGAATTGGGCAGACTTTCTGGGTCACAATCCCTAACTAATTGAACGATTTTTGATTTTTGAACATTTGAAAGCCTGAAACGTTTGAACGAAGCAAGGAACCTATCCATAGTCCACGTCCAACATCAGTGCATTAGCGGCTTCCACCAGGAGATTTGTCTGGGCAGATCCCTGTGCGCTCTCGATCAAAGGCCTATACTGTATCCACCACAAATGATTGCAAGGCGTCTCGATAGCCATCGAAACGTGTTATTTTTTACCACCAATACGCCTGAATCTGACCTATTAGCATGACAATCAGCCAAGCGGCCGGATAGAGTAGGGAACACTTCAATCCCTGGCTCCTTTCATTCACTCGACATCGCCTTCCCGTTTATTATTTTTCGATGGGGCAACCACTGCGACGAGTAGCGCTGAATATAAATGGTGTAGTCATCAGGACAGACAAGCTGGTGGTCAAAAGGCAGGCAATCTACATCGATCAGCGGTCTGACTGTTTGATGCATTCACTACGTGCGTGAGCCAACGTTCGAGCGCGTGGGAGTGGAAAACAGCAGCGCTTCTTGCCACAACGTTTCGATTAGCGCTGTATGCTAAACAATCGATGAGCCACATGAGATCAGCGTTGTCTGAGCTGATCCAAGGCTACGAATAGATTGGCAGTTTGAGCATGTTTATTGCAAGAAAATGAAGTCTACATTATTTGTTTTTGTAGATTTATGAGAGTAAGGCATAGCCGAATTTTAGCCTACGAGTATCTCGGTAAATTGAATATCCGGGCTCGCGGGTAAGGCAGATGCGAGTAAGTACGGGAGTACGTTTTTCCGCCCTGGAAGCTTATCTGACTGACATCTCACGGGTAAGAGGGAAACCCTCGCTCATCCAACGTACCCGTAAAGGAGAATCCGCTGCTCATCTCGCTCTACATAAGCTCTGTCATGGAGGATGGAGGAACAGGACTTGCCACCATGTTCACCGAGGAAATGCATTTGGAAGCCTCGGGTGAGGTAAGGGCCAAACAATTTCGCGGATTTGGCGCCCTGTTTCAAAGCTCTCTTCGTTTCATCGAGGCATTGGTCAGTCTAGTATTGAGACACGCGATGCCCCTAACCCACATACTGGGCTGAAAACCATCGTAGCTGGTCTGTGAATGGCAAGGGGCTGGATCACCTTTGCCTTGGATTTTAATGGAACATGATTTACATGTACGAGTCCTTCAACAGGGCTAAATCTCCCCGCAGGATCACGGCCGGCTCCACTCGCATGATCTCCTTAATACTTCTAAGTCCAATGCGCAGCAGTGGTTGTTTAAAGAGGACAACTAGCCATGAACTTCTCCTTGATACTGCGCTTCGCATCCCTCTGAGATGGCGCTTCGGAGAAACAACTAGCATTTCTCTTGACTCACTCTTTTGACTGCCTACTCTCACTCCTTTGACCGTATCATCCACAATCTATCACAGCCTTTGCCTGTGTCCTGGAAGTATACGAATTCATGCACTTATCCGTGGTGGTCGCCCCTACGCTAGCGCCAAGAGTCAACAATAACTATTTTGAGTAACTTATCTTCATAACAACCTCCTCCATTCACGTCAAGTTCTTCCTCACATTCATCAAAGATTTTTTCATCATTCTTCAGGTCATCATCTCAGTACACTCATTGAAATTAAACTTGCCTTCTTCTTCCAGATCATTCTCTCATCTTCTGCGGCTCGTTGATCGAGCTGTTTCCCATTTCGAAAACACAACACCGGCCTCAATATTAGCAACATGCTCGTCTCACACGTCAAGATTGTCATCCTCGTAGCTGGAACTGCTCAACTTGCTCGCGCTCATACCGCTTTCACTAACTTCTTCGTCGATGGGGTTGACCAGGGTGATGGTACTGCTGTCCGCATGAGCAATAACATCCAGCAGGCGACCTTTCCGCTCAGCAGCGTTACCAACCCTGATATGGCCTGTGGTAAGTTTACATTTGTTCTTGTTTCCCTGCCAAATTCCTATGCTTCCTGGTGGTACATTAATGTGGGCTACAAATCATCCCCCACCATTTGACCGTCGTTCGAGCTACAAATCGCGAAGCTGACAATTTGTCAGGTGTCAATGGCGAGACTGGCGTGTCTCGTGTTGCCAGCGTCAACGCAGGCGATACTCTCGCGTTCGAATGGCGCGATTGGCCCGATGCTTCTCAGCCAGGATCTATTGATCCTAGTCACAAAGGTCCGTGCGCGGTCTATATGAAGAAAGTCGACAACTCTGCTGCTTCCAACAATGCCGCCGGAGATGGCTGGTTCAAAATCATGGAAGACGGCTACGATAGCACCGCTGGCAAGTGGTGCACTGAAAAGCTCATCCCTAATGACGGGCATCTCGCTGCTACTATCCCCCATGATCTCGCCGGCGGTTACTACCTTGTTCGTCCAGAACTTCTGGCATTGCAACAAGCAGACAAGACACCAGCCGATCCCCAATTTTACGTTGGCTGCGCGCAGATCTTCCTGTCGTCCAGCGGTTCCGCTGTTCCTCTCAGTACCGTTTCAATTCCTGGATACATCAATATGAGCACGCCAGCCATGACCTTCAACATTTACGACCAGCCCATGAAGCTACCATTTCCTGATTTCGGTCCGCCTCTGTATACAGCTGGTAGCTCCAAGCGTGATCTCGAAGCTCGTGCGATGGTCCAGACGATTGGCCTCAAGCCAGATGCATGTGCGATGGAAAATGTCAATTGGTGTGGCTTCATACCTTCTTCTTACACTGATGAAACTGGCTGTTACGCTGTGAGTCTCCCTGTTTACCATGTTCATGGAAAATCATTTAGCTTGCTGACTTCGTCTACAGGCATCCCAGAATTGCTCTGTCCAGGCTACCGACTGCTACAACTCTGCCGGACCCACGGGTAGCAAGAATTGCTTCAATTGGGAAAATTTCTGCACACAGATTCGCAACGGTTGCGGTGCAGGTAATTACAACGGACCGCCCTCCATTTCCAGCTTCATGCCCGCACCCCTGCCGAAACTCGACTTGGCAGCGGTCGTTGCTGCGAGTGGCCCCATGGCTATCTCTAATTCAGCACCCATAGAAGCTTCCTCCACTGTCTCAATGGAGGCATACGATTCTGCAACGACTGCTATGCCTGCACCTGCGGGTACTGACAGCAACGGATCCAGCATGTCTACGGCTGACGGGTCTATTGACACTTGTGGTAGCAATGGCGGTGGGACCTGCAAGACGGGGATGTGTTGTTCTTCTCATGGGTCAGTCGCCATACCTGCTATTCACAACGGTCAGCGCTGATGAATTTATTAGATACTGCGGTACGGCTGAGAATTACTGTGGCTCGGGGTGTCAGTCTCAATTCGGCAACTGCCCTGGAACCACAAAGCGCAAGCGCTGGCACATGCGACAGCACGGACACATCTTTCGTAGTCGCGGACTTCATCTCTGAGGTTGGGAAGATTCACGAGATTTGACGTAACGACTGGCTGGCCAGCTCGTTCTTTATATCAAACCGTGTTCGATGATTCACGATGTGTATGACCAAAATTATGCAGTTATTTTGCCATTCTCGAAGTGTCCAAGCCTTGCGGAAACAGTGTGGCTAAGATGGATGCCGTAGACTAAGTAGTCAAGCAAAACATGTCCGACACTCTCATCGTTATAAAGATCTCGTGTCAGCACAGGGTGAATGCATGATAGAAAAGGATGAAAACTCCAAGGCGCAAGCAAGCAAGCTTCGCTTCTTTTTGTATGCCGGTATCCTCGTAGGACCTGTAGATGGATTGGCACTAGAACTGGAGAGATCACTTGATACTCGAAAGTGTCCGTCCATGCGACACAATACAATAGAGAGCTAAGGAATAGGCTCCGATGGTGTATGATAATAATATCGTCAAGGCAGGTTCCTATGTGTTTTGACCTCCAAAAGCTCTACAGCTGCCGTATAGTCTATAGTTGAATGCTTAAGTCTCGCCGAATTTGCCCATGAGAGCCTCTCATCCTGACATCGGCACCTCTATCGAGGAGCAGCTTCAGCACGCACCTCCTGTCTAGTGTTCATGACAACGTATTGATCAGAACCCTCGATGGTCTTGAGAGTTTGAGTCAAATGATGTCTGGGATGCACAGACTTTTGGCATTCCGGCCCAATTTCAAGGTCTGCAAAGGAACTTGCTGGGACTCGCGTGACGATGCCGAAGTACATAGCAAGCCGAAGCAAATCCAATGCACTTCGTGCCTACTTGCCTTTGATTCCATCCCTGATTCGACTCTTCGGAACTGCAGACTGGCTTCGCACTGAGGTTCGGTGCCGATCGTCAAGTGGCAGACAACAGTAGACTTGTTCATTGGAGATAATAGACATAATCGTAGTGGGTCGCTATCAGCGAGCTGAGTGCGTGGAACGATTAGTGCACCCTCATACTGCCGTTCTTAAAGAGCGGGCGAAAGTGTGTTTCCCACGATTGTTACGACTCGTATGAGATTGTTGGTCGAAGGAATCGATGTTGGCACTTGGCATCCCCCGGAAATAATCGCGTTGGAGACGCCATGTTTACTCTATCTTGGCGCACCGAATCACACCGCGCGATCAATTAACCAGCTACCAGCTCCCACCACCGCCTTCGCTTGATCGTTCTACGCTCCTTAGACCTTTTCTTGCAAGTACCCATAGTTGAGGCTTGCCAGTATTAGACAAAATGCCTCTAAGTCTTGGTCGTTTCCTTCCTTCGGTCGGGGTCCAGCCGCAAGGTCCTGTTCGTGATACTCCGACGCCGACTCCCACACCCTCGGCCAGTCAGACCCAACGCGCACGTCCGATGCTCGGTGGAAAAGGCGTGATTGGTGGAGGCAAAGAGAAACATGGGCTTGGAGGGAAGGGACTAGGCAAAGGTGGGATGAAGAGGCACAGGTGAGTGAGGGATGCAAAGGAAGGACCCACCCGCGAAGCACGTCCGCCGTATTCTACTGTGCGGGCCTATGGTCAACATACACATTGTCTATCCGCCAGTCACACAAATCGAGACTGGTATTGACGTGCTTTCTAGGAAGGTGGTCAGGGACTCGATCCGTGGCATAAGTGAGTTGCGATTTGGTCCTGTTGAATGGCTTGTGGCTGACGGGTATTACTCTCATAGCGAAAGGGGACATTCGGTATGCATTCTCTTCTCTGTGGTTCTACAGAAGCGTGCTGATAGCCTCTCGCAGTCGTCTAGCACGGAGAGGAGGCATCAAGCGGATTTCAGGGACTGTATACGACGATACACGCCAAGCAATGGTGGATCGCTTGAAGACTGTATGTTTTCGTCTTCCGAGGGTTGAGATCGTGTGAACTAATATAAGTTGCTAGATCCTACAAGAATGCGTGATCTATCTGGATCATTCCAAGCGCCAGAGTGAGTGGTGGTGCTTTCGATAAACATTTCGGAATCTCAGCTAACGTTATATCCTCCCACACAGCTGTGACTGTGAGAGATGTATGTCCGATCTCCTTAGCTCGCTCCCTTAGGTTGAAATTACTAAAAAAATCTGGTCCAGGTGATATTCGCTCTCAAAAGGGTAAGCCTCCATGCTTCATCTGCTGCAATTCTTGCAAAATTCGGCCCAGCATGTTTCTCGCGAGCGCTACTGACTTTAATACTCTCTCCTCGCATAGCAAGGCCGCCCTATCTACGGTAAGTGTTCTTCAGTGAACCGTACAGCCGAAGCTAACAAGCACAGGCTTCGATCCGAAGTATTAGCTCCGGTTGGATTTACGACAAGCATGATTTACGGCTATGGGAAGGTATTTTGACTGGAAAAATTCTCACATTGAGTATGTGGCGTCTACATTAGCAGGCGTTATATGAGCCAAGTGCCTGTCCCGGTAGGGTCATATGGGTAATTAGCTTGTGAGGTGATCTCGCAAGCCCAATGGTTTCGAAAGCGAATATGAGGGCAGCGATGTGAGGAATGTCTCCCGCAAGATCAATGCCAAGGATGGCAATGTAACACTTGAAAGTACAATGGTGAGGAACATTTCATGTCAAGGCAATAATACTAAGAGGGTATCATTCGTAAGTCATCTACTGCTTCTCTCCCGTCTAATCTCCTTGACAACATCGGCCAGCACTACTCTCGCAGTTGCATCTCTCTTCTCGAAGCCGCCATTAAACAATGGTGGAAGCACACGGTGGGAATCTGCGGAACGGACGAGTCAGCGTGGCTTTCAAAAGGCTGACTGTGTTTCACCAAAGCAGATCATATGAGTATTCAGCAGAATGGATTGAACTTACTAGCATGGCCTCTCTCAAATTCGAAAGCCCTCGCTCCCTTTCCCCACGCAACCCTCACGCCTTCTTCTAACAAGCCAACTCCAATCCCCTTGCCTCTACAACTTGCGTCCACGGTCCACGCCCTCACATACGCCTTCCTCTCCCTCTTCACCACCTTCATTATTAACGCGCCGATAACCTCCTCGCCCCATTTGGACACTAATACAACAGGATCGTCGCATTTGGATTGTTTTTTCAGACCACTGCCACGTTCACCGGTAGGAGTCGAAGGAGGGGTGTAACCACCCAGCCAATCCCAATTGATCCTCTCAGCCAGTGTTGCGTAATCGATCGTGATCCAGTATATTGCAGCTAAGGCAGCGACCGTGAGCCCAGCGACCGCAGTGAACAGAGGCCTCCACTCGCAGAACTGTGCCAGAACCGCAATTACAAGCACAGTGACAGCCAGTGTAGCCGGGTGCAACACCAGCTCTTTGGCAGCTAATTGCCTCTGCTGCACCACCGAGTCTGCAATAAGACGTAGAGCTGCACTGCGGTCCTCCGGGGCTCCGGGTAGGGCGAGGGCTGTCGAGAGGATCGGCTCCGGTTTGGGGTCAAGTTTCAATAGGGATTTTTTCGAGGGAGTGGTGGTGATTGAGAGGGAAGAAGGTTGCGGGAGGTGGCTGATGGCGAATGCTGGGGTAGTGGGTGTAGAGACGAGGCTGTTCAGAGGAGAGAGGTCGGAAGCGAGGTGGAGATTAGAGCGGAGGGTTGTCAGGAAAGCTGGTGCTCGTTAATGATAATGATTCATTTAATAAGAGGTCGAGAGCGTATGAGCTACTCACTCGAGCTGGACCGGAAGCCGGGAATACTATCCCCAAAGGCCTTGACATTCTCAAAGTCCCAATCCGTTAGAATTTCAATATCCAAGACCTTTATCGTGGGCAATTGCAACTGGGGCGGTGTCATTATGCCTTCTTCTTCTTCTTCTTCTCACAACATTAATACCATTACTGATCATTACTCGAATAACCGAGACCGCGGATTCCGACAGGACAGGACCCCTGGGGGCACGACCTCTATCTATGTATTATATAGAAGCCAGCCGGCACGATCCAGCCCCACCGTCTACCTAGTTATCTAACTGGCAATGCCTCACGAGGGAAAGGCCACTAACGATTCACCTTTTGACGCTCTGGGAGTGGTTTTACGCAAGCTTTGCTTATCGTGCGACAGGCTAACGACGCACCGCAGGAATCCTGAGGTGCATGCGGCGGGCGATAAGGGCGGGTGGAGGGTGAGGCGTAGCTCTGCAACAGGAAGCGAGCGAGTAGATCGTGTTGGGAGGGGGGGGGGGGAAACTCGCAGGGATTGCGCTCGGACTGCTCTGTGATTTTGCGCTTCAATGCCTTTGAGGACCGTGTTGGAGAACTGGCCACGGTTGGATTCTGGACCGGGGAGAGCCAATGGCGGATTTACTCGTATTAATAACTTTGCGCAGGGCGTCTTCTTTAATTGGTACTGCATATGGGGGGTAATGCATGCCGGAATCAAAGGGAATTTGCCTGGTTCATAGGCTCACGCGTAGAGATAATCTTAGGCTGATCCTCAGAACCCCTGATAGTACATCCTTGGCCATCCATGATCCCAAAAACGCCCGCTGTTGATTGCTCCAACCTTTGCGATTAGTTGTTCTTCGATTTTGAGCCCACGCATCTCGACCAGCCTAGCAGTCTGTCAGCAACTTTCTCTGATAGCGTCATTGAGTATCCGCTTACCAGGCAATCCACATCCAAAACCAATGAACAGATATAATAAGAATACCACCACCACACCCAAAAGTACCATCAATTTGACATTCTTCCACCACATCCTCCTCTTCAAGCCTCTCGATCTAACCCTGAAATCGCGCGCCCCTACGCCAAGCCTATCGGTCTTATCGACCAGCAAGTCGATCCTCTCCCCTCTCTCCAGTACCCTCTCGATGTTCTGTGTCATGATACCCTTTACGTCGTTGATTTCCTGCTGCGTGTTTGTAATCGCATCCTGTTTGCCTCCTTCTGTAGTCCCATACGCCACCATCAATTTCTTCAACTGCGCATTGAAATCTGCCGCTCCGTATGGCGGTAAGCTGGCAAAATCCGTCGAATCGGGATCATAGCGGGCAAGAAATTGCTTCTTTATTTCTACTAGATAACCGAAGGGTATGCGGCGGCCGAAACTGGAGGAAGCGACGACCAAGTATGTGAGGCCGCCGGCTGTGGGATCGGACGAAGGATAGTCCGAGGGAGCATCGGCAATGTAGTGGATGAAGTTTTGGTTGTGGGTGTAGGTCAGCTTTTGCGGTTTCGAGTGGTCGATCTTGGGGAGGATGAGAGAGGCGAGCGACGAGGTACCGGAGGATGCGGAGGTAGTGTGCTCGGTTAGGATCGTTGTACGGTAGGCGATACAGGAGCTGTGATGGTGATCGTATTAGTAGTGCGGCGAGGAAGGGAGGGGAGGCGTACTAGAGGAGCGGAGTGGATGATGATGAGGATGCCATTGTGATGGTGGAAGAGGGCGAAAGTGCAAGCTTGCGAGCTCTACCGGAGTAGATGTTAAAAGTTTGCTGTACTTATTAGCAGGATCGTCTTACTGTGGCGTGGCGGTTGGTCGATGTTGCTGGCGCTCTGTCCCCTTCAACCTGTTGCCAAGACATGATTACTAATGGTCACGTGAAGCGAATGTTTTTTTGTCATTCAATATCTTTTGGATCTCCGGGCAGCGATGTTGTTGCAATGAGAGGATCTTCAAGCCCATATTGTGGTTGAGATCTGAATGACGTATCTACTTTGCGTATTGATTGGCGCCTTGTGAACGGCCTCTCCAAAGGTCAAGGCTAGTCACGTAGATTGTTTTGGACAATGGCACGTATTAGGAGAGTGGAGTGATATTGATTACTTCCAATGATCACATTGTATATGCAACGCTTCCAGGATGCAACGGGACATGACTCCTCCGCAACGCTCAAATATGGTAAATGTACATATGGTACATGGAGATGCATCTGCTGCTCATACATTTATTCATTGATCTTGGCGAGCAGTCTATAAGGAATTAGCAATTGCCTTTCGCTTCGGAATATGGTAATGCCTTACTCATGGTCTCTGAAAAGCGAGTACTCCTCCTCTCCAACCTTAACTGGGCTGCCGCCATACTGCACATTAAGCGTTAGCCAATTTCTTTCTGGAAAGCTCAACCCGCATTTTGTAGCATACTTGTGGTATCAGAACCTTGTCTCCTGGCGTAACACTCGGTGTGACTCTCTTGCCCTCCTTGTCAAGACCCCCAGGACCGACAGCTAGAACTCTTGCCTCGTTGAGTTCCTTCACGCTACTCTCGGGTAGATAAATGCCGCTGGCTGTCTTGGTCTCCGCCTTGATTCTTTGAACGAGTATACGGTCGAGGAGAGGGGCGAGCGATTTGATCGACTTGAGTGCTGTCGTCTGAGCAGGAATTAGCTTTCTCACATCGGCTGAGGGACGCGTACTGCCGCGACTTGCCATCTTGATGAAATTGGAGCTTTTGCTACAAATATGGAAACGTTTCAATTCAGCTTTGGAGTACTAATGTTGATTTGTGAAGCTGTTGACATTTGTTGTAGGAAAACCCAAAGAAATTTCTCGAATGCCAAGCCAAGTCGGGCCGCTGCCGAGGCCAAACTTATCCCTGCAACAAAATTTTGATCCCAAACCACTCCTAAGTATGTAACGCACTATGGACACAAACTGGAGATGAGAAGATTTTCACCACTCTCAAAACTTTCATCCCCATTCAAACCATCACGGCGCTCCACCATTGTAAAGAGCCCGCCAATAATTCGGATTGAGAACGGCACTTTCTATAGAAAATACCCTTCCGCAACGGATCAGAATGCGGTGTCAAATCATGCGATATTCCCTGGACTGACTTGGTCACTTCCCTCAAACGCTGTGGGAGACGCAAAGCAACAGCATTGGGCAGTCCTCGGGCCATCCAATGCCGGAAAGACAACGTTCTTCAATATTATCCGGGGGCAGCATTTGTGCATCCCTCCAACAGCCCGGTCTTACCCGTACCTGTCGACAGAAGAAGTGGAAATAGAAGATTCTCGGTATAGAAACGTTCCACGAGCAATACAATATGTCGGTTTCAACGGCGAGAGGGGCGGTGTGGGGAATTCTGGGACAAGAGGCGCCTACTTGAGTGCTAGATATGAGAGCCGAAGGGAAGCCACCGACTTTTCTGTGATGGACTTTCTTAGAGGCAACACGGATCTCAACCCGTCAGAAGAGCAGGAAGGGAAAGACGTAAATGATCATAGCCTTGAAAAAGTCATAAGCGACTTAAAACTTGAGGCTCTAGTCAATATGCCAATCGGGAACCTCAGCAACGGTCAGACAAGACGGACTAGAATTGCCAGGGCTTTACTTGGAAAACCAATGGTCCTGCTCTTGGACGAACCATTCAGTATGATGACGAATCTTTGTGCACTGCCGCTAAAGATGCTAATGCGTAATGTGCAGTGGGTCTAGATCCACCAACCATGACAACTTTATCAACCTTGTTACACAGACTTGCCCGGGCCAGCTCACCACGACTAATATTGGCTTTAAGGCCACAAGATCCACTACCAGATTGGATAACTCATGTCATCCATTTGGGCCCTAACTTCCAAATCATCTACCAAGGTAGAAAGGATCTTGTGGGTCTTGGGACTACACAAGCAAAAGCAGTCATGAAGAGGTTGATTGGTATGTGTTTCTAGGACTTCATCATTCTAGAGGATCTGTGCTTCCGATGCAGTAATATCTGGGCCACGTGGGGGGCGGGTGGGGGGGGGGGGAACAATTGCCGTGACTGACTTCTACAGGGAATGCCTCTTTAGCGCGAGTTGATGTTCCGGAAAATGTGATTCCACAGAGAGGGCTCACAAAGGCTTATCAAAACGAGCGTATTCGAAACCTGCCACGAGCGAACTCCTCATCTCATCCATCGAAGCCAATTGAAAGTCGCGAAGGCATTCCATTGGTTGATGCAGATATCCACGTTTCAGTCAATGAAGCTCTTGTGGAAATGCAAGGTGTCCGTGTGAGGTATGGCGACAAAGAAGTTTTGGGCAGCTGGCAACAGGAGATTGGAGATCGAACAGAAAAGGGGCTGTCGTGGACCGTCAGACGTGGAGAACGCTGGGGTGTCTTTGGTCCAAATGGTATGTGCTTAGTAGTCTACGAAGGTACTACATGTGAGCTCACTGATACTAGGATCCGGGAAGACCACACTTGTCTCTTTGATTTGCTCTGATCACCCTCAAGCTTATTCTTTACCAGTCAAGGTCTTTGGACGAGGTCGTCTGCCACAACCAGGATTGCCTGGCATATCCATTTTTGACATCCAATCCCGCATAGGCCAGTCTTCTCCAGAGATCCACGCCTTCTTTCCTCGCAATCTTTCCATACGCCAGACACTGGAAAATGCCTGGGCAGACACTTTCCTTGGGACACCACGCTTAAACTACGAGAACGACGTCGCCGTGGACACATGTTTGCGGTGGTTTGAAGCCGAATTGAATCCCGCCTTCACTCCTCTAACCACTAGTTTCGTGACCAGATTATGGAAGTCAGATGAGGGTTTCCCAAATAGCATAGACTGGGCAGACAATATTCGCTTTGGCGATGCTCCGTTTTCTGCGCAACGAGTAGCGCTCTTCTTACGTGCCATCATCAAGAAGCCAGATCTTGTCGTTCTAGATGAGGCATTCAGCGGCATGGACGATCATGTGCGTGATAAGTGCATGCTCTTTCTGACATGGGGCGAGACCAAATCGTTCGGGGCTCGTGTTAACAGGAGAGCATATGTCGAGAAACGATTCGTGTATGATACCCCGCCGCAGCTGCTGAGTGAGATAATGTTTGAGGGACTGATCAAGGATCAGGCATTGATATGCGTTAGTCATATCAAAGAGGAGGTTCCAGGTGTGGTGAGACAATGGATGAGCCTGCCTGAGGCTGGCACAGGAAATGCAGCCAGGTTTGGAAGGTTCCCAGGACCGCTAGAAGGATATAAGAGTGGCTGGGACGAGGTTTGGGGAGTATAGTCATATACGCCGTGGCCTTGTATACATCTTGATATAGATCACATAGAGCAATCCATTGTCAAACCTGAACTTGCCTCTGATTTAGCTACTTGTCAGCGATCCGTTCAACCTCGGCTGTGCGTCATGTAGCGCCAAGACAAGAGAGTCTCAGTCAACATGTCGGACCGACATTCTTCAACTGCATTGAAGCCATTCACAAACCTTCGGTAACGCTTGATTGGAGGCAATGGAGACTTCTCTCGCCGTGTTCATACCAGACTGACGGTAATCAGCCCCGCAACCTTCGAGGGAACGAGCATTCGTGGCCCCAACATAGAGTTGACAACCAGGAAGCCGTAGACCTCGGGGATTGGCTTTCTAACTTACTTCACTCGTCGATCACAATATGTCTTCAGTATCCAACAATACCTCCTTGATGAGCCTTTTCTCCAACGATCTTGTCATGGCTTTCCCTCGAATTATGGCTAGGGCTGGATCCTTTGCTTTTGTCACCGTACCAGAACGACTAGACAGCATAATTGGCCTTAGGGGCGGCGGAAGCATGATTGCAGAAGCCACAGGCAATGGAAGTATGAAGATGATATCTACAGCCTTCTCTTCCGACTCTTCCCCTATCGCTGCTCTTCCATCAGCAGCTGGCGCAGCAGCGACAGAAGCACCCCCGCAAGCCAGCCCGTTCAGCTTCCACCAGGTTAGAAACATTGGCGGTATATTCGCGTATATGACGAGCAAGTGGGCTCTGGCATGTTTCACGCTGGTCAGTCTACACCATGTGCGGGCTACTGCTTTGCCATATTGCAATCTTTCTAACAAGCGACAGGCCATCATCCTCAATCGGACACAGATCTATGCCTCGGCACGCCGTCACATCAGCTTGTCATGGCCAATGCGACTTGCTATACGTATTCTGCCTATTATCATGTTCCTCTCCCATACCCTCAGCCTCCTACAAGCGATGCGTTGCCAGACATCTCCGAAGTACTCCTCCTTGAGGTACGGCAAGGCCGACAGACACCTGGACCTGGATTTTTCGGGAGATGGAGGCATCATTCACTGGATCAGCTCCATGCTCCTATTCTGGGAAAATGATGCCAGCTCCTGCTTGGCAGTGGACATGATTCCATCGCGGTCTGAAGTTTGGGACCGAAGCGGCTCCTTATCCCTGCTGTGGCCTTTCTTCCAGTCTTTGTGTCTTGGTCAATTTGTGGAAACGCTTTCGTGTGCAGTTCAAGGAAGACAGCTCATGACCGAGACTGGCATGTCAATCTTCGAGCATTCATTGGCTTTTGCAGAATCAGAAGCTATGATCAGCAATCAACTCGGGCTCTCTTTATGGTCAGCACATAAAGCTAGTAAGGCGAATTCGAGCTCTTCACAGCCGGATCCTGTGGGTAAGCTCTTCACCAGAAGCGAGATACTGGACAAGATGAATACGCCACCAGAAGTCCTGCTTATGGTGTTGATCTCAAGTCTCAACAACCTTAGCAGCCAGATCCTAGGAGTCTTGAACATGCAGGCCAGATTCCGACTCATAAACACCGGTATTTGGGGTATATGTTTCATGAGTGCGTTCGGATGGGGGTTCTTCAGCTTGAGACCAGAGTCGGGGCCAGAATCTATCATCCTACGCTTTCCTACTGTCTGCATCGTCGGCTTTATTCCCCATCTCTTAATTCTCGTCGGAATACTGCTATGTGCCTCCATCTACTCACTTGCATTACTCCTTTGTTTTTTCTCTCCACCAAACGATGAACCACCGCCTAGAACGCTGGCGGAGAGGTTCCGGATGGCCCGCGAGAACATGCAGGCCAATGCCCAGCTCTCCAGCGTTCGCTTGGATGTGACCGAGGACTTCTATACGGCATTGCTCAAGGTAGGTTTCACCGCTTTGACCGTCGCGAGTGAAGCAGTGTATCTCAATGAGGGTCGGCGCATCAACGTCGCTACATCAACGTGGTTGGAAGAGGAGAGGTTGAAGGAAATAGAAGCCTTTGAACCATCGCACGATCCAGTGGAAGGCGTGTCTGTCCATTTTGCGAAACCAGTCGCTGCAGACGAACATTCTACGGAACGCTGGACGAGTGGCTACGATAGAGTAGTGAGCTTCACAGCAGACAAACTCGGATCAGGATTTGCAAATATGAGACATAGAGGGGATGGAGTAGGCCATATGCAGAGAGGAGGGCGATATTTGATGGCTGCGAAGTTTTTTCGTGGTATCTTCTGGCTTTTTGTAAGCTGGAACAAAGTGATTACGAACATATTAATGGACAAAGCGAGGATATCCTGGCGCCCACAATGGCTCAGGCTGCCAATAGCGAAAGAAGGATTACAAGTAGATAAAGAGGAAGGGCAACAGATCCGGCAGCAGAATACCATCGACTTTTGGATGTTATCAGACGAGGGTGTCCTCTTGCTACCGGAGAATGACGACGTCGACGTGGAGCACGAAATGAAACGAAGACTGAAGAACGAGAACGAACGCTGGGGCGAGGAAGAGGAACACACACTCGATTCGAGGGTCTACAATTGGTGGGCAAGCGGTGGATGGTTTGGCGAGAAAGACGACAGTGGCTCCTACCAAACACCTGCACAGGACGATGATACTACCAGCTTGGTCTCTGTGTCCACCAATGCTAGCGAAGTTTCCCCCGGAGACATTGACGACGAATTTATTGACGTCGATTCGGATGCGGGCTCAGGCGCCAGCACACCCACTCAAAGACAGCCTTTTTCTCGCAGCCTCTCGCCTTCAGATCCAAATGTACTAGACGCTCTTGACCCATCCAAGAACTACTCTCAGCTCAATCCGCGCCACCTCGCCACATTGCTCGACCCCAAAACCCCCCATCAGCGCTCCGAAGCCCGCATGCTCGCTCATCACCTTACCAATACAGGCATAACAACCCGTTCGCAATACCGCCACGCCCAGTCTTTTGCGAATGCCAAACTCCTCACCTCCACCCGCTACCGTCCCACCAATTCCTCGATCCCCGCCACCGGGCCACTTTCTCCAGAGGACGAAGCGTACCTTCTTGAGCAACTGATCCTTACCCGACGCGCCCAACCCGCGTCTTCTATCAATCAAGGAGCAGGTACATGGCGTGATGGTGCAGTAGGTATGGGGGCAGGAGGCCCACAGTGTGTGGTTTGCCAGAGCGCACCCAGGAATGTACTTGCTTGGCCGTGTCGCTGCTTGAGTCTGTGTGAAGATTGTAGGGTTAGTCTTGCTATGAACAATTTCGGGACGTGCGTTTGTTGCAGGCAGACCGTTGTGGGCTTTTCGAGATTATTCGTTCCCTGATCGTCCACTTTGGACACATTTTGTGAACAAGGGAGACTGGCGGGATCATAAGGGGGAATCATGCATAGCGTGGACTTTGCTTTGGTTGCATTTGACGGAGCTGGGGCTCATATACCAACTCAGAGGCCGGGTCGCCCTTGATGGTATTGAGTCATGCGATCATCGCTTTTCCATGAAATAATTATACCGATACGGTGGACTGTATAGCATTCTGTAGTTTTGGGAGAATGCTATGCCTGCAATGGAACAATGCAGATGCTTCGTCTATTCGTATTTCACACCCGCTCATGGACGCCATCCGCTTGCAACGCTTTCCCTCTTCGCTCTAAGAGCTCCTCTTAGACCTTGAAAACAGCAGTCTTGCTCGCTATCCCGTCGAAAACGCAGCTATTATCTACAGGTACGTACTGCTTCGTGATCACCTTGATGACCTCCTGGGCCACCATTCCACCTGTCAATGCCGCAATGTTGTGCAGCTCGCCCCAATCTGCACGGTCAAGCTCTTTGACAACATCATCAAACGCTGTCCGCGCTTCTGGAGTATCGAATCGTGGCCATGGCTTGGGATCATGCTCAGGATCGACGGCAGGGGTAGAGAAATGTGCAGATTCGGCAAAAGTTGGCAATGGTGGTACTGCACCTGATACCACCCGGCCTGTCAGAATGTCGTTGAACTGCTGGTCGTTGGCCGGTTGTCGGAGGGTTCGAATCCGATCTATATCGTCTTGGTATCGATCGAGGGCTAGAAAAGCGAAGTAGATCGGCAGCAGCGAGTCTGGATTTTGAAGTTCTTGGCTAAGAGCTTTTGCTCTGTCACTCCAGTCGATTTCGGCAGTACATTTGGCAACGCGTATAGGGCGGCCGTGAATCACTTTGATGAATTGAGCGCCTTTGCAGAATGCCTCGATCTCAGCTTGTTCGATTGAAAGTCTCCTGCCTAATTCTTGCTCTGAGCTGCGGATTGTCCGAGTGACTTCTGCTAAGTCAGACCGCGCTTTGGCTTTGTAGATGTTTTGGAGCTGTATGTAGTCGGAAGATTGGGCTTTCATGTCTGGGAGGGCGCCGGGGAGGGGGAGGATGCCGTTGTGTGAGGTTCGAAATTTTTGGATTGCGTTGGCGATGATCCAGAAGTTTGCGGACGTGGGTCTGAGATTTTGGCAGGCGTCTGCTTCAAAGACTTCACGGAGACCGCTGGATATTGAGTGCGGATTTAGACTCTTCAGTACGGCGGCTGCTGCTTCGTCGAAATTCTCCTCTCCGCCTTCTGAGTTGTTTCTTCGTGCTCCACTTTCTACTAGCGCTTTGAATTCTTTTTTCTCGGAGTAATTGGCTGGAGCTTGGCTGTCATGTGAGGCGTTCCAGACATTGAGAAAGTGTAACAAGATGAGGAGGTATGGTACGTGACCGTGATCGTGATCTGATAATAAGCCCAGATTCCCTGTCTTCTTTTCCAAGAACTCAAGCAATTCTGGCCATGGATTCAGGAGGCGTAGATCTTGTGTGGAAGCGGGATCTGGATGGGTATCGACGATTGGAAACTGAGCAGGTAGTTGTACCGAAAAGTGAGAAAAGAAGCCTTGGCAGTGTATGTAGAACAGAGGTATTGATGACTTGTCGGCGTGTTGGCATATCCTGTCCAGCACCCTGGCATTTCTTGTAGGTCCAACAAGCAGTATAAGGCTATACTGCTCGAGGCGCCTGGGATGATCGGCGAAGGCGTCGATTGACTGTCGATCTCAGTTAGTACAACGTCGAATACTTGTTGATTCTGATGGTCAAACCCCTTCAAGAGCGTTTATCCTAACTTCAGGGTTGAGCTCTTGCAAAAATCTGCGGGTCTCCTCAGCTCTCCACCTGCCCAAGCTTGACTCCTCGAGGAAGAAGTTGACGCCCAGGTCCAATTCTGACACATTGGCCTCATCAACAATGGTAAAGCTACCGACACCAGGTAGTATGAGATTTTTGAGGGTTTCAACTCCTACGACGCCAGGACCCGAGTTCAGAAGCAGTACTTTTGCGGTCTCGAGGGCTGCTTGCCCGCTCGCTGCCCACAGCCGAAGCTGCCTGTCGTATTTCTTCTCTTTTGCTGTGGGCCCTTGTAGGATTGGAGGGGTAGTAGCTCTTTCGGCCATGGTGATTCTGGAAACCTGTTGACGAGGAGACTCGGAGCTCACTGAGGTATTCGTAGAGCTGTTTGATCGCATCGAAACAACACTCGATCGGCTGGTGTTGAGCGCCGGGTAGCTACCGTAAGTATACTGCGATGTCATCCACCGGCAAAACAAAAAGTCCACGACAGACAACACTTTGCTACAACATTGAGCTCTCATTAACCTTTACTACTCAATGCCTACATGCAGATGTATCCCATCATTGTGAGCTGAAGGAAATCATCGGATGCTGAAAACGATCACCGCTCACTCCCGCCTTCTTCTCAGGTACAACCGTTCCGTTTCTCTCAGTTCCGTGGTATTACCGCTTATTGTCCATAAGCTCCCTGCTGAATCGACTCAGAAGCGGCTCGGTACCTAGATCTCGCCTTCTCCCACACGCAATGGACTTTCCAAAGCCCGTCTCCGACGCCTCTCTTCCCCCAATGTCCACCTCCGCCGCAACCCGACTCTCCGCCATTGAATCCGCCAAGCGCGCCGCCGCTCAACTTGCAGTCAAAGAGCACTTCGATGCCGAAGCTCGCTACATCGGCATCGGATCCGGCAGCACGATCGTCTACGTTGTCGAAGCCATAAAAGAGCTCAAGGACCCCCGCATACAAGACATCCTCTTCGTTCCTACAGGCTATCAATCGCGGCAGGTACGCTAGAAATTGTCTTCATAGTACGCTACCGGTAGGGAAGCTGACTGGCAACAATCAGGTGATACTCAAAGCCGGCCTCAAAGACATGAAGTTCGATTCCCTACCCGCCGACACCCTTCTTGAAGTCGCCTTCGACGGCGCCGACGAAATAGACGAGGACCTCAACTGCATAAAAGGCGGTGGTGCCTGTCTCTACCAGGAAAAGCTGGTAGCGACTCAAGCGTCGAAATTCATCTGTGTGGCCGACCACCGCAAACTCCAACCCCGCCTACTGACCACTTGGCCTACTATTCCTATCGAAGTGGAGCCACTGGCTGTGACGACCGTAATCTCTGCTTTGAAAACACTCGGCTCTTCCGCGCCGTTTGTGAGGGAAGGGCTTATTCAGAAGGCTGGGCCTATAAAGACGGATCAGGATAACTTTATCGTCGATGCGCCATTTCCCTCTTTACTCCTCTATACCGACATTGAGCAAGCGGCCAAGCAGGGGGTTAAGGGGCTCAAAGGCCAGGGCGAGGATGGCCAGTGGGAAGTACAGGCACTGGCGAAAGAGATTAAAGCCATTGAGGGAGTTCTGAGCGTCGGTCTATTTGTGGGAGAGAATGGAGTGCAAGCCAAGGCAAGGGGGAAGATCGCTGGTGGCCAGAAACCCATCGCGGCGTATTTCGGAATGGAAGATGGCAGTGTGGCTGTCAGGATGACACAGGATGATGGCACTGTCGTTCTGAGGAAGTGAGGCATTTGCTTGGCGCATGTCGAGTGTTTCATTTCGAAATGAGGAAGCTATGAGGCTATGAGGCTATGAAGCTATGATACCATTGATGAAAGCGAAAAGAAATGCATGCATGTTTGGACATAGAAAGTTGCAGGTTAGCTGCTAAGGAGTGACAAATAGTGATCATTAAAGGGATGGATCTATCAAACAAGCTCGAAACGCTTCTCTTATGCTGAATGGAAGAATGAAACAGTAGCGCGAATGCTGTGTTGCGTTCAGAAAGCTCTCCCCTTCCCCTTCCCCTTCCCACTCTGTGCGCGGCTCTCCTCTTCGGCCTGACTCAGTCGCAATGCGAACTCGAGGTCGTCCAGCTCAGCGGCTGGAATATTAGACGCCTCACTTGCTTTAGGCGACGCACCGAAGGCACCAGATCTCGGAGGCGAGCCAGAAGGTGATGCTTTATTCCTCTTAACCTTGGCGTACTTGGCTGGAATCTTGCTGGCACTTGTATTGCCAATTGCACAAGGTGACGTGTTGCTGTTCTCCTGCAAACTCAGACGGATAGCTTCGGCCATATCGTCGTCGATATCATCCTGTGCAGCCGACGAGACCGGCGAGGCCACGGCCTCTTCAGTTATCGTACTACTGCTTTCGCCGTCACTCGCACTCTTCTTCCTGAACTCGTGGCTTTGCGCGGCCTCTTCACTCAACATAGTAGCGTAAGCCAGGATCTCATCCTCACTAGCGCCAGGTCCCAAAAGATCTACCCCGAATCTGCCAGCAAGCCTTTTTTCTTCTTCGCGCTTTTCTCGCTTCTCACGCTCGAGCTCTAGCTTTTCATTGGCGATGTAGTCCTTGAGCGCTCCTCTGCCGGTGCCGTAAAAGCGGTCACCGCCTTGGTTGCTGCCACGTTCTGAACGGCGGAGGCGGCGCTTGTTACCTTTGTACTGGTCCGCTGCTTGAGAGCTGTAGCTCCAGTAGCGTAGGTGCGAGCCGAGTGAGACCATGCCGCGGAGGACAGTTGGGTCGGGATCCAAACAGATGGCCCCTGCCGCAAAGAGATTGATTCCGACGCCAGCGGGAGATGCTTCAGCTTGGACGAGGCGACGTCGTGCACGGGAAGAGAATCGAGAGTTGAGCGTACGAATGGGAACCGTGGTTGAAGCGAGAGGATCCCATGCCTGTACCAGACCGTCGTTCCCGCCATGCACGAGGTAGAGGGAACTTAGGGCCAGGCAGGAGATCTGCGGAGAGTCTGTGTAAATGATCCGTATGGGCTTGATATTGTTCTCCAAGATGGTATTGCTAGCGACAGGAGCTCGTGCATTCCAAAGAACGATGGTCCCAGTCTTTGTACCTATGGCAAATAGTCGCGCACGTTGGCCGGGAACATCGGTCAATGAGTGCGATGACATCCTTCCCATAGGAGACGACGGTGGAGATGAACCGGCCAAAGACCCACTCACGCTGAGTAGCGGATCCTCGGTGGTCGTCAGCAAGGCGAAGTTAGACAAGTCAATAGCTGTCGTGGTTATTTGGGGTGACTTTAGGCCCCCAAGTAGAAACACTGATGTGCGCCATTCTTCAATCAAACGTGTCCTTAGCTCGGAGTCTGATGGACTCGTAGAACTGCGCCGCGAGAGAGCTCTGTCTTCGAAAGACCAGGTAGGTTGCCCGTTGATCAAAAGATTGTGTTCGCCAAATATTGAACCGTGGCTGGCATCGCCTTGTGCAATAGGCATCGAAGGGCCTTGACCGGCCAGATCCTCGTCCGAGGATTCTGTTACTTTGCAGCGTGTATATCGCTTGATCATGGCTTGCTGTCCCTCGTCTAGACCGCAGCCTATCACAAGAATGACCTCACCGGCTCCATTCTCATCACTTGCTGCGAAGTCAACCTCCAGACGCCTGCGCATGTCCCAACCTTCGCAAACTTTACGAAAGTTCTTTGGCTTCTTCCGGAGATAAACTTCAATCTCCTTAGTTTCAGCGGCAAGTTGTTCTTTGCTAAGACATGTTCCATCCCAAGAGGTCCTCGGTGAATAGCTACCATCGACTTCGGATCTATCGAAAGGATCGGGCCTAGCAATACGCCTCGTTGCTTCTACCAGCGTCCAGTGGACTGTGCGTCCGGTCTGCCATGCCAGTCGCTCAATTCGTGCTTTGTCAAGTTTCAGTGCGCGATCCAAGATAGGACGAACAGGAAAATCGCTAAGGAAGAACACCTCCCCAAGCGCATTGAGTGCAAAAGCCCAGATGTGATTGAGCAATCGGCGTTTTGAAGAAAAGTTCTCGTCAACCGCGATAGCAATGATGGGTACTCCTGGGCTTAGCACCCAACGAGCGGTCAATTCGCCACGTTCAAGCCGTCTTTCACGCAGAGGGTTCGTTCCCAAGGAATACGCAGAGACTAGGCCGCTTGAAGAACCTACTAGCATGCCAACAATCCCTTCGGACAGATCCGGTACATTGGGTGTTTTACTAATCCAGACTGAGCACATAGATTCGGTTGGCAGAGTGGCCGGGATGCCAAGCTCTGGTATCGAATTGTCCAATGGGGAGGCCAAGTCACGGCCTCGCTTTTCTTCCATAGATCTGTAGTAGACCCTGCCACCAGGCATTCCCTCTGCATAAATCATTCCGTACGGTTGACTTATATCCATGGTATTTGGCAAGCCAATCACTTCACCAGCGCCAAGACCATAGGGAGCTTCGCCAGGATGGACATCCTCAAATTGCTGGGTAATGAGAGAATCCGAGAAGCCCCATGCATCGACTTTGCTGGTTCTGGGGTCGCTAGAAGAAGCCATGCCGACTTCAGTGGCTCCATGTATGAAGCGAGGTAGTCTTTTATTGAACCCAGTCCCAAACGTAGCATGTAGGTGGTCAACAAGCGTGACCAGATCAGAATTGTAGGTAACGTGAGCGCTGCCGTTGCTGCCTGTACCAGGTCGCGAGGATCCAGAACCAGCTGGCGTCAAGGATTCCGTGGGTTTGCCACGACCTATCGATCGAAGTAGCCGGGTGCGCAAGATGTATTCGCTGCGCCATGATGCAAGAGCTGTCAACCGGGTAAAGAACCGTCTTTCCGAACGTATCTCACTATCTTCCGACAGCTCCGAATTGGTGTCCAATGCACTCAGTGCCTCTGCTCCAGGGAAGAAGCGCGAGAAAGCTATCCTCCAGGCGTGGGGTGTCGTCACCAATTGATGGAACCGCCGTGATACAAGGGAGACATCTGACAATGACGACGGAGGGAGATGAGAGAGTATATGAGTCAAGACCTCTGTTGCAATATCAGCCATTGTCGCAATAAAGCAAATGTGGAGTGCGGACCATTGGGAAAATCTCCAATCGCAACTTGAGCAGAGCTAAGATTCTTGCCTCTCTGAACGACAGTGAAAGTACGCTCTTCAGCCCTCTTCTTTGGCAAATATGTCAAATCCTTCTCATGTTCGATGATGCGGTCAACAGGTGACCGGCTCTTCTGCCTCGAGGGCGGGCTCAATCTCCGCAATGGTCTTTCCCGTGCATCGTCAGAGCTTCCAGCAGAAGATGCTGAAGGGCTCGTATTGCTGGCGGGACGCCGCGGTTTTGCCCTCCCTTCTCCAGCACGAAGCTGGGGGGAAGGGTGCACATCTGATTCATGGAATCCATGTTGGCTGTCTCGGGTGTTCTCTTGGGAGCTTTGCGGCAACGAAATATTCTGGGAAGTCTCGTTGGGCTCTGGTTGCATATAAAGGTTGATGGCGTGATAGGATGATCAGAAGGACTGAGCCAGGTCTTGGTCAGTCGAAAGCTTTAGTCGATGGGGAGAACGCGTTGTTGTTTGGAAGCAAAAGGATATTGTGACGCAAATTTGATGCTTACACTCACAAAAACTGCCAAGAGTGCTTTCTCTTATGATATGCGGTACCGTAGTACGGTCTTCCATGTAGCGTAACCTGCAAGCATTGGGAACATACATTAAGGTGGTGAGGTTTGTCAATCATAACCAGGCCAAGTATTCATTGTTATCGGTCTTGCTATCTATGTACAATTTCCTATCAGATCCAGGGTAGCCAGCCTCGTCTTTTTCAAAACACAATTTCAAATCAACCTCAGGCCTAGCATCAAAATCCCAAGTACGAGACCCAGAAGTGTGCTGCTATTGGGAACTCTCATCGAGATTCCTGCTGCATGCGTCCTGTCGCCTTCCTTACCTGTGACTATTGGTGTCAAAGGTCCAGTCGCAGTGGCAGCAGACGAGGCGCCAGATGTCCTGAGAACAGAGGAGAAGCCTGTTTGCGCCGCGCTCGACCAAGGTCTGATCGTCGTCGATGGCAATGCGACACCATCCGTTCCTAGTATCATCGTTATTGATCCTTCTACTATGGTCTTAGCCATAGCACCGCTTCCAATGGCGTAGGTTGTACCATTGATCACTGCCTTGGTAGAGCCCACTGAGAACGTCAAGCCATCCGCTGTTACGGCAATCTGTGTCTGCTCAGGGGCTATTGTGGTAGAGGGAAGCATGACCCCAGCGCTTCCCATCTCTATAGTTTGGGAACCCACCACGACTGTTTGAAGTGGTGCTCCGCTTCCGATGGCATAGGTAGTGCCGCTGATGACTGCGTCTGTGGCTCCGACTGCAAAAGTGAGACCGGCGGCTGTTACACTGTTTGGAGTTTGGATGACCGGCAAATTGACGGTGGTGCCTTCGATGTGGATGCTTTTGGGCCCAATGGTCATTATCTGGCCATCGATGGCTGTCGTAATGGGTGCCTCGTTTGATGCAATAGAATATGTTTTGCCTTTTAGCACTACTTCTGAAGGAGCGACAGAAAATGTTAGATCGCCCTTGGTGGCCATTGAAAAGCTTGGCTTGGGCGTTGGGAGAGAAATGGTAGTACTGGCAAGGCCCACGCCCTTGGGGCCGATGCTGATTGTGTGACCATCGACAATTGTAGTGATTGGGGTCATGTCAGACTGGATATTATTAGTATGACCACCAATGACCACCTCTGATGGAGCGACTGAAAAGGTCAGATCCCCTTGAGTGATGGCTGAAAAGCTAGGGGTAATTGTAGGTATTGGAACATGAAGATTCCCGAATTGTACGCCATTTGATCCCACGAGGACTGCTTCACCATGGGTCATTATAGTTGCGGGAGCCTTCCCAGGAACGAAAGAGTAGGTTGAAGATCCAATCACTGCAGCCGAAGGTCCTATTGAGAATGTGAGACCTCCAGTAGTGACAGCCGTGGGCGATGCACCACTGTCGTCTAGCGCCGAAAGTGCAATGGTCGTACTAGGGCCAATGATCTCGGACGGCTTGATAGTAAGGACCTGCCCATTGTAGGTGACAATTCCGGATCCAGAAGATAAGGGTATGGTCGTCGATCGGGCCATGAATTGTGACGCATCCACAGAAAGACTATGGTCAATGTAGACGAACGGTGTTACCTTTCCGGCCGGAGGTAGTATGATACTTGTGTCAGGAGCGATAATTTGTGAGGGGTTGACCGCGAAAGTCTGGCCTTTGTACACGAAAGGAGAAGCATTTGCAGTATTGGGTAGAGGTATGTATCTTCCCGATACTTTGAGCTGGGAGGGGAACACAGAGAACACCTGACCCCCAGCGGTCACGCGGGGAGCAGAGGAATCCACGGATGGAAAAGCGACCGTTGCGCCCGCCCCCACTAAGTGGCTAGCATCCCAGCTGTATGTTTGACTGTTATAAACGACCGATGTCGGCGTTGAACCGTGCTCAAATGTTTTAGAGCCAATTGCAACATCTTGAGGCCGCAGCACAACAGGCACATTACCTATTGTCGCAGAACTCGCAGGCGGAGGGGTGACTGCCACTTGTATGGGAATCGTCTTTCCTTGTGCCACGATTTGAGACGGCTGAATAGCTATCGTTTGACCAGCGGCAACGACGGTAGTCGGCGGGGATCCAGCGTTGACCGTATGAGAGCCGACAACTACCGCGTTGCTAGCGATAGAGACCGGCAAATTGCCAGCCATAACGACACTGGGGACGTATTGGCTTCCGTGTGAGTCAGCACTGCTTTCGTCTTCCGGCTCGGGACCATCTCTACTACTCGAGTCTTCTCCATTGTTCGATGCAGCTCCATTGCTCGAGGTACCTTCAGCATTTGAGGAACCTCCTTCGCGGCTCGAACTGTCTCCAACGCTCGGAGAATCTCCATTAATCGAAGCACCTCCATTATTCGCAAGCTTTCCATTGCTCGAAACACCTCCTCCGGTATTCGTGCTCCCACTGTTTGACGTATCTCCCTTACTCGAGGCATCCCCATTGCCCGAAGCATCTCCGTTGCTGAACATACCTCCATGGTTCGAATTAGCTCCATGGTTCGGATTAGCTCCATTGTTCGAAGCACCTCCATTGTTCGAAGCTCCTCCATTCGGCTGAATCCCATTCGAGGCTATCTGATCATTGCTTCCAGTAGACTGGCCCCCACTAGATCCTACGCCCGGCTTTTGCGAACCCGAATTCCGGCTATTGGAAGATGCCGACGGAGATTCGCCGTTTGTGGGATTTTGCTGGGGCATGGATTTGTCAGGAAACTGGCCGTCGCTATCAGACTCTGACGGGCTCGAACCGTCTGACTGTGTAGACACATCAGGGTTGGAGGATCCAGAATTTTGTCCCGTAGCTTGGTGGCCATCGGAAATTGGCTGAGCCGCTATAGCTTGGGGAGTTGGCGTTGAGGGCCCGAACAAGTTTCCAACCGTAGACAGTTGTTGCACAATGGCAGGCGATTTTTTGGTGACAAGAAGCGTACTTGTAATTGTAAATGGCGTGTATGGTGTCAACACAATAGGAGGTTGTGGCAGTGGTTTCTTGGGGATAGGAGGGCCAACGATGGGAGGGAAGATGGGCTGAGTCCCACTCGAAGGGCAATCTGGCCCTTCGCACGGCGCGGTGATAGTCTGGCAAGCTGGAGGTGGAGTAATAAACACAGGAAGCGGTGTCGTAGCGTTTGGACCTAGCGTTAAGGTCTCATTGACCAGTATTGTGGAAGTGACAGTCTCGTACACAATATGTGCAGTACTGGTGACAAGACCTGAACAATTCGTGGGGTATTGGCCTCCTGAAGGTCTATAGGACTTTATTCTTTCTGGATTCCTGCCTTCGGTCCTATTATTGTTCATAGAGTTGAGATAATTTCTTAGCGCCGAGCTCTCTCCCTTTCCCGAGGGTGCCAAGTTAAATTCGGTTGATGAGATTCTATCGCTGCCTGTAGCCGTTGCTAAAGGTGGCATTTGTATTTGCCCTCCAGGGGTGGCGTACGTTCCAATCCTCAAGCTCCAAAGAGGCAAATGAATTGGCCCAACATCAAGCGGTCTTGGTCCGAGCCAAGGATGCAATCTGGTCCTGCTTTCGGTTCTGTTCTTGATTGAATCCAGAACTTCTACGAGCCTTGGACTTTCCCCTGTTCCTGATGCTGCAGCGACAGATTTCAAGCTTGCCGATGCATTCTTGCTACCACTAAGTGCAGAGCCTGAAGTCATTGTTCGAATGGCGGAGCTTGCGGGTGGAAGACTTGCAATTGGACCTTGTGGATACCCTGCCGGAGTCGAGGATGCTTTGCGCGCGCTCGCCGGAACATGACCTGCTGTGCCATCGGACGGCCGTACGACTCGAAAACCGTCAGTATAAGCCGACGTTAACGCTGATATACTTCGTGATGCGGTCGAGCTTCCGCGAGTCGCGCCTAAAATGTAAACAGATCTATCGGTAGAGAACAAGGAACCTGCCCCAGTTGGTGTAAAAGTATCCCTCGAGCTTGAAAGTAAAGTATTCGCAGAAAGGATTGCGTGGTCCTCAGGGGGAAAATTTTGATAAGGCCGAAAACGCTGAAAAGGCCTAGGACGCTGCAACAAGACAGCACCAGCTTTTAGTGGTTGAATGCTTGATGGAGTCGTCTGAGGAGCCACAATTCCTTCGGAAGAAGGTGTGCTTAGCCTCGACGACGTTGCAGCGGCACTGATGGCTGGACTTGTATCACCTGTGGAGTTCCAAGAAGGATCCTGGGGCTTGCTGTGAAGTTCTAGATCGGTCAGTATCTCCAGAAATATATTCAAAGTAGTCTCACCTCGGGAATGGTCTGTAATTCCATGTACGCCAACAGAGGATATTAGAAGACGAAGTGCAAGGCAAGTAACGCCGAGCAGCTGGCGCAATGCCATCATTTGCAATAGGAGCCCTGAGCCGACGCGTAGAAGTCATCCCAAAAAGATGGCGATCAAAGAAGATTAAAGGCTAAGAGAATCACACAAGATATTGTGTTTATGGTAACGACAGACAGTTTGATGAATGGAGAATCAGATGATTTGGACTGAACGACAGATGGTGAAGAGTGATATGGAAGCTTTGACAGATGCGCGTAAAAGAGGTTCTCGGGCCATGAGGAGAATTAAAGGATCTGGCTTCCCCGCCCGGCGCCATACTCGCGTATGTATATTATCTCCCGATGCTGTCAGGGCACTATCTCACTCAACTTGTGAATATCATCATCATATGGGCCCAGCATTTCGGCCCTTTTCGTCGATGAGGACTCAGCTCGTTTGTTGGTATACTCGGCATTGCCGTCCAGCTTCGTGCTCTGAGCCTCGTAACTATACGCTTCTTCCTTCCACATCCACGAAGCAGTTGAGTGAATTTTGCCAAGGAGAAAGATTAGGAGAATTATGGAGGTAAGTTTCAGTTTGGAAGAGCGCGAATGAGGTTACAACGCCGAAGCGATGTCGATAGTGCTGATGGGGCGTGAGGCTGAGGCGAGCCATCAGCCTCCAAGGCTAAGCGGCTTGTCCAATAGAAATGCTTTGATGCCGTTCTTTTGACGCCAGTAGTCTCATCATTCACTTTTGAAAGTAAGCACCAGTCTATTAAGCATTCGGAGGCTCAAGTTCAAGGCCATCGACGGTCTCCGGTCTTCGAATACGACCCCGGAGTCAGCTTTCGGGCCACGTCTTTGAGGCTTGGAGTCTTCACTGTCCCTGCCGACTCTCGATCTGACTGGTCCGCTGAATACTTTCAAGGCAGACTCCTGGTCCAACAGTGCCTCTGCGCTTAGAGGATTTCCTGTAAAGTGGTGGAGAAGGAGAAAGGTTGCGGGTGATTCTATTTGCGGCCAGCCCTATAAGGCTCAAAGGGCATTAGCGTTAAAGATTTGGACAAATCACAGGTCTGCTTCTCGGAATCTTCAAACGGCTTTTACAGGCGAACAACCGACGGTCCTCAGGTACACACGCCATAGCCTATCTCAACCAGGAATCATGAGCTTGTGTGACGAAACCTCGGAAGACAGCGCTCATTATTCGTCAGTACCGGTCCTGTTGGCTGTGCGGCTGTGGGGCGGACTCTTCAACCCCTGGTTTTTGCTGGCCTTTTGGTCTCTGGGGAAGCATGCATGATGCATCCTCCCAGCGTAAAATCTTGTCGACCGTCCGTGCATTGGGCATGCTGCAAGCCCCTTTATTACGTGTCTAATTCCGACGTGGAGGGTACAGTACGCGCAGTATCGAGATCTTATCAAATTTACCTCTTGGTCATCTGCTTCTTTCCCGCCTTCTCCTTATTCTTACGCGTCTCCGGGTATGTGTATCGATTGCGCAGATTCCTAGCTATTACTGCTTTATCCTTTTGCGTGAAACGATAATCCCTATGCCTGGTCCAATGTCTGACACCTTGCTCGACCTCATCCTCTCATCTTTTCCTTCGACTTCCACACCAGGCGCAGATTCATGTTGAGGAGCATCACAATCGCTGTACTGGCATCCAGAAATCGCTGCGATGACGAAGTGGGGCAGCAACAGCTTGCTTCCCATAGTACTGACAACCATATGCTGTAATGCTGTTGCTCTCATCACGGCTGCACCAAGACCCTCTCCTGTGTCAATACCAGTAAGGACCGACTGGTTTGGATACGATGGCAATTGGAGTCCTGTGTCGGTCAGAGTAGGGACACCACCACAGTGGGTCGACCTTTTTGTCAGTACCGCTAGCCAGGAGACATGGGTCGTTGGGAATGGAGGCTGCGACGGTACTACTGAATGTCGGACCAAACGAGGTGGCGTCTTCCAATCCAACGAATCCAGCACCTGGGCCGATCAAGGACCATTTGTGCTAGGTCTTGATCCCCAGCTTGGCTTCAGTGGAGATGGAATTTACGGGTTTGATAACATATCTCTAAGCAACGACATCTCAGTACCCTCGCAGGTGGTCGGCGTCATCAATTCCACGGACTACTGGCTTGGTTTCTTTGGTCTTGGAGTCGAACCAACTAATTTTACCTCTGCCGACAAGCCAACTTTTCTCGACAATATGGTGGAAACTATGAGCTTGATTCCAAGTCATAGTTATGGCTATACAGCCGGCGCCTATTATCGTAAGCTCTGTGTTAGTCCGAGATGGTAGAGTGACAGGACGCTAATTGCATTAGGCTTGAAAAGTGTTCCTGCTTCGTTGGTACTGGGAGGGTTCGATGCCAACCGATTTGAGCCTCACAGTACAACTTTCGAACTAGACCCAAACCAAAACCCAGTCGTCGCGCTCAATGAGATCACGGTGACCGCCCAACCGCTTCCGTCGTCTAACGTCAGCGCCGCATGGCCTAGCAATTCACTGACACTGCTTGGCTCTAGTGACGCAAATCTCTTCACTATAGACTCTTCAACGCCGTACCTTTGGTTACCCGAAGCAGTGTGTTTGGAATTTGAAAAAGCATTCGGTCTTACTTACGATGACGTCGTTCAATTGTATACCTTTGGCTCCAATTCTACCCAACATGAAGTATTGGTCAATTGGAATATGACATTTCAATTCACTGTCGCGGATTTACCAGGGTCTTCGAACTCGGTATCACTCTCTCTGCCTTATGAGGCTTTCGATTTGCAACTTTCCTATCCGTATCCTGGCCTGAACGCCAACCAGTCTTCACCTCCCACAAACTACTTTCCGCTTCGAAAAGCTGCGAACAACACACAATATACCATTGGAAGGACTTTCTTACAAGAAACCTATCTCAAAGTTGATTACGAGCGCAACAATTTCTCGATCTTTCAAGCAAAATTTTCCCCAAACGCTTTAGCAGACACAGACTTGATCTCTATTACCAGACCCCCGAATAGTACATTCGAAGGACCAGAAGTTGTACCTCCGAAGCCGATCTTAAGCAAACCTGGGATAGCCGGCGTGGCTGCCGGTGGTGCCATAGCTCTCGTCTCTTTGATTTGTCTGATCGTACTCTGTATCCGTTCTCGACGGGGTGACAAAACTCATGACTACTTTAGAGAGAAGGAAGACGAAGACCAGCCCAGGAAGAAGACCTCAAACAGTAGGTTCCTCAGATGGCTCTTCCGTCTACCCAAACCCGAAACACCAACAGAGATCGGCGGATCTGATAGATTCGCCTTTGAGGCTCCGACCGGCCGGGAATGTATGGAGCTGCCGGCGAAGACAGCCAAGAGCGAACTTGAAGGAAGTGAGCCTGACACTCCAGTATATACTGAAGCTGATTACAGGAGTACTGGAAACGCGATCAATGCCATCGGCCATGATCCAGATGAACCAGTTGAGCTGCCTTACTGTTCGAGTGCTCGAGGCTACTATGAGCCTGAGACAGCCTCAAAGATTCGAATCTCGGACTCAGCTTCTGCTCCGGTCAAGCTCATTAAGGATTTGCATAGCTTGAGTCGGCAAAATACGCAGACTACCGCAGGGATCAGCAGCACAAGCAACACTCCGAGTAAAAGATCTAGTAAAGATGTTTCTCCGATTTTCATCGTCAGTCCAATTACACCCAGAGAAGCGAGTCCTGGGTTTTCATCTCTCTCTACAATCGCAAGACGAGAAGCATGGTACGATTCCAAAGAGAGTTGGGGCGGCCAAAGAGTCAAGCGTGGCACGCCAGTCGTTAGTGACGATGGGAAAACTCGAGGCTCGAAGAGCAGCAATGGATCGAGTGCCACCAGGGGTATCCCTCGGAGTGCACCGCGGATTTTCAGCTGGAAGGCAGATCCGGATCCGGAGCGAAGGGTTGTGGGAAATCATACTCCAACAGACAGTACGATTCACGCGCTTCCATGACCTTTGGACAGTCGGGCGCGGGTGACATCATCTTCATTAACGATAGTATTGTGCTCTCATTTTCCATGATCATGTCACATCTAGAATACCCACAGAGATTGCTCTCACACCACTTCTTAGAGAACGCCAAAGGAGGGTATCTAAGCCTAACCACAAGCATGTGACAAGATGAAAGATGTCTTGGCTCCTGGCCTAAGACATCAGGTGGCTCTTCTTTCGCCAACCACATCGTTGCGCCAAAAACAACACACTCGTATCAGCTCACGATCCACATCGACCCTGATCCCTCAAACCCTGTCATAGTTCCTCCGTCCCGGCGTTGGATATGGACTCTTCAATCCCCCACTCCTACCCACAGGCATGTCCTCTTGATGGAGCGTGATCACCGACATGAGCTGCCATGGTCGCTTGTAGCGGTCACGAATGAGCTTGCGGCGAGAGAGCGACGTCGACGAGGAGGAGGACGAAGAAGATGACGAAGAGGAAGCGTTAGAGGTGGTACGGTTCCTCGGGGTCAATGTAGAGGAATCGGCCTTGATGGCTTCGTATGTAGGGCGGCGCTCCATTGTGCCGGTGTTGGCAGAAGAGTGGTGGCTCGAAAAGTTTTGAGGGGATTGGTGTATGATGACGGGGTGTATTCGCATGGTCTTGTACTGGGAAGTGTATTGGAATGGAAGCATATGGGGCAGTATGAAGAGGGTTTATGTAGACAAAAGATACCAGATACCCAACACGAAACCACGTCATACCTATTCTTTGCCCAACATGCAACACCGTCTGTATGGCGCAAAACTGTCTCGCCTCATCGATTGGAGTCAATTGATCCATCAAACCCGGACATTGCGCTCAGCCACGCTGCTTTGAAACGGCACACGGCCGACTGAAACAGGAATGATAGGATCGCAACAATGACGTGCAACGGGTTTGAGACGTGGAAGACGTGAGATCCTACCGTTGTACTCTTTCATGATAAGAGAGCCTTTTATCTTTTATGCGTTTGTGGGAAATGTTGTTTGAAGGGATACTGCCCAGTAGCGATCCCCGGGGGGGAGGGGGGAGTGTTGCAGGATTCAGCTCAGCCTCGCCTGCGTGCTTCAGGGACGGACTGATTGCCGTCCGCTTGCCGCGGTTTGGATCAACTTGACCGTGAGCTTTCGACTGGCACGCGAGCACAATATGACTGTTAACGAATGTGAGTATGGCTTTCATTTATTTCATTGATCGAATTGACGGGTCTGATCATGAGCTCCAAGGTCTCTCTCTCTCTCTCTCTACTTTGGCGATAAGCTAGCCTAAAATAGCGAGACTTAGGGCTAAGAATCATTGCTGGACTTCGAGTCCATCTTTTCTTTATCGTGGGCCACCAGGGATCTTTCCCTTGATGACGTGATAGAACTGCGAAGGAAGCACAACATGTTTGTGATACTGGCCGATCGGAGACCTTGTTGTACATGAGTAGGATGCGTTTGTGTGGCAGGTGTTTGACTTGGTGTCAGACTGAAACTCGAAATCTTTGCCGCTTCCCTCCATTGGATACCACAGCACAGCAAGGTATTAATGGCCCATGAATTACCAACCGCAATCGTGACCCTTTTCGGCCCAGTGGTCTCCGTAGGGATGAGGTACAGTGATTTTTTCTGAGCTTACTTCCACATGCCTCACTCTTGCCTGCTAGCCCAGGCCCGTGGCCGTGTACTCTCACGGCGACTTTAGTGATGGCCATATACGTCCTTGAAAGCGTCTTTCGCGCACTATCGCGCTTTCCGTTCCCGAGCAGTGGTGCGGGCGGGAATACGAAGTTGAAGGGCATCATATCGCCTTCCAACCCATGTTGGAGGCCACCAAAAGTCCTGCGGAACATTTCTCATACTTCTCGACCCTGCACTGAGCAGACGCCCGTCATCACGACGAGATCATCATCGAATGACGGAACGTTGGCTATTCCATTTAAGCCCTCCAACTGGAGAGATGCATTGATGTATTCTTGGACCTCGCTCTCGATCAAGGAAACAACGGACCGCAGGGCTCTATAAGTAAATCCGAGCTGGAGAGATTGTTGCACGATTTTCAGGAAGGGAACAAAAGTCTGGAGCACAGACCAGGGCCAACTACCTTGTTCTATTCCACAAATTTGGAATTTGGACAGTCATGTGCGATAGCGGAACCAATACAGGAGCTGCAAGATCTTTCCCGTGAGCCGAAAGCCTTGCCTTTCGCTCCTAAACATACGGTGATCTTTCGTAAAGACGACGCCATACTATTCGCTACTTCGCTACGCAACAACTTTCAAACCACATCGTGCGCAGTGAAAAGCATGTTCCGGCAGCAAAAGGCTCTCAATATTTCTTCGAGCAGTCTCATTGCTCAAGATTATACTTTCAAGGAAGGACGTTTATAAATTGTTAAAGGTTCGACTTGTCTACTGGCAGCCCGATCCTACGGAGTCCGCCTCGGATCTCCAAATGACACCTTATACACTGGTGTCTGATAATTATACGTTATTAGTAAGATCAGGACGCTTGGCCTGGACAACACCCCGTTAACCAGAACGTCCAACCTTGAATGCAGCAATCGATGCTAATATCAATTAGCACTTCGCCATCAGTCTATATCATATACAGCACCTTGGTGGCAAACTATGACTGCGATACATATTCTGCGCCCAATCTAGGTACCATCTATGACGAAGTCACGATTGGATACCCACGGGACGCCCTGTCAGCTGGCGTATGCTACCATACCGATTGGAGGTCGATTGATTACACGGAATTATACTACCCTCCGCCCGATCGCGAGGTGGTCACGCAAGCTGCGTGTTCTATGGATTACAGAGATCCGCGTACTGTAGACTCGTCCAAGATCCCGGCTGGTACTCCAATATTTTCTATTCCCGGCGGTGTCTCGAAAGTCGATCCTCTTTGGAGCACTTGCACTCCTGCGGCTCCTCGGAGATACGACCCTCCCCGAGCGCTGACCAAGACTAGAAATCTTGTTCCGACGCCAACTCCCCCATCTGTGACTCAAGCTGAGCCTGAACCTTCAGCAACCCTGCAATAGGCCGTCGGGACTGGCGCTCTCAGCACGGCAAATGTAGCAGATGTTGGGCAGGTTTCTCAACATCCGAACTCTCAAGATCTCGGCGCTGCAAGTGGAGGCGATCCAGTCTCTACAAAAGGAAAGCAAGACGGTGATTCAGGGTCACAACAGGCTCCAGGCGCGAAAGGCAATCAACCAGATCCTCGAAACCCCGGCACTTCTGATTCTCCCAGCGTAGGGAGTGGAGGGAATTCGGCCTCTGTGCATCTCTACAGGAGACTCCTGGTGGAGGCCTTGAATTAGGCACAGTGACGATTGCACCTGGGGCTGAGACCACACACTCAGGTCACGTTGTCTCCGTTGGCTCTAGTTTCGTGCTTGGGGGATGGCACCTCCTTTGATCTGCAATCACCACATCCAGGTGCCCCTCCAGGGCTAGCACCAGCTCTCCGCTTCAACAGGGTGTATCTAGTGGTATTGTGGTAATGGGTACCATGAGCCTTCCATCGGGAGCTCAAACAATATACTCGGGGCACACGATGTCCGTCGGCTCTAATATCTTTGCCGTAGACGGAACCTCTTACCGTAAAGGCGCCAGCGGTAAGCTTGTATTCGGAACCATGACTCTCCCTCCAGGGTCCGAAATCACACCGTCAGGCCACGTCATTCCTGTTGGCTCCAGTTCTGCGGTCGTCGATGGCACCTCATACACCTGGGCTGCACCCGCATCCTCACCAACTTCAACGCCTGCAAGTGAAAATATTGGAGGCCTCATCATGTCCGCATTCGGAAAAAGTGCAGCAGCGAACTCATCCTCTTCACCGCTAGCTTATACAGGTGGCGCGTCGAGCTCGCTGGTGCTTTTGAGACCTGGACTGCCTACGACGATGATGGTGACATATAATGTACTTCTCAGTTTTCTAAATATTCAAGCGGGCATGATGTTACATATCAACCTTCTGGCCTTATTTGAGGATCTATTTCTTATCGACTTATAATTAGTTAACCTCTTCCCAGGGCTGAAAAGAACCAATTTTCGAGCATGGTCCGACTCGAACGTCCTCTCACCAATTAAGACCCCCCCCCGACAAACCGTAAATCGGCTCTCCGCAATGTCAGCTTGCGGCCGTATTCCTCCGTACATCTTTCTAAAGCCGGTTATAAAATGAAATAGACACAACTTGACAAACATAGTCGCTGTGCTCGGTTTGAAACAGCTTTCCATACATTACAACTGACGAACTCGACACCTACCATTCGAACCATTCGAGACACTCAGCTCGTCACATCGCAGCTCTCTGGGCTTGAGTACAAATCAGCCAGGATAACTATCTCGAGTATCTGCTTAGCGTCGAAAATTTCCCGTCACTGCGTCCACAACCAACCCCCTCCCACCGTTCCCTCCGTCCCATCAACCAGAACATCAAACTCGAAATCCCACCCCGCGTACGTCTGCGCGACATTCTTCACTCCGATCAGCACATTACTACACCTACACATTGCGGGGTCAGCATCACTTTGTGGACGCGAAAATATCAGGTTGTAAGACCGGTTTTGTGGGGGCATGAAAAAGGCAAGAATTCACAAATGGCCACTTACATATCCCAGGTCATGTTTGCCTCCGGCCAGATATATAGATCTGTACTTTCATCCTGGCCCCCTGGATGGTCGGATTCATACACCCTTTCCCCCATGCCCATCGGTTCAAAGCGCTGCTCGTGATGCAACGACATGTCGCGAACTGCTTTCCGCAACGCTTCTTCTACCTCGTTTTCCTGTCTGGACGAACTAACGCCTTGGAAAAGGTGGCACCACAGGCTGATGTCGGAATACCGCACGGGGTAGACGTACGGCACTGGAGGCGGAGCGACGCTGCGCTGATGTCAGACCTGAGTTTTTACAGAACATCTCGACAAAGAACTTACTCGAGTGGAGAATTGGGGGCTCGGAGTGCACTGGTGGAATTGGGGGGGTGGGTTGCGTTTTCGAGCAGTGTCAATGATGACGGTAGCGTGAGAGATGGCGGCGAATCTGGGAGAGCGAGAGGTGGCGCTGTGGCAGCGTGGGCGCTCAGCTGGATTAAGGCTGCGAAACGAAACACGTTGAACGTCTTCATATCTGAGCGATACGAGAACGTAGAAATGAGTGTTGAAACAGTTAAGAAGAAGAATCATGTGAGAAGGCTCGAGAGTACTTTTGTTCCATTTCGTCGCATGGAAACACGGTTTGCGTTCCAACGGATACCTTTCTTGCGACGCACAGACTGTGCATCTATATTCCTACAGCGCAGAAGACTCGTCGCAAAAACTACCGGCGCAAGTAGGGGACCTGGGTTTGAAAAGAGCGATATTTTGACAACAGTCGGAAGCATGTACCAGAAGGACGAGCACTTGACGGAATTGGCAACTCGTTGCGAACAAAACTCGAGCAATAGAAAAAATGTCTTTCGAACAGAAAAAGTAGAAATCATGACTGGTGGAGCCTCAGGCCCAAACGAGAGTATTGGATTTTGACCAGCAAAACCACGGACGAAAGACCCGGACCAGACATAAAGACAAGAATACTTCCAAGCAGAGACGAAAACACCTCACCTTCTTTCCTACCTTCCCCCCCCGAAGAACGCCATCAACCCTCACGGGACAACCTCCCCACTACAGCACAAACACATCAGGCACGCATCCAGATGCTTCGAAAAGCCCGGCTCGTTCTGTCCCGGCAGCCGCCGGCTCGAATGCTTCGTCCACGCCTCCCTCCCACAGCCCGGCGTGGCGCACGCGGCCCTGGCCCTGACCGTGCCCGGACGGTGGTCGACGTGCAGCACGCGCCGGCGCCGCCCGCCCGTCCCCGCGCGCCTCACGTGCGTGCGTTCGAGCGTGCGGCGGCGGGCGTCGCCGGTGGCGTAGGTGGCGAGTTCGGTCTCGAGGCGGCAGGTGTGGCATTTGGCGTCGGCGAAGATGGCCCGCCGGCACGTGCAGGCGGAGTGGCCGGGCCGGTGCTGCCGTCTCAGGCGGAGGCTGCAGCGTTTGCAGAGGATCGATCGCCGGCTCGGGAGCCCGTTGGTGATCTTGCGGTGGTAGTAGTTGCTCCAGCTGTGGAGGCAGTCGTTGCACACGTTGAAGCACCGGGTGGGGAACGGCGGGTGCGATTGCGGATCCGTTTGCCTGCAGGGTCGCATGGTGACCCGTGTGGTGGGCCCGTTGGGGCAAGGGATCCGCTGCTGCGCCGCCGGGACGTTGTAGATTTTGCGCATGTCGTCACACTGTGCTCCGAGTTTCAGTTGGAGGAAGTCGTTGGGATCCTTGCGGTTGGGGGCCGGGGGATTGTGGAGGTTTTGTGTCTGCAGCACGATAGGGTCGAGCGAATGCAGGATTCGCTGCGTCTGATGTCTTAGATTCATATAGTCGAGAAGGTTTAGATTTCCGAGTAGACGGTTCTGCAAACCATATGTTTCCCTGTCAAGAATAAATTCGAGCATTTTTTGGCCGGTACTGGGTGGAGGTCGATTAGGTTGAGCCATAACGGGCTAGAAGGTGTTTTTTGGGAGTTTCTATTAGTCTGATGAGGAAATAGTATTTGATGACTGCAGTGTGACTTTGATCCTCGTAATCGTTGGAATGAGGAATTCGGCGGGATGAACCACTCCAGGATAGAAAACACCCCATTGTCCTTCGGAACTGATCCATTCATAGATCTTCAAAGAGGACAACGCCAACAAGTGTACAAGATAAAGAACGTCTTTCTTCGTCAAAGGATTGCAGATCCGCCCAAGCTGATCAATGGATATGAATGGAGACTTGTCCCGAGCCTCGCCACAAGACAGTAAGGCTTCCCCAAAATATAGAGTCTGTCAGATGTATAGGTAGGATCCGCGCAGCAGCAGCGTATTATTACCAACAACCAGAATCAGTTCCCGTTCGTTTCTTGGACAAAGGGAACCCAAGAGGTACTATGCAGTCAAGGACCTTCCTGCTTTATCTTCCATTCCCGCACGCTGCCACAAAAAGTTGGCAGTTGTGAGCACTACTCTTCCACAATCGGCGACTATGGGTAGCAAGTCGAAACAATTGGCTGTTGAAAGGGAAGGATACATCAAGCAGTAGGTATCTGACAAGGAAGTGCTCTTCTCAACAATGGAAATGCGACAGTTTGGGACAAAGGAACAGTCACGATCATGAAAAAGTGCCCACCTTCTCATCTCAAATTGATAGTTATGGGGATGAATTTGCTTCGATAGATGTGAGAAAATTGGCGACTCGTAAAGACTAAATTCAGATCACTAACAGAAACCGAAATTGAGGACTGCTCAAGAGCTGAATTGAAGCGGAATATGTGAGTTTCTTTACAAGCGAGATCGAATTGAGCAAAAGAGATAGAGTCCTGAAGCTGGAATGAACGTCCATTACCTCCGTCTCCCCCAAGAATAATCGAATCTCATGGAATGAGTACCCCATTACAGCACACGCACACCAAGCTCGCGTCTGTATGCTTTCAATGCTGGACGTCCAGAACCATAGCAGGACCATACAGCGATCACCTACTGATACCACCACTTCTCAGGCTATCATCCAGCTGTATCAGCCATGGTTAATTAATACATGGCATCAATCTGTTGGTCCATGACACGCGTGAGTACCGTGGCTTGATCTATGCCGCTGCCAGTCCAGTAATCCGCTCAAACTCCTCCTCTGTATGTTTCCAGAACCTCTCCACCACTCCTCCCTTTTTGAAATTGGTCAGAAGCTCCTCCACCTTAGGTCCCGAACTTTCACCGGCCAAATCGACGGAGTACACACCACTTCCACTTTCCCCATTGGTTCCTCTTGCAATCGCAACTTCACCGGTCAACGGCACCCCAGAAGTTACATCCCCATGAGAAGCTGCCGGGTACCTCGCGCTCGTTGCGAGGAACAAGTGACGTTCACCACACTCCTGATTCGAGTACCAAGTCATCATGGGCGATATGGCTTTGAAGACTATATTGATAACGAATATCGTTGCGCCTTGGCCACCCCGGAAAAGGTTTGACTTGAGCGGACCCGGGAAGTTGTGGATGAATGTCACGTCCGGTGCTTTCTTGGCAAGGGCTTCAAGGGATACGGTGACAAGTGAGCTGACGTGGCCACGTGCGGAAAGCGCAGAGACTTTCCAGCCTTGAAAGTCATTGATGCTAACTGGGCCTTCTTTACCAGCGGCGAATGCAGTGACGACACGACGAAGGGCAGTGGCCTGTTGAAGAAGTGGCAAAAGGTTTACAATAAATCGATTGCGGGAATAGGTTACCAAGGTCGTGACGAAGTTAAGGCCCTCCGAAGTCTCTGTGTGCATTTTACGGTCAAATCCTTCATTCTCATGTTTGCGGAGTTTTCTCCGTAAATCAATAGAGCAACTTTAGAAGGATCGCGGACATACCCGCGCTAACCAATGATCCCGTACTAAGAAAGAGGAGATTGACCGCCTTCTCTTTGCACTTGATGTCACTGCATATATCATCCACGGTGCGGATCAGACTGGTATCTGCCTTGATGAAGATGTACTCGCCTTCAGAGTTCAGGGTCTTGCATTCGGCTGCAATGCGATCTCCGGCTTCTTGTGAGCGGCCAACAAAGTAGACGCGGGGTTGGCGGGCGTGCTTGGCGAATTGCTTCAGCGATACTTCGCCGACACCGCTAGTGGCACCGACGAAGACGGCGACGAGACGCGGAGGAAGAGCGGAGGCAATGCGGGAATTCGAGGATTGGACATCTGTAAGGGAGACCATTGCGTGGTATGAACGGAGGCCAGAGAAGTAACAGGTTGGTGTGCTGGAAGTGTATAACTATAATATGTGGTCTTCGCAGCCTGGATAGGAAAGAGAATGGTGGTCTGTTTGATGAAAATGTGACCTGGGAGCCTCTATGTTTCTCGCAACGAAACAAGGGAAGCAAGGCTTCATCAAGAAAAGAGGAGGGTTTTGCATCTTTAAGTAGACTGTAGAAATGCAGGCCTCAGCCTTCATGGACGCATATTTGGTGTGATTTTTGGGGCTTTGATACATGCACGAGGATAGACTGTAGAAGACAGAATACAGATCCAATGGAATATTTCCAAATGCGATTGGAGGTTAGCGCTAAATCAACCAACGCAAGCGGCATAAAGTAACTCCGCTCGCGGAATCCAATCGGATGCTTCAAAATACGAATACGAGAAAGTCAATGTGGTGTGTTCCTTAGCAGATATTTTTCAATCCTGACTTATTCTGCTGGCATCCCTTCCTCTCCGCGTATAACTAGGCTATAAAGCAAAAGTCCGTGTTCCGTGCCATGAATCGAACTGTGAGAGAGCTACTGTAAGCGAAGTGCGACGATTGAGCAAATGACAGCAGATACCCCGACACATCTGGCCAACTCTGGGAGGGAAATCAATAGTAGACACCTTCATCGCGTTGAAACTGTTGGGCTTGAAATTCGTGACCCAACGGCGCACCAGCCTGAACATGGCTGGAGTGTGTCATTTCGGAGGGGCGTGATCCTGGAGCAATGTGAGTAGCAGCCAGCATAGAAAGGTTCGGGGAATATCAGGCGAGGACTATCTCGAAAATTGGGCAAGCTCACCCTGCTGCCTCCCAACTTTCATACCTGCACTCATTCCATACCCGCTCAAGCCGTTTCTATTTACGCTATTCATATTGAGACTGGCGAGAGATTGCCGTTGGCCTGCAGTATGGTTCTGCAGATCCTTATTAAACATGTTGGCGTCATGTCGATAACCAAGTGTTCCCAGGCGGCTGGCGGATTGAGTTGTCGGCCCAAGCTGGGTGCGATGGTTGGAGGGTGTAGGCATGGGATTCGCTAAACGACCATCAGCAGCGTGGGTGGTATGCCAGGGCTTTGGCTCACCGAATCCGAACGTATTGCTTCCAGTACCTCCTGGTCGATGAAGCGGAGGAGGCATCATTGCCCCATTGCCTTGGATTTCGTTGCTGCCACTCTTCCGTCGGGCATGGAGTTGCTCTATTCCGTTGCGATTCCGTTGAGGGGACTGGAAGTCTTGTTGAGCGTGAGATCTCGGAGCGACAGAAGTATGCTGAGCAGAAACGAAGCCTTGACGACCTGGGACATTCCCGAGTACCTCATCTACGGAATCAAACGCCGCAGACTGTGTAGCTGCTGTCATCTCCTTGCGCTTCAAGCGATCATAGAGTTCCTGTGTCTGCTGATGTTTGCGGCTTTTCTCTCGGAAGGCTGTTACGAGATTCTTATTCTCAAGCTTGAGCCTGTCCTGGTCTATTTGCATATCTGTTCGTAGAATTAGAAGAGTAGATACTCATCACATCGCGAATCATACTGTTCAGCTTTTGATTCAGGATGTTCAGTTCGGAATTGGCGTCGTTGAGAATCTTGTCAATCTGCACGTTAAGAGTGTTGTGCTTCTCAGTCATTGCCTTCACCGTGTACTCCTGGTAGACGCTACAAAGTATCAGTGGGTGTAAGCGGCAACGCCACCCCTCTACGTACATCTCCTGCGTCGACTGGTAGCTCCAGAAGGCCAACCCACGCCCAGCACATTCCATAATAGTGCTAGGACTGAGGCCACTCAGAACGCTCGTCTTGTAGTCCTCGGTCGGATGCAATGATGTAGAGACAGCGTCATCAGGTTGAGAAAGAAGAGTTCGGCATGCTGGGCAGACCCGACTAGCACCAGCTGGTGCAGTCAAGCCAAGCTCGTCAGAACAAGGATTGCAGAAGACATGGCTAGGCTTGCTGTTAGTATACTGCAAGCGTAGCCTACAGGGTGTACGCACCTGCAAGTCGTTACCACAGCCCGCTCCACGAGCTGGACTCGGCAGTTGAGCGCATTGCAACGTAGCGTGAAGTCCATTACTCTAGAGAACGCCAGAGGATAACCTTGATGAAAGCGATGGAAGTAGAGGATTCAGTTGAGATGACTTTAATGGGATGAAGTGGAACGGAGAAGGTGGTTTTCGATATAGGAAAGGACGCCCTTTCCACTTTTGATACTCATGGAAAGATCAATATTCTCTGGCGAGGCAAGTACTAGGCAGCTCATTGCCCCTAAATTCAAGAGGTAGATTCTAGCTTCCATGTCTACCGTATAGGCCACCTTCCAAAGACAATAATGTTCTATGAAATCACGATTGGACGCTCCCATCCTCTATAGGACGAGCCCACTTTGTGGAGCCACCACCTTCGTTGCTATTCCAGCGCGATGGAAATAAATCATCTGACAAGTTGAGAGGACCAACATCTTCGCGCAAAGACTGTTCCATACCAAGTTTTATAAGGTCTACTTTTGCACTGTGACTTCAGAGACTCAGAATAGGGAAATGCATCATAGAACGGGTAAAACTTGGATCTCTATCATTATTGGTTTCGCGCTTGATGAACAAGCCACCGTCACTACCATCAGATCAGACTATTGTTGTTCGCTCGTAAGTGCCTGAACAGTCAAATTTCGAAAAGGATTCTAGTGAGCTTGATGGAATAATGGTCGTCGTACTCAGGACGGGGTTTATTGGCTACGGTTTTAGCGTTTGGCCGTACTAACACCCACCAGCAACTTCGATCATCTTCACCTTTTTATGACCCTCACCCTCACCCTCACCCTCAATATCTCGATGGCCTCCAAACCCTCCTCAAATGACACCTCCAGAGTCCCAACACCAAATCCTCGTTTCACCACCCAAGCCTCCACAGCCGCCGATCTGTTAGCATCTCAAACCGTCGGCCTAGTCCACCTCTCCGACTTCCGAAAGCGACGCGCAGAGGCGCTCGAGCAGAAGGAGCGCGAAGCACAGGGGACTGCCGTAAGCTTTGGCCGCTTTGCGCCTGCATCGTCATCTGCATCGGGGAACTCAGTTTCAGACGTTAACAATAGTATCATCAACGGGTAAGTTGTGGGGATTATGCAAGGTAGAGCACGTTTTTTTGGCGGCTGCAGAAGCTGACGGTCAAAGCACAGTGTTTCAACTTCCCATGGACAGCCACCGAAAAAGAAACGGAAGCACGTGGCCAAGGGAAAATTGTCGTTTGGGGTAGATGACGAGGAGCTGGATAGAGTGGAGAGGATCGAATCGACGGATCTGACGCCAAGAGATGGTACGCCAGACGAAGATGGACCCACCAGAGCGTCACCAGCCTCGTCGCGAAATGATTTTTCCACGGAACGAAAGCGCTTTGGGGCAAACGCCAATCTCAGCGTCGCCCCGAAAGCAATGACTAAGTCCGCGCTGCTCAAGGAGGCTCAGACCCGAGAACAGCTACGGAAGGAATTCCTCTTGATGCAAGAAGCTGTCAAAGCCACGGAGATCATTATACCATTCGTTTTCTATGACGGCACAAACATACCCGGTGGCGCTTGTAAAGTCAAGAAAGGCGACTACGTTTGGCTGTTCCTAGACCGAAGTAGGAAAGTTGGAGCAGAGCTGGGTGTAGGAGGCGGCGAGAAAGCTAACAGCAGAAGAGAATGGGCAAGGGTTGGCGTGGATGATTTGATGCTTGTGAGAGGTGAGATCATCATACCTCACCACTACGAACTCTATTACTTCATCGTCAACAAGACTGTTGGTCCGAATTCGACGCCGCTGTTCGATTACGCCGCGGCCACTGTCCCACCGTCGGATGGGTCCGAATCTCCAGATCAGATCTCAGATGATTATGACCCAATATCTTTGCCATCGAAGACGAAGCCGAAGAACAACGGCCAGGTCACGCCTGCAGATCGACATCTCGAGGGTGTGAACGCTGATCCAAATTTTACAAAGGTGGTAGATCGGCGGTGGTATGAGCGGAACAAGCACATCTTTCCAGCGAGTGTGTGGGAGGAATTTGATCCGACCAAGGACTACACCAAAGGCGTGAGGAAGGATGCCGAGGGTAATGCATTCTTTTTCACCTGAGAGAAGTCATCGGTGCATAGGCTAGAGATAGGAGATACCATAAAAAAGTATTAGATTCAAGTTTACGACACGTTCTGTCGAGGGCAGCGGAAAGATGCTTGGAGATTGGAGTCTATCTTTGGAGCAACATCCAATGCTCCATACATATCTATAATCTAGTCTACCTTTTATCCCTCTCTTCAGTCAGTACGTAACCATTTTATCGCTCAAAATCGGGTCTGTCTCTCGTCTCTCAGCAGCTCGCACTCAGATCTGAATCCCGTATCTTCCGTAGTCAAACCCTTCCAACGTCGTCACCATCTCAGCCCATCCATCATCCATTCGGGAGTGGTAGCCGTTAGTCCTCCCTTTCGTGCCAGTGCCATGCATGCCAGCCTCGTGCAGAGCATCGTCAACCTCCCGGTCGGTGCCATTCGCAACCCCAGCGAGCACCTCCCTCTCCCTCCCCAGATACTCCTTCAACAACATCGGATGAGGACACCAAACCACTCTCATTCCCGCCCTTCTCCCTGCCTCGACCCCGGGCACACTATCCTCGAAGACTAGGCATTCCTCAGGGTAGACAATGGGCTCTCCTTTGGCTCTCAATTCTTTGTTGATACACTCCAATGCCAAGAGGTAGATGTCCGGTGCGGGCTTGCCCCTGCCTTTGGGTATCCTAGAATCATCGCCGAGGACACGGCGCGAGGGTGGGAATGCGCTGAAGAGGTGAGGCAAGTGCGTTGACTTCAAGCGGTAATTGATGGCGTGCGAGGAAGTGGCGAGCGCGAGGTGAGTATTCGAGTTCTTGAGCGTTTTCAGCAAGAGTGGAACGCCAGGGAGCGGTTGCGTTGTGGGGAAGAATTGGGCCTGCAGTTTGGCCTGCTTAGCGGTGAAGGTGGAGCGGGCGATAGGCAGCTGGGCCCAGGCATGGAAGATTTCGGCCGCCTGTGGAAACTGTCAATCTGCGTGGGGGTGTGGGGAAAGAGGGTTCGGGAGGAGAGAGGCATACGTCGGGACCAGGGCGGCCTTGCAATTGGGCCTTGATTTTCCAGGGAAGAGAAGGCTTGCCGTGCTCATGCAGGATTACGTTGTTGCATTTCGTATAGATATCCTCGGTATCGATGAGAAGTCCGTCCATGTCAAAGAGACAGGCGCGAATTTTTGGGAATCTGGAGCTCACTGTTAGTTTACGGAGGAATTGAATGATCAGGCAAGCGTACTCAGGGTTTGCCATAATCATGATGGCGGTGTTGGTACGTGATAAGGCCGATAGCTGGCTTGTGAGCTTTGTGTTTAGGGATGTATTTGTGTCTTGGTTCGGATTTGGAGCGGTGTATCAGATGGAGGAGTCGGAGGGGATTTGTATTTGAGAACAAGGAAATTGGAAATGGAGAGACTGAGCACAGATTGTATCTGTGCGAGGAGGAGGCAACCCAACAAAATGAGAGGGGTCCATTATGCACATCGGTATCCGGTATCATCTCGCACGTTTCTTCCCTTGCGAACTATGCAGGCTTGCCCTGCTTTCACGCCTTGACCTAACTTTTTACTAGACTTTCTACCACGTTGTGAGAGTTTTGCTTGGATTTCCCCGTTTCATTTTCGCTTCCGACTTAGAGACTTAAAAGTAAGTAGGTACTTTTACTACTTTAGACTCTTAGAGTAGATGCGCGCTTGCATTGGCGGCTGTCGCTTAATGCAAACAAGCTAAAGTAGAGTAGTTTACTCAGGTACTACCTCTAATGTAGTACGGAGTAATGTACTACTACCTTACTTACTTTATCAAGCAAGGGCCTTCAAAGTTATAGATAGATAGTAATACAAAAACTTTATAGCCGGTCACACATGGCACTTCCAGATCCATCTCCCGATCTGCCTGACGAATCTGAAGCCTCGCTTCTTCCACGTTTTTCCCAGGAGGAAGAAGCAGTAAGCTCATGCTCGTCTCATGGTCCCTTCCCCTCGGCTGATCTCCTCCCCTCAAACGCTGCGAATGGGCGCATTCTCTCTCCTTCTCTGTTTCTCTCTGTCTTATTTCCGGCCAGGAGCTGATGGACACGTTCTAGGCCTTGCTACAGGAGTCTAATGCGCAAAAAAGCACAGCAAACAAATTCTTTACCTCATCACAGTACTCACAAGCCATAGGCGAGTACGACAAAGCGCTGTCATCTTGCCCGAACTACCTAGAATACGAAATCGCCGTACTGAAAAGTAACATCGCTGCCTGCCACTTGAAGCTCGAGGACTGGAAAGCGGCTGTTGAGTCAGCTACAGCGGCTCTAGATGCCTTGGACAGGCTCTTGCCCAAGAAGAAAGAGAACAAGGAGGATGACGCCGAGAAAGACGGAGGTGTTGTGGAGATTGAAGGCGAAGGCGCGGAAGCAGAAGAAGAGCTTAAGAAGCTTGAAATGAGTGACCAGCGGCGCGATGACATCCTCCGCATACGCTCCAAAGCTCTCATGCGTCGAGCGAAAGCAAATTCAGAGCAAGGAGGATGGGGAAATCTACAAGGTGCCGAGGATGATTACAAGGCTCTTGCACAACTACCGACGCTGCCACCACAAGACCAAAAGATCGTCCAGGCAGCTTTGAGAAGTCTACCGCCACGCATCAATACAGCCAAGGAGAGGGAGATGGGCGATATGATGGGCAAGCTGAAGGAATTGGGCAATGGTATACTGAAACCGTTCGGGCTGTCGACGGATAATTTCAAGATGGACAAAGATCCGAATACTGGTAGTTATAGCATGAACTTTAATCAGGGCAGGTAGAACCTGGAATAGAAGGCTGACAGCATTTGCTGTTGGCGAGCATTACCATTGAAACTCTAGCAGCCCACCAATTCACGTTGCTTAATTGCGGGATCTAATGTTTAACTTGAAGAACTGCATGACTGATTGCTAACATGAGAGGCATCTCGCATAGCCATAAAAGGCTCGAACACGCATGCTCAAGTATGTACAAGATGAATGACACAATCGACCGCTCTCTATCCCTCTGCATCGATAAGACAACAGCGCTCTATGAGTCGTCAATACCCTTATTTGCTCCTCCGCTAGCTATGCACACGGGGAGGTTGATAAGAATAGTCTATCGTATGCCACGGATACATCGCGTGATAGTGTAGTGTGGCAGGACGAAGGCGCCGAGGAATGCAAAACATGTTTGGAAACGTATGCTGGGTCGTGGAGTACGCCGTCGCTATGCTGGGTCGTGAAGTCGTGAATCGCATGAACCGAGAAAAACTGGAAAGGCATCGTAGAGGCCCGGGGGGTTTTCGAGCGGAGACGGAGATGGAGGTATTCGACGAAGCGGAGGAACGACATTGCCGGACTCGTCGGGCGGATGCGAAGATGTGAAGGTGGGGTCTCAGGCCTGGTGGACGAGTGATGGTGGTAGCCCATGCGTTAGAGACTTTTCGAGAATGATGCTGAAATGGTAGAATGGATGCTGGAGACAGTGCCGCCACCCTCAAGACTGAAGAGGCTTCCGATGGTGTGTGCTGAAGCCGAAGTATCGAAATGCCAAAGCACCTGCAAGTCCTCGCCAGGCTCAACTATATCCGTAGCCGATACCGCCAAGGCCCTCACTGTCACTGCCACCGGTGGAGTTGTCTCCGTAAAAAACGTCCCCGGTTTCATTGCTGGATTGAAAGTCGCAGTGTTGATCCGGAGTGGGCATTTGCTGACTGGCGGCAAGTCTATGGAGCGTTCGGTCGTGTTCCGGCCGCTGAGGGGAAGCATAAATGTTCTGGTGCAAGTCTTGAGCGAAGGGGTCTTCCAGATTCTGAGCCTGTAGTAAATATGCGGCTTCAAGGCTGGCTTTCTGCTCGTGATGCTGGTTGCTGTTTGTAGACTGAGGTTGGGAAGTATCAACCATCACGCCATCAATAGACTGATATTTCGAGTGACTTACCGGCTTAGTCCTCTTAGGAGTATGAGGATTCGGACGAGCAACCTTGGGTTCAAGCACGGAAAGCGACCTATCCGTTTCTCCGTCACTTAACGGCTCGTCACCCGAATTCTCCTCGTCATCTTGATCATCTTCCATTTGGGCTTGTCCACGCTTCTTCGTCTTTATCATGGGCTTTCCTTTGCCCTGACCTTTCTCACCCAGATGCTCACGCCCTAGACGGATTGCCTCTGCCTTCTGATAATTGACTCGGCGGTTGTTCTTGACGCGCTGCAGAATGTCAGCCTTGGATCAAGTAAATGCTGGAGAACGGAACATACATCTTTCGCGTATTGCGGATCGTCAACCACACTGTAAGAGTAAGGAGGCTCTATCAAATGCTTGCACACCGTCTTTTGAAACTAGGACCACAATATCAGCAGAGTCCGCCCAACATAGTGAATGAGAGAGGGTGGGAGTACCGTAAGAGTCTCGCACAAGGCATCGAAACGCTTCTCAAATGATGCATACTGATTGATAGGTCTCTTTTCCCCCAGAGGAGTTCCCTCTTGTTGTTGAGCTTGCTTAGTCAAATTCTAAAGTATCTGAAGTCAATATCATTGCCTTCAAGAGCACACTGTAAAGGTTCGCACTCACCAACAAGTCCACGCATACTTCTCTAATTCTCAACGCTTTGGCCTTGCGAACTTTCTCCCAGGTTTTCTGCATGCCTAGATTGTCCTCAACGTTGTCTGTATTATGCATTGCATCAACCAGTGCTGCGACATTGGTGTGATCTGTTGGGCTCAAGTGCGTCAAATCCGCTGTTTGAAGCGCGACGGGATCGATGACCGCCTCGTTGTCATCATTACTCTTCAATTCCTGCTTTACGCGTCGCTTCTTCTGTATCTCCCGCGGGGCCATTTGACTCTTGAAGTTGGGGGTGGACACCACGTGATCCGAACCAGGTGAAGACAGCTCGCGCTTTACGCTCATTGGGCTCGACCCGTTGAAGCCGGAATCCGTCGGTTCCTGGCTCATGAAACGCGCATCTCGAGTGTCGCTAAGTTGCATACGATACTGCTTCGGTGAGTGGCTGGGCATTGACTTCCCTGGGGACCCTGAGAGGTGGTGATGGCCCATGTACGGCGAGCGAATGGATTGTTGTTGGAACATTGGTTGGGGGTCGGGATACTGTGGCTTCTGGAAATGCCCAGCTTCCCAAGGATTTTGTCCCGAGTTTGATGTCACTGAAGTTCTTAAGCTGCTCTCTTGAAAAGGCTGATGGTTCTGCAAGACTTGAGATCCTCGGCTTGGATTTTGTGCGCTGGCGATCCGACGGAATGGGGGCCTATTCGATGCATGCTGTACATTTTGGTAGTCACCATGAGATAGTGACACGTTAGGCGCTTGGCCGTCGGTGAAGCCATAGTTAAGTGACATGGTGTCTGGCACTTGGTCGGTAGTAAAGATACCTGAAGCAGTCGTATCAAACGGTGAAAATTGTGGTAGCTGAGGATGAATTTGATGGCGTAAATGTGAAGGATGTCGTACAAAGTGCTGAGGCTTCAATGTCGGTGAAGCTTGTATCTCAGCGGGTACGCTAGCGGAAGATGTGTTGTTCAGTACTTTGGGTGCAATTGGTACATGTGTTGACATTGGCCTCCCAGTTGGTGTTGTTTGCTCAAAAGGATCATTCGATGATGCTGTAGCTGCATGGTTCTGGAACGAATTGTTTGGAACACAAAGTAGGCCTCCAGAGGGTGCAATGTGAGTTTGACTTTGTCTCGCATTGGTAGAACTCGCGCTTGTCATTGAGGATTCCCCCTGTTGCACGAGTGTTTTTGGGGAATTGTTGCTTGCATTCGAGAAGCTTTGATTTGCGCTGGGGTGGCCGTTGCTTGTATTCGAGCTTGTATGTGTGCGCGACTCGTGCGATTGTTGTAGTAGGTGTAGGCCCGAGGGATTGCTGTCCGTACCCGAGCTTCCATCGCTTGGCTGGGAGCCATATCCGCTTGCAAATGGACTCTGTCGACCACTGCCAGGTAAATCAGGGTTGGAGGAGTTGGGTGACGGAAGACACCCAGGCGTTGTTGCTTGATAGAAATCCATATCGAAGCAATCAAGGAGCTCGTTGCTCAATGGCATATCCTCAAATCTGCCATTTTGACAGCATGCATCAAATTCTTGCATCTTTTGGAATTCTTGTTGATAAGTTTGGTCCATGATGTAAGAATTTCCAGCACTGGACGACTCTAGTAACCTGATGTCTCAAGTCAATGCAGAGAGTGGTTGGTGAATTGTAAAAAGTGACTGTTTCGAGTATAGGGAGATGAATAACTGGCGTCTGAACGAGTGAAGCCCAGAAAGCTGCGATAATCAATTGAGCAGAATCTGACCAGTAGCACCGGAAGTTCCGATGCTGGATGTCTGGTCCATCATGTGTCAGTATCATGGAGAGACGTAACCATCAATAGCGACCAATCATTGGGGGAAATCCAGCATAGGTAGCGCAAAGTTTTTCGCAGTTACTGACGGTGCAGCGCCAATTCGTAGTAGAAAGGATTGATAGCTTACAGGTCGAGATTCAAGCTCTGAGGGAGTGCGCAAGCGCTTTGGACAGAATGCCGAATTTTCTGTTCACGAGAATAACTCGTTGTTAGTCAATGTTCGAGTACTCTAGGGCAGTACAGCATACAACCATGGTATCGAGGTAGCCGATCAGACTTACCGAAGTTGAATTTGACCAATGCAAGATAACCAATGGTTCACTGTATCTAAATCGGTTTTCCAAATTGAGTTCAAGAAATCAGCAGCTCAAGCGAAGTTGCGTCAGTAGATTCGAGCGATGGTGTGGTTGACGAAGCTGAATTGCATGAAGGATGAAAGGAATTGGCAAGGTTGGAGAATCTGTACTGGTGCAGGATGATGGAAGAGAGGTTTGCCGATGAAGGGTTATGGTATGAAGAAGTGGAAGGTGCTTGAAGAATTTATACAGAGGGATGAAATGGGAAGATGTCAGGGGAAAATGGCTGGCAAAATTGATTCACTAATGGTGAGCAGTGACAATACCAAGTACAGCGGATGAATAGGGTCAATACAATGTCTGCAGCAGCAGTGAATAGCATCAATGGGCCTCCGCCTTCATTCATTGTCTTGTCAATGTGATCGGGCTGTAATGAATACACATTCGCTTGGGAGAGAAACCTTTGAGATCTTGATAAGCCTTACAGAAGTCGTGGCTGATCATTCTGCTCGGAGGATCCGAATGATTGATGGCACCAATTGAGAGCAGGTGTTCTTCACTCCAAACGTCTCTCTGTTGATCTACGCACCTGGAGCTAGCCTTCAATTGAGACCTGAATCGAATGAAAAAGTGTTCCTAAAATGAGCTTTAGGAGCGCGGCATTCAATTCTGGGGGGAAGGCTTGATGTACTGGATCAAGCAGAGAGATGTTCTACTGTCGATGCACTGGCAGTTCGAACTCATGGGCACCAGCGGAAGTGTTGGGGTAGCATCAAGAATAGCAAGAGCAGCAAGCCTTTCTACTTGGATTCCAAGCAGCCTTCGTTCCCCGCATGTTTGAAGTCCACGCAAGCTCATGCAAGACTTGGATGCCTATGTTTCGAAATGGGGCACTGCTCGAGATTTCTAGCGGAGGATACAAGTCACAGGCATCGCGCTGTCTTTGGACCGGGGCTCCTTTGAAGGTGCTTCTTTCCCCCATTTCAAGCATGGGAGAAGCGGTACTCCGCATCGTCTGCGCTTTTGCGACTACCAATAGGCAAGCAGCGACGTATATGACAAGCAAAGCGAGCAAGGTATTAGGGTCGCCAGAAACAATAAGGGAGAATGATATGTTCCTGCGTCGGGAATCACAATCTCGAGGAGTAGCTTGGGGAAGGTGCCAGGAATCGTCCCTTCGGATTGGGCATGTGAGTGCTAGAAAGGCTTCCAAACGGCAAAGACGCTAGTACATTCGATGCGTTGTGCTCGAAGAAGGGTACAGAAGCTGGCTGGGCGGAGAAGAAACGATAGTAGGATGAAGAATTCTGGGCATTGAGGGTCTCATGTTGAGAACAGAGAGCTTTAGCCAGTGGATTTACTATGGATAGCGTGACTATAAAAGGATCCTAGAGGTCTGCAAGAGGGAGATACCCATATTGATGGTGTTTCGTGCTTGCCTCGGACTACTCCTTCTCCGTGAGGTCTAGATAGAGTCATAATGCCAAGAGAATAGCGTTCTGACATCTACGAACAGCAAGCGAATAAGCGAGGCCCCATGCCGTATGTCTAAAATTTGCTCAACAGTAACAAATACACCGACAAGCAGTGACCGATCTGGATGTTTGAGTTGTGATGATTATTCGTAAAGGCTACCATCTGCGGTTTCCACGGCCGCCTTGATTTCTGCCCCCACCGCCCCCTCCACCACCACCACCACCATATCCGTACCCCATCTGCTGATTCTGACCCTGTTGACCAAATCCTTGTCCACCAAAGTTCTGGTTCGAATCTCCTGCTCCTCCTGCTCCTCCTTGACCCCCCTGCATCATCTGCATGAAAGTTGCGGGATCCATTTGCGTGGGATCCATGCCTTGAGCCATCATCTGCGCCATCATCTGCTGCATTTCTGGTGGCATATCTGCGGGTCCACCCATAGGTGGCATACCAGGTGGTGCACCTCCAGGGGCTCCAGGCATACCTGGCATTGCAGATGGCATGCTGAGGAAATTTTGCATCTCCTCCATTTGTTTCTTCGAATCCGTGACCTCTTTCCGTAAGGAGCCTTGCTTCAAGCAGTAGCTCGCCCATGTGAATTCATCAAACCCGTAGTTAAAGTAGTCAATCATGTCTGTACCTGGTCGGCGCCAAGGCTTGTCGTCCTCGGGAAAATCTGAGACGATCTGGGTAAGCTTGCGACCAACAAAGGACAAGATACTGGCACGCACCGGTATCCATGTCGATATCTGTAATTGGTTTTCCATTTGGCTCGTAGATGGGTTTGGCGTCGACTTCGATATTCGAAATCTTGACTGCTGGATAGGATGAGCCGAGTCTCGTCGGAGTCTCTTTGCCTGAAGGTTCGTTCTTAATTGCTGGGGAGCGCTGAGCAGCAGGCACTGCTTCAGCAGATGGTGTCCCAGATTGCGGTTCCTTTAGTGAAGCAACACGACGAGGCTGTCTAAGGTGCAAAGTTAGCTGAGTACTTGCGCTGGCTAAGGTTTGGCCATACGCAGGCTCTGGTCTGGCTTCTGAGCCCTTTCGCTCAGTGATGATATCTATATCCTATGGCAAGACGATCAGGAATAGAGCGAGAACACTGGTGGCAGCCGCACCAACCGAGTCACTCTCGTCCTCCTCTACCTCTTCTCCCTCTTCTTCACCATCCTCTTCATCGTTCCTCCCCTCCCTTTTGACTGGTGCATTGCCGGTCCCATTGTTTGTATGCACACCCGGATCTGGCTCGGCGCTTTCAGCAGGCGCATACATGCTCTCCTCATCTTCTTCCTCCATCTTGAAAAATCACGAACGTCAAGCCAGGAACTCTGGCGATTATAGAAGTTGGGAGGCAGTGTTGAATAGTTTCGCTACACCTTCCATTCTGGTCAGGTCTTGGCAATACCGCGTTCGAGCTCGCGGCTTGTTTGTCAGTTTGTCATTCTTCAGCGGCTTGTAGCATACATTCCAGGGATGTTTGGTCGGTCTCAGAGTGGGCCCGGTGGCCTGAGTATCAACACCAGCTCAGCAAATGCGTTGCCGTGAGTGAACAATGGACAATGCTCTTGCAACATTAGCTCGCGTTGCTGAAGAAAACCACATTAACCTGCTCAACAGTGATCAATCAAGCCTACCTCCTCCATCGGGCGGCAAGCCGGCGACTTCACTCTTCGGATCCTTCAACACTTCACAGCCTCAGCAAAATGCAAGCGCTGCGCAAGCACAGACAAGTAGTCTCTTTGGAAACACCACCTCCCAGCCTGCACAGACAAGCAGTCTCTTTGGTGACACCACCTCCCAGCCTGCACAGACAAGCAGCCTCTTTGGGAACAACTCTCAGCCGGCACAGACAAGCAGCCTCTTTGGCAACACTACCTCTCAGCCGGCACAGACAAGCAGCCTCTTTGGCAACACTACCTCGCAGCCACAACAGGGTTCCAGTCTCTTTGGTGGCAACCAAAATACTCAGTCCGGCGGAGGCTTTTTTGGGTCACAGCAAGCTAATCAACAGACTACGGGTGGATTGTTTGGCTCCACCAACGCTCAACAGCCTCAGCCTCAACAGACCAATCTCTTCGGCTCAGTAGGGCAAAATCAAGCCCAGCAACCGCAAAACAGTCTATTCGGTGGAACCAGTGACCAGAACAAAACGTCCTCACTATTGTTTGTACTATCTCACATGTGTATTGCATTTTGCAAGGCGCTGGGTTCCCAAACTCTGGCTAATAATTACGTAGTGGCAATATGCCAGGCCCGGCCCAAAATCAGCAGTCTACAATGCAGCCACCCCCAGCCCGCAAGCTGTTCCCGAGCCAGATTGGTCAATACACTCAACAGCAGCAAACCGTACCAGGGGTTCGGATTCTCGATGTGAACCAGCTTCGCTCCACAACACGCTTCAATGATTTACACGAAGACCTACAAAAGGTCATCGAAAACGTGGACAATTTCATTTCAGGACAGATTCGATGTCAAGAAGAATGTGCTCAACACACCGAGGACATCAATCAAAAGTGTCATCAAATACCACCAGACGTCGAGTACTGCACGAAGGCATTAGATACGACGCAACAAGCCCTGGAAAACAACGCAGAATCCATTGCCTTTGCCAAAGGCTTGGTGAAGGTCGATGTAGCGGATGCGAAGTTGAGTTTTCAAACCATCCAGAACTTGAAGATGCCCCAACAATTTCAGCAAAGCGGCATGTGGAACACAACAGGGATATCGCAAAGTGGAGGATCGTCATTTCCAGAAGAAGATTTAGAGGTGGGCGCAAGTCGAACCCTTGTGGAATACTTCTCGAAACAAGCCGATGTAATGTCAAAGACCCTGGACGCCTACAAGCGTAGTATTGGCCAAGTTGAGGCTTACCTGAAAGATGTGGAGTCCAACGCTATGCAACAAATGCAACAGACGATGTTCAATAGAGGACAGGATGGAGTCGAAAAGAGCGCCGAGGAACAAGTCAGACAACTAGCTGCGGTCTTGAGAGACTTTGAACATGGGATAACCGGCGTCGCTAGCAGGGTTGGGGTTACTAGAGATAAAATTCAAGAAGTCGTACTGGGCCCAGATGACATGGTTGGGGAATTGAGTACGAAGAGGTATGGTATGCCTTAGGAGAGCGGGAACAGCTACGGCAGATTATATCACCAATTCAAGCAGTGTTTGCCGTACAAGGATATAGCAAAGTACTTATTTCAAACCCGCCGAGATACTTGGGACTCTGCTATGATTATCACAAGTTTGGTATAACTATTGTCCTCCATCGACCCTACAGAAATACCTCACTCTATGGTCTCCTCGAGCAACTTGTCTTCATAGTTCCTATCGGCAATGAACGGTCAGATGGGCTTTGAGCCAGGATGACAGCTTGCCTGACACATTGGCTGCCGCCATTTTCTTCAGGATTCTGTCACTGCCAGCGCTTCAATGTGAGAGGCGAAGAGGCATTTTTCGACTTCTAGGGTTTCGAAGACAGAAGATTCCACGGGTCGAGACTGAAACATCCAATCCCGCCGGCTAGATCTGATTGATCTACTTATCCCGCGATCCGGTTTGCCTTTTTTCCTAGTCTCTCGCACCGGCGGTTCCTGGATACGCGCCGACATATTCCGCTCGTTCTCGCTGGCTCGTATAGAACAGAGATCTACGCTTTCAACCATTACTTTACCAGAATTTTTTTTTCTCCTACATGGGCTAGGAATGGTCCAAGCTTAAAGCGAAGATCACCTCCAGGTACGCATGTGCTGTCCCATTGCCTTTTCATGCGTTCAATCATAAATGTGTGAGCAAGTTTTTGATCTAACAGCGCTCGGGACACTGGTGGAAATGGGTTGAGAGGATACAATCATGAACGAAATCTGATACTGATGTATTCTTCCGTAACATGAGATGCAATAATCGGAGATGCAATCGAAGATGAACCCTTCCTCCAATATTGCCGTATGGTCAGTTCTGACCTTGAAATAAACAGGCTCGGGAGTGGGGACCCCACGGTGCCCGAGAGCGTTGCGGCTACCAGTACTCAGAATGGCCAAAGCTCTAAAGCGTTGTCAGGGTCCTGCTGGTAAAAACCAGGTCGTGGCATGAAAGTCATCACGGTCCATCCCGATGGTATGAGATGATTTGATGGGCATGGGCCGTGCAGGCGGCGAGCGAATATCTTACGTTTAGATGAGAAAGCGGCTCCCACTGGGCATCGAGATGTGTTTCCTGTGGGTCAGCCTCTCGGAGAAAATCTCAGCAGGGACCACGAGCGATGTTTTTGTTAATTGTTATCATCCCATGATCCCAAAAATAAAATAAAGTGGGTCGGATAAGATGTGGGTATTGATGCGCACCAAGGATCTTTTGGCGGCAAGACTGGTTTCACTTATTGACGTTCAAGCGCGCTTATATGATTGAACCTCGGTCTATTCGCTGTCATTCAGCCGATTTCACCTCACAGGGAAGCACTGCTGTTTTCCACACACATTCAAGGATCAGTGTCGAAGCCAATCACCGTCCACAATCACAGGTACTCTCATGCCTGGGCGTTCTATGACTAGTGTGAAAATTTCTTTTCTCGACTCTGGGGGCAGCAGAAGTCAGCAGGTGTAGTCGATAGGTCGCGAACTTCGCGTGCTTGTGCATGCAATACTCGTGCGCTTCCAACGTTTGGCGGTTTTGATTGAGTGAAGGAAGACGTGAAGGGGAGTAATCCATATTAGCAATCGCTCGATCTGGTTTTACACTAATCCGTACTTGACTAAGAATGCGGACCTGCAGATGTCGGACACCAATGCGGCTGCTACTTCACGATAGCCTTTCCCTCTCGCACAAAATCAAGAACAATATCTCCCATTCGAGAAGGCTTTCACCGATGAAGTGTGAACCTACAGTCGGTGACGTGGTCCCATCAGAGATGACGGCCCGCAACGGTCTGAGGCTGAGAGCGAGAGCCGCTACCAATTTCTGCAGGTCATGCATTGCAGTCTCGAAAAGCTCGTGCATACAAGGCTTTGCGGCAGTGACTCGTTACAATTCTCCGACAGCATGTCGGGTGTCACATGTGCAGTCGTACAGACGCCTGCTGAAACGCACTATAACCTTACATCATGCTCCCAGCTGGTGGATTAAGTGACTCCCAACGCTGGCATTGTCCTCGTACCATGCATCTCGTGCAGTTTGCGCGTGGGCATCTACTGCGTTTGCGCAAGGGCAACAGATATTCTCCGTAACATCTTTAGAGTGGTTCGATGCGCATGAACCCCGCGAGCACTTTCCCTTGTTAGTCTTCGGTACGTGGAATATTCGTTCTGTTCAATGATTGACTCGAGTACATTGTTTAGCCGTTAGATTGGATGTGCTTTGACGGGAATCCCGTGGGAATCTTGTTCTCGTCCAAGCAATAGCCGAGCGTAAGAATCAGAAAGTTGTTTACGAGAAAAAATTTATATCATAAAAGATTCGACTGGTGATGTACCTGGGGACGATATCGACTTCAACCGCGATACTTGATTGTCAAGCTTCACTTCGTCTGCCTCTACAGAAAATTTTCGAAACATTATAGTCGCGATATCGCTTGTGCTATTAGCAACTCCAACGACACCAGGACCTCAAAGCTAGCTTGGAACAACAAAGCTATATTTGCAAACTGGCGGTTGCGTGTCTAGGACCTTTGTTCTTCCGGACCAACTTCAGCTGTCGTGATACACCTCATAACTTTCTTTACCAAATCACACTCGCTCGCCTCACCTTGCTTCAACATGCAATCCCTGTGCAACCCAAAGAACCATGGCCATCAGATGCTCGTGTCGTCTCCCAGATGTTCTTTGAACTGTCAAGCTTTATCAATCCACCTACCGCCACTCGGTGACAAAAGGGTCTCATCCGGTAACAATTATCTGTCTCCGCCAATGTCAGGATCCTTTGATCGATCAACGTTCGACGACCCTTCTCATCATCACCCAAACAACAATGACCGCCAATACTCTTTGACTCCTCCATCCCGCCCATCCACATCAAGGAAGTCCGACCCTCGAGCGGCTCACGCGAAGAAGAGTTTGGGAAAGGATGTACGAGTTAACTTGAGCATACCGAACAGCACTGACCGCGAGACGTCAGGCACGTCTCTGCAGCTAAGCGGCGACACTCATACAGCATTGGGGGACTCGAACGGAGAGGTCTCTTCGAATGCTCATGACTCGCCCGAGGGACAGTTGGTGGCTGGGCCCCCCGGGATCGCGCGAAGAGCAAAGGCCCACGTTCCTTCAGCGTGCGTGAATTGCAAAAAGAAGCACTTGGCGTGCGAGACAAAGCGACCTTGCAACAGGTGTGTTCAGACAGGCAAAGAGGTGAGTGGAAGCGGAGTGATGTTTCGAATTGCCTGATAAGTACTTACTTGTTTCAGGCTAGCTGTGTTGATGTGCAACACAAGAAGCGAGGCAGGCCCCGCTTGCGAGAGGAAGACAATGTCAGAGAAATGGCCTTCGGTACTGAGTATCCTCACAGTGAATTATATTCAGGTCAATCTGGTGGCCTCTCGGATCCTCACTCTGGCCGTCGCAGATCGAAAACTTATCGGGAGCTGCGCTCGCAACCCGAAACACCCTTCATCGATCAACGGCCGAGGACGTCTGATCCTACGTTCTCACAACAGCAGTACATGCAAGGAGCGACATCCTATCCTGTATCTCCACCCACCAGTCATTTCGTCAACCTGGATATTCCGACTGTGTTGCTCACGCCCGACTTCGTTGTGGCCCAGCACAATCGCGCATTCAGCAATGCATTGTCGTTGTCATTTACTGCTAGAGCACAGACTCTGCTCGATCTGGTCGTCCCTGCAGAAAGAGAGAAAATCCAGCGACTCCAGTCCATCATGCGCGCCGAGCTTCGGGAAGCGGCTCATTCGTCGCTCATGCGAGGTGGCCAAAGCTCTCACGGATCAATGCCATCAATAGAACATCTCGATATAGCTCGCGCCACCGCTGGTTTCCGCACTCGATCTGAGTACTGGACCTTCCGCCTGCCTCGAGAGCAATCAAGAGGCTTTCCCATCTCGATCTCCCTGGCCAAGGAAGGTGCTCATTTTGTCGTTCTGACCTTGGTTCAAAGCACAAGCACAATACATGCTGTCCAATCGCCTTCTCTACAACAGCTCGTGCACAGTCCACCGATGCTGCAGTCTACGGTCCGTGGCTATCAGTCCCCCCCTCAGCAGATCCTCCCTCATCACTCCACCCACCGAAGCCACCACCGCAACAGCCCCTCCGACGCCGGCATTCCTTACATCCTCTCCTCCCCCACCACATCTCTAGACGAACAAATGCTTCAGCTGCAACCATCACACAGCCTCGCGCAATACAAGCACGGCTCACCGCCGCGACCCGTCGTGTACAGCACCGCACGTACAACCTCGGGCTCAAGCGCAAGCTCAGACGTACCGCGAAGTTCCCCCGGCCAATCGCTGCGTCAAGACAGCCTCCGCCATCTGCAACTGCCGCCTATCCGGACTGCTCCGACCAGCGATCCATCGGGAGGGAGAGATTCGATGAGGAGGCGGAAAGGGTCCGAGTCAACCCCAAGTCCTGGGCGAAGCAGTCCGCAGAGCGCCCATAGCGGGAAGAGGAAGAAGAGGAGGAGGGTGGATATTGGGGAGATGTTGCATTGAGATAAGAGCGTCGCCGCTGTTTACGGCAGGCGACAATGTCACTGGAATGACAAAGACCTTCCCTGCTTCTCGAAAATCGTGACCGAGGAGTGTCGGACTATCCTGGCCCTGACCTGCGTGGGTTCGAGTCGTCCGCAAGCTTAGGCTAGGATTGTAGGGGGGGCCTGTACAGGTAGTGGTCGTTTTGTCAGGATCAGAGGTGGTGGATGCTGGCGCTAGCTCTGGGAGTCTGGCTCTTCGGGAACAAAGACTGTCCTTTCAATAATAGTGGGAGGAGATGAGTGAAAGGGTTGCTTGAGAGTACGCATGGGTACTTAATATACTAAACATAGACGGGAGAAAAGCAATGGGATACGGTTCAACCAAACTTCGGCTCTCATGTCGTTCAGCTCATATTCATCTATGCAATTATATCACAATGCCCAAAAAGCATCATTCGTCTATGCACAGTCGCTCCCTACCCTAACCCCTCCCTCCCCAACCTTTCCTCCTCATCCGCCTCCAGCTCGTAAGCAGGCCGATACCACACCCTCCCCTCTTCCACCACCCTCAACTTCGGATTCGGCCTCGTATCATTCGTGCCCCCCAGACTCGTATACCCTTCATCGTACAGCCCGCAATACTCCACCCCCAGATGCCGCAAAAACGCCCACACCTCCGCATACCGCCATTCCAGCACCGGGTGCACCCTCATGAACCCCGGCCAGCCGTGGTCCGTCGGGTCGAACGCGGAGAGCTTCGCACCGTGCGGATCGGTGCGCCGCGTGCCGACCATGATTGCGCGGATCGACCGGCCGGTGCCGGAGAGGTAGTCGGCGAACGCGGCTTTCATGGAGGGCGATGTGTATTGGGACAGGGAGAGGTGGTACTTGGTCGAGGAGGTGGCGATGAAGGCGTCGACGGAGGGGAAGGGGTGCGGCGGGGGGATCAGGATCGAGGGGAGCGCGGCGGGGAGGGAGGGGTGGGTTGAGAGGAGGGAGAGGTAGAGGACGAGGAGGACGAGGCAGTCTTTGCCGCCGTTGTAGGAGAGGGAGAGTGTTTCGAGGCTGAACACACACACACACTTGGGTTAGCTACTTGTGATGGAGGGGCGGAAACGTGAAGGGTGCCTATCTGTGATTCGGAGCGGGGGCAGACTCACGGGTACTTTTCTAGAGCTTCGGATATGATGGAGAGGGAGTGCCGGCATTGTGCTTGCACGTTTCGCAGCCTTTCCGTCGGGACGTCTTCCTGAAGGAACGCGGTGATGCGGGCGTGGAGGTCGGCGCAGAGGGTGCGGAGAGGGGTGGTGTCGCCATTGCTGGGTGAAAGTGCTTGGATTGGGGCATCGACGGAGGGTGAGATGCCAGTCTCTGTCATTTCGAGACTGGTAATGAGCAAGCCCAATCCATCAAGCAAGGGATTTGTGCATCTATATTGCACGGGGAACGGGGAACGGGGAACGGAGCGGTCAGTCGGTCAGTCGCGGCAGTGATTCCCCCAGCGGAATAATCTTAGGGCTAGGGCTAGAGTGCGCGTGTTTAACATTACCTAGATGTGGTCTTATCAGGGCAAGTTTGTCTCTTAGATGGCATTTGCGGACGATATACTTAGCTACAAGGCGACGTATATAGGTCAGAGAACTCTTCATTTATGCCGGAACTTCAAGGTTCCTTGCATGGATATGCTCTGTTCGCCATCCCTTATCAACGAAGCAAGCCAGATGCCATAGCTTCTAGATCCTCCAAAGTCTCAGGCTCTTGTATATCATCTTCGCCCTTTCTTCTCCGCTGAGATGTCCTCTCACCATCTGAATCGTCCTCGAACCATTTCCTCGGTCTCTTCTTGACCGGGTCCGCACTCACGCCGACCTCAGATTCGTCTCTATCGTCCAAAGCATCCAGGTCTTCCCCAATATCTCCCTCAAACGGCGCAAGAACAGCTTGTCTCCCCCCTGCATCGTCGTCATCAGCAGCTTCTTCAACCTCCCTAGCCTTCCTTTTCTCCCTCTTCTCCTTCCTCTTAGCTTTCGCAGCCTGCTTGTCTGCCAGGTCCGCCGCCTGCAACCTCGCCTGTTCCCCTTCCAGAAACTTAGCTTTCTGTACATCAACTGCTCCTCGCTGCTTGAATTGATCTTCGTTCTCCAACTCGTAGATTTGGTGGGGATTGCCTTCTTCGTCGAAGACGAGTTTCTGACCCTTTTCTTTGAGCTTAAGGAGCTTCTTTTTGGATTTGAGAAGTTTCTCTTTGCGTTTGGATTCGACATTTATGGGCGTCTTCCCTACCATTTTGCGAGAGTCAAGTTTTGGTAGCAGCAATTTCCCCTCTGCTTCGCTGTCAACGCTTGAAGCGTCACTCAGGCGCCGTTTGACGGTTAAAAAATCCTGGCCTTCGTCTGCGTTGTTAACATCGCTACTTTGACCCTGATCATCATTCACAAGCTTGCTGTAATGATCAGTAAGAATGTCCTGATTGGTTCGCTCAAACATTCGGTCGTATTTGGTTCTTGTAATTGTCTTCTTGGCGGTTGACCCACTACCAGAAGCCGCGGCCCCGTCGCCCTCGTCTTCTGAAGAAGATACAGCTTGTCTGGGCGCGTTCTTCAAATTTTTGGCATTGTCGCCTTTGAGGAACTTTATCTTTGGAGCTCCTGGAAGACCCAGACTCGCCGAAAACTCTTCCAATGGTAGCTCATTTAGCTTAAAGACTTCCTTATCCTTCTGTATGTGTATAGATCTGACATATGACACGAAAGCTTTCTGCCCTACATATTTCAATTCTGGGTCTTTAAAGCACATGTTCTGCAACTGATTCTTGATAGATTGTTGCTTCTTTTGACGGACGTTGATCTTCTCGACCGTGACCTTCTTCTGCTCCAGGCGTTTGATCATCCCTTCTTCCTCACTTGGTTCGAGGAAAAGGACCGCTCTACCATCTCGCTCGTAGCGCGCTGTCCTACCCACGCGATGTATGTAAGTATCCGCGTCCTCCGGACAGTCGAGCTGAATGACCCAGTCCACAGCTGGGAAATCCAGCCCACGTGCAACTACATCTGTTGCAAAAAGGCATGAGTTCTTTGAAGCAGAGAACTTATTTGTGATATCTAGTCTTGCCGTCTGCTTTTGTCTCCCATGAAGGTGAAGCAGAGGGATACCGGGCTGCATATGTCGAAAAGCCTCGTACACAAAGCGGACCTGCTTGCCTGAAGACAAAAAGACCAGAATCTTGGACTTGAGATTGGATCGGATGAAGCTCCAAAGGGTATCTAACTTCTCGGGGAGCGGGGTCACAACATAGTTCTGCTGCAAGGTTGATGGCGTTGCGCTGGTAGCGGCCTCGTGCACAGACACGTACTCGGGATCTCTTAAGCTTAATCTTGCCAGATCGGACACTTTCTTCGTTTGTGTAGCACTGAAGAGCAGAGTCTGCCTCTCTCTTGGTAGGTGTTCTACAATCGCATCCACGTCCTTTTGAAAGCCCATGTCCATGATCCTGTCAGCCTCATCCAGGACAAGCATCTGTAGGTTGTCGATTTCAAAAGCGGCCGTCTGGTCCATGTGCTGTAACATCCTCCCAGGCGTACAGACTAGTATATTCATCCGTCCCAACCTTTCTCGCTCCTCTTGTAGACTCTTGCCTCCAATAACAAGGCCGGCGGAGAAGTTGTGGTAGCGTCCAATCTTTCGTAGGACCTCGAAGATCTGGATCGCCAATTCCCTTGTTGGCGACAGTACCAGAGCCCCTAGACCGTCCAGCTCTGTCCATTTTTTGCGATAGAGGTTCTCGAGAACCGGGACTAGGAACGCAAGGGTTTTCCCACTGCCTGTTTTTGCTGCTCCCAGGATGTCGGAGCCTTTGAGTGCATGGGGCACAGCTTGCTTTTGTATATCCGTAAGAGCCTTGAAGTGAGAGGCTTCAAGCCCAGAGGCTGTTGGTTGCGAGAGTGGTAGACTTGCAAACGTGCCGTAGTCATTATCCTTGACGTTGATGTCCCGCACTCGTTGGTTGAGGGCGTCTAGACCCTCCTCATCGCGCTTTCTTTTCAGAGTATGGGCTTCAGACTTTGGCTTTGAAATCAGCTTTGAGCCTCTTTTCGGCCCAGCTGCTAGGACTGCCATGGCCAGTATTCTGGCTAACGTTCGAAAAAAGAGTGGGCCGGGAATAACTTCATTTTTGAGATGGCGCTAAGATAAGATAACGAAAAGATACTCCCGATACTATACTCTCTACAGAGTTATCTCGTTTCCCTGACCATTGCTCCAACTCATCCTATCCAGCCATGGCAATCAAGGAAGAGCTAAAGGAAGAAGTGGAGGAGGAAGGAGGAGGCAAAGATGAGCTCGAAGCCCTTGACGCTCTCGAAAAGGAAGCAGCCGAATACAACAAAGTATGTCCTCAAAGCCAGCTGCTCGTTACATTCCCTTATTGACCCTTATCTAGGATGCAGAAATCGACCGTATACTTAAAGCCTTCAAGCTAGATGCGTAAGCTTCTCTCATACGCGCCTGCCCGGCTATGTCTCGCTGATTCCTGGCTACAGCTATGCAGTGCTCGACTTACAACCCGGTGTCCCTGAATCCGAGATCAAGCTATGCTACAGAAAGAAATCCCTCCTCATACATCCCGACAAAACGTCCAACCCTCGCGCCCCCGACGCTTTTGACCGCCTAAAGAAAGCCCAAACCGAACTCATGGACGAAAAGCAACGCACCACGCTCGACGAATGCATTGCCGACGCCCGCATGCTGCTCATGCGGGAGCGTAAACTGACTGTCGACAGCGAGGAGGTAAAGAATCCGGACAAGGATTTTAGGGAGGCCTGGCGACGGAAGACGGTGGAGGTGCTGATTGACAACGAGCAGAGACGGCGGAAACAGATCAAGGCGCAGATGCAGGAGGAGGGGAGGGAGCAGAGAAAGGTAGATGAGGAGGTGGAGACTAGGAAGAGGCGGAGGGACCATGAGGTGCAGTGGGAGCAGACGAGGGAGGGGAGGATTGGGAGCTGGAGGGATTTTCAGCAGAAGGCTAAGGAGGAGCCGGGGAAGAAGAAAAAGAAGATGAAGGTGCTTGGCTGAGTGATCGTGTCGGCATATGCAAAGCGTGGAGTTTGGGAAGGGTCTACCACGGCGTGATTTATCAGGCTTAGATTTCAGTTGCTATACTATGCTAGCCACGATTAAGGGTATTCCCACTACCCTTGGGATTCGACTCAGTGAACTCATCCCACTCTCTCGCCTTCATAGTTTCCATGTCCGCCTTGTCCAGATTGTCTTCATCAGGCTCTGCAGGCCTGCCCGATTGCTCTCCCCCACCTTCAATTATACCTCCTCTTCTCTTTTCCTCCGCCAGGTATTCATCTATGGTCATCGTGGGCAGGCTATGGTCCGGTCTAAAGACGCCGTCTCGTAACGTCTGCCGACTGTCCAGAAGGGTGAAAGGTTTGAGAGGTTTCCCATCTTTGCTGAGTATGGGCCCTGCCTTCCCTTTCTTCGTGAGTAGCGAAAGCGATGGATCTAGGCGGTCAGAATAGTCGTCTCCACGTCGACCGTTGCGTTCTCGATAGTCAGCAGCTCGATCTTCAGGTCCAGGAGGTGGAGTCGTAGGCATGAGTGCAAGGATCTTGAGCTCTTGCCCGATAACGTCGAGTGAGTGGAAGGTGTGGTGGACGCATAGTTGAATCTCGGCAAGGACGATCTCCCTGAGTGCAGCATCGTCTCCTTGAAGCTCCATCGGGACCTTGCTGAGGAACTGTTATGTGCATTAGGACAGAAGACTTTGGGCAGGATTTGAAAGGCGCGGACTTCAAGCTTGAGCTTTAATTCATTCTCTTGCTTGTACCTTGCTATTTTTGTATCTCTGCGCGCTGCAGGGTCTGTTGTCGATATCAGAGAGAAATCGTCTCTACCCTCGAGGTATCTTTCGTAAAGCTTCCTATCCCTAGCATTGAGCATGCTGTAGGTGTCCAAGAGGCAGAGATAGCGTTCGTATATTTCCTGTGCTCGCTGTAGGATCATCTGCCTGTCTGAAGTATTGTCTTTGAGTATCAAGTCTGCTAAGTAGTAGTCGACGAGGAGGTACCTGGGGACTGTCAGCCATGCTGGTCAAGCCCAGCTTGGACGTGGCAGCTACTGTAGGTCCCCAGATGAGATGTCATCTTCAGTCTCATTCGGACTGAATAGCGATATGCTATCTACAATCTTCCTACATTCCTCGAGACTTGTGATAGCTGCTTGCAGATTTTCATGGTAGACGGGGCTCGTGGGGTCTGGGGAGGATTCCAGCTCTTTTCGCTGGTTTTTGGCGGAAGTGAACAGAGTGCGGATGTTTGTGTCTGTATCCATTTTGTTCGGTATAAGCGGGACGTTTGGGGTTACCTTAGGTGGAGAAGCTTGTTTAATGTTTACATTGAAGGAGAGAGACTGGGCGCTTCCATCAAAGGGCCGCGCCGCTAGGAGCACCTTCTTTGCAACTCAACTGCTTCATTCTACAAATAGCAGTGATGGTCACATAGCTTCACTCTCCAAAAACATAGAACGATCTGCTGTTTTTTTCATAACAACGTGATTCGCCTTTTCACTTCCCTTCCCTCTTCATATTCGTAGTCTTCATAGCGTGACCTCCTGGACTCCCTTTCCAAAATTTCCCGTGCTTTTGCACGTTGTCAAAAGCACCACTCTGACTACAGTCACCCTCGCTGGTTTGTTTGGTTTGACACACTCTCTTTGCACGAACTCAATTCGCTGCCGTGAACCAATGACTGTCACTCCCGCAGGTGTTCGGGTACCTGCTCATCATCACATGCGTTGTTAACACTACTGTAATTGAAATTCCTCTCGCCTAAAGGATCTCTTGGATATCGCTTCGCTTTAGCAACCTTCCGCAACCATGACGCCAACTTCTGCTCCCTCAATGGCCAAGTTTACTCTCGAAGACCTCAAAGGTCTTGGGCCAGCAGAGAAGTTGCCGGCCATCCAGCATACCACAGAAGGCTCATCTACAACTTCCCGGAAACGAAATGCCGCTCAGCGATCGATCTTTCAAGGCTACAAGGGAGCAACTATGCCAAATGACCCTAAGTCAAAGACCGATGTGTTAGGAGTGATGAACGAATCAGAACAGGAGCCCAGTCCCAGCGCCTCGGATTCGGAAGACGAGCAGAATGCGACCCCAAGGACGCTCACATTATCGGAGAGACGCAAGGCTCAGAATAGTAAATTCTCGGCATGGTAAGCTGTCTCCAGGGAAGAGATGTCTACTAATGTTGATGCTCATCGTCAAACAGGCTATCAAAGCGCGCCGCCAAGATCACGAATGAGGAGGTGCAAGCAGTTGTCGAAAATGCTAACGAGGAGAACCTTTCGATCCGTAGCCTAATGGCAAAACAAGAGTCTAACGTAATTATCACTGATCCGAGGGAGTATCAATTAGAGCTATTTGAGAAAGCAAAGGGGCAGAACATTATAGCTGTACTTGACACTGGTCAGTACGGTGTATAACCATTTGATATCTCTCCAGCTAATACGGTCACAGGCTCCGGCAAGACTCTTATAGCTGTCCTCCTCTTGAAGCACATGATCGACAAGGAGCTCGAGGATCGAGCAATGGGCAAGAAGCGACGCATTTCGTTCTTTCTTGTAAGCTTCTCTCCATGGTGGCTGATTCCTCGGATAACAATCCCCCCCCCAGGTGGATTGTGTGACACTTGTTTTCCAGCAATTCGCAGTGCTCGAATGCAACCTAGATCAAAAGATTGAACGTTTTTGTGGAGAAATGGGCTGCGACCTCTGGGTGAAAGAAACCTGGGCGAAACACTTTGCCGAGAACGAGGTCATTGTGTGCACGGCAGAGATACTCAACCAATGCCTGATGCACTCCTTTATATCGATCGATGATATCAATCTTCTTATCTTTGACGAAGCACACCACACTAAGAAAAATCATGCCTACGCTAGGTCGGTCTCTTCCAAACTCCTAGGCCTTGGTTTCAAGTCTAATATCTGACAGAATTATCAAAGACTACTATGTTACCCAAGATGACCCAGCGAGGCGGCCAAAAGTATTCGGTATGACTGCATCTCCGGTTGACGCGAGAGAAGACGTGGTCAAGGCTGCGAAGTAAGCGAATTGCCCATTATGTTTCCTCCGTATGTATGTCTTAACGGTGCTCAGAGAACTCGAAGCAATGTTACACAGCCAAATAGCGACGACCTCCGATCTTTCTCTTCTGCGAATGTCAATAAGTCGTCCCAACGAAAGCCTCGCAGTGTACGAGCGATTGGGCTACGCCTACGACACACCACTTTCATCGTCGCTGAAGGCGAAATTCGGTGACTTCGAAGCCTTGGCCAAATTCTTCAGAAATGCCCGAGAAGCTACTTCGCAGCTTGGCGAATGGTGCGCGGATCTTCTATGGCGTTTCGTTCTGGATGAGGAACAAGCGCTTAAAGTTGAGCGGAAGATAGAACGGAAATTCAATCGAGACGCAAGAAATCGTCCCGTGGCAATGCTAGATTCTGAGCTGGCCCGGTTGAAAGAGGCCAAGGAGATGGTCAAGAATTGGACGTTCGCTGATCCCGACGTCTCAGGCAGCAGCCTGAGTTCAAAAGTCTTGCTCTTGTACCAGTACTTGAGCTTGATCTTCGAGAAGCCGTCCGACGCCAAATGCATTATTTTTGTCAAGCATCGATATACTGCAAGGCTTCTTGCACAGCTTTTCAGCCGCATCGGAACAGCCAACCTCCGCTTGGACTTATTGATTGGCAGTCGGTCTGGCGATGTCGGCGACATCAGCTTTAGTTTCAGGCAGCAAGTTCTGACTCTGATGAAGTTCAGAAAAGGACAGATCAATTGCCTTGTACGATGGCCCGCTTCTCTTGAGAGCTGTGTTGCTGACGAAAGCAGGTTGCGACGTCCATAGCAGAGGAAGGACTTGACATTCCAGATTGCAACCTGGTTATCAGGTTAGCAATGTCAATTGACGATGTCGGAAGATTTGAGCTAAAGTGGCCTCAAAATAGGTTCGATCTTTATGACACCCTGATACAATACATTCAGAGCCGAGGACGAGCCCGTCATGCGAACTCGAGGGTATGAATCTGCATTCCTTGAAGTGTAACCGTACTAATCAGTAACATTATCCAGTACATACACATGATAGAGGAAGACAACAGACTGCATCTTCAAGCGGTAGCTGATGTTCGCAAAGGCGAAGTATTTTGACCGCGTGATTGAACCAAGAGCAATGGCTAATACTAAACAGGCGGTGATGCGAAATTTTTGCGAAGCGCTTCCAGCAGACCGCTTGTTACAGGGCAATGACTACAAGCTAGAGGCAGCACTGGTGAAAGAGAAGTCCTACAGGAAGTACGTCGACCCTGAAACGGGAGCCACTTTGACCTATGCGTCTAGCCTGGTCGTCCTCGCCCACTTTGTGGGATGCCTCGTGAGTGCTCGAGATCCTATTACGCGGCTATATCTAACACACATAATGTACAGCCGCACCGTGACGAGGACTACACCCATAAGGCTACGTATTGCATGTCTGTTGAAAACAAAAATTTCGTGTGTGAAGTGATATTGCCCGAAAGCTCGCCTATCCACAGTGCTACGGGCAGACCTTCGTCGAGGAAAGCCATTGCAAGAAGATCGGCCGCCTTCGAAGCATGTCTCCTCCTTCGACAAGGCAGTCACTTGGACAAGAATTTGATACCAACGTATCATAAGAGTTTGCCGCACATGAGGAATGCTCATCTCGCCCTGAACATGAAAAAGGCTCACTCTTACAACATGAAGATGAAGCCAGGTCTATGGGAGAGGACCCGGGGCTCTCTCCCAAGCGAGGTTTTCCTAACAATTCTCTCTCTGAAAAACCCAGAGAATCTTGGAAGACCTTGCCAGCCTCTTGCCCTACTGACGAGGACACGACTGCCAAACATTCCGCCATTTCCTCTCCACCTTCAGGTTGGGAAGGTATCACAGCTTCTATGTACGTCCATCTCGACGAGCTTGGATGTTAGTAGTACGGTATTGACGGAATTGAACGAATTTACTCTTCGTATCTATTATGACATCTTTAACAAGAAGTTCGAGGCAAATGAGCCTCAGATGTCGTATTGGCTAGCTCCGATAGTCGACTCTTGGACAACCTCTCGTGAATGTGATCCGCCGAATAGTTTGATCGATTGGGCTGTGCTTGCGCGTGTTTCCCAGTGTTCCGACACGCCCTGGACCGTCGACACGCCGCACGTTGAAATCATTGACCGCTATCTGATAGACAGGTGGACCGGGGGAAACCGCTTCTATTCTCTCGAGATCAAGCCAGATCTGAAGCCCTGCGATCCCGTGCCCGAAGGTACTGCTAAGGCTAAAGACATGGACTCGATAATTAACTATACCACGACTCATCTCTATAAGAATTCCAAGCAGAAAATGAAATGGGAGGATGATCAGCCCGTCATCCTCGCCCACAAGATCCTTCATCGACTGAACCTGCTCGACGAAATTACGGAAAAGGAGAAGGGTGTGAATACGACTGCCTACCTTTGTCCGCAACCTCTCAAGTTTTCCGCCGTAAGTTGATGGCTTCCTCCGCTTGATACCAAGATGCTAATGTAATTTCAGTTGCCTACCACCGTTGTTGCAATGGCTTATTTGTTTCCGCCATGTATCAGTCGTATCGAGTCGTACCTAATAGCAGTGGAAGTATGCGACCTCTTAGGCTTGGCTATTCAGCCAGCGCTAGCTCTTGAGGCTCTGACCAAAGATTCCGACAATACCGACGAACACAGGAGCGAACAGATCCATTTGCAGAGGGGCATGGGTAAGAACTACGAAAGACTTGAATTCATCGGAGATTGCTTCTTGAAGATGGCGACTTCGATCTCAGTGTTCTGCAAGAGCCCAGAAGAAAATGAGTACGATTATCATGTGAAACGCATGCTTATGATCTGCAACAAGAACCTGTTCCACACGGCGACGTTTCTCAAACTCCAAGAATTCATTCGCAGCACGAGTTTCTCAAGGTGAGCAAGTCGTACCTTCTCTCAGTTTTGCGTGCTAAGACGCCCAGGCGCACATGGTATCCCCAGGGCATCAAACTCCTGGAAGGTAAGGGTTCCAAAAAAAGTGGCGAAGTAACATCACAACATTCTCTTGGGGACAAGACGATCGCGGATGTTTGCGAAGCCTTGATTGGTGCAGCCCTACTCTCGCACGATAGTATGGATATGGCGGTCAAAGCCGTGACGGCCTTCGTCTCCAATCCCAATCACGACGTTACTCAATGGGATGATTATTATCGTCTTTACTCTTTGCCACGTTACCAGACAGCTCACCCTACGGCATCGCAACTCAATCTAGCAATGCAAGTGGAGCGAGTGCATCAATACCGCTTCAAATATCCGAGACTGCTACGATCGGCTTTCATACACCCTTCGTATCCTTTCGCAGAAGAGAGGATCCCCTGCTATCAACGACTCGAATTCCTGGGTGATGCGCTACTCGATATGGCATCCATAAGCTTCCTTTTTCATCGCTATCCTGACAGAGACCCGCAGTGGCTGACGGAGCACAAGGTTGGCTATCCCAAATCGCCTGCATGGTGCAAGTTTCACTGAAAACCCTCAGATGGCCATGGTATCCAACAAATTTCTTGCCGCTGTCTCCGTCAAACTAGGCTTTCACAGGCATCTTCGTTCAAATGGCGCAGTTATCGAGAGCCAGAATCGTGAATACGTGCAAGATCTTGAGGAGGTGGAGAAAGACGCCAATGGGGCGCGGGACTATTGGACTTTGACAAAAACAGCTCCAAAGGTATCCAAACTCGCCTTGTTGGCCCGCGTTCGGTCGCTAATCTTAGTCTTTAGGCTCTCTCTGATATCGTGGAGTCTTACATCGGCGCCCTCTTTGTTGATTCGGAGTTCAACTACGGAGAAGTTGAACGCTTCTTCAACGAGCACATCAAATGGTTTTTTGAAGACATGAAAGTCTATGATACCTACGCTAACAATCATCCTACGGTCAGCCTTGTCCCTCTCTTTTCATCAATGTGTCAATCTCTGGCCCGATTCCCTTGCTGACCTCCGTCGTTCAGACCTACCTCCATAACCTCCTCTCTCTCTCCTTCGGCTGCACCAACTACCGTATCATGGCCAGCGAGGTCCCAGCCATCATCCCGGGTGGTCTTCCAACTGCCATAGCAGCCATCATGATCCACGACGAGGTTGTGGCAGAAGGTACCGCTAGCTCTGGAAAGAACGCGAAGGTCAAAGCTAGTAGTCAGGCCCTCAAACTGCTGCAGAATTTGGCACCATTTGAGTATCGGCACTCTTACGGATGTAATTGCGAGGGTAAGGAGCAAGATTGGGTCGGCAAGGCCGGTGACGGCGTGGGTATGGCGGGGCAACTGAAGAGGGGGCAATGGGATGAGAAGGAGGAGGATTCGCTGCGAGCTAAGATTGCTAAAGGTGTGGAGATTGCTAAAGGAAAGGAGGTGCGTTGAGAGTGAGGACTTTACAGGCTGAGAAGTACTGGATTTCGAAAGGACAAGCAGGACATTGGATGCTTTACGAACGACCTTTATGACTATATGACCAGAAACGAAATTAGTTTCGTGCACGCGCAGTAGGAGTTGAACGCATGCATCTCGCATACAATCATGAGGAATCCTTGGTACTCTACACGGTACTGCAGATATTGCAATCGCGATGAGTTACCTAGCAAGATAGTAAAGGACTCATTTATGGTAAATTACCTCTCATGGTAATTGAATTTTATTGTGTTATGTATTACTTCGTGGTCTCATTCGCTCTCTAATGCTTTGCCTTCGCATATCTACATTCTCATATCGCTCGCTAATGTACTGTCGCAGTTCTAATATGTATTAAGGAGACACATGGAAGAAATTTTGGTATCCAATCGCCTGCTTTTTATGCCAACTTCTCAATAAAGGTATCGTCTCCTTTGCCGCACAAATATGGAGTCATTACTTCCTCATGGAGCCATGACCAACGCAAGCAATGCCATTCGGCAGTAGAGTCCGTATCGCATCTAATTCTCGAGTTAGCATCCCTGACCATCGAAGTTCAGACAGCCCGGTGGGTAGTAGTATAGCATACCTGTCTAAAATACGCCGCCCTCTGGTCGAAATCGACCTCCTCGCCCACTTCCTCGTTCCTCGGCAACGGATGCATGATCACCATGTGGGGCTTTGCGTGCTTCAACACGTTGTTATCAATGACCAAGCCTCCTTTTAGTCTCTCGTATTCGCCAAGATCCTCGAAACGCTCTTTCTGCAAGCGCGTACAGTAGATGACGTCCGATCTCGTAATTACTTCGCGAGTCAATGCGGAGCCTTGATGCACTAGCTTGCCGGCACCGATGAGGGATTGCCGAACGTCGGCAGGAAGGGCGAGGGAGGGAGGAGAGATGAGTTGAATGTGCACATCGTAGTGTTGGAGGAGTTTGACAAGGGAGTGGACTGTGCGACCGTAGCGGAGGTCGCCAACGAAGGTTACGTAAAGGCTATTCACCGTTCCCAACTCTTCTCGTATTGTGAAAAGATCCAAGAAGGCTTGAGTGGGGTGTTCCAGGCTACCGTTGCCTCCGTTTATGATGGGAACAGTGCTGAATTTGGCGGCAATAGCAGCGCTCGCTTCATCAGGATGCCGCAGTACGATGGCATCCCCGTAGCAGCCTAGAGTACGGATGGTGTCTTGGAGCGTTTCACCTTTCCGCGTTGAAGAATGGGACGTAGCGATTGCGACTGTACCGCCGCCGAGGCGTTGCATTGCTGCGTCAAAAGAGGCGGACGTGCGAGTAGAGGGTTCGTAGAAGAGGGTGCAGAGAAGGCGACCTTTGAGGATGTCGAGGATGCCTTGGCGCACGACACCGAGGTACATCTCCTGGGCGACTGTAAAGAGGAGGTGCAAGTCTTGGCGGTTGAATTGGTCCACGGAGAGGATGTGGCGTTGTTTAAAGGGCGAGCGGGAGAGCAGGTCTTGGACATTGTGGGTAATCGGAGGCAACGACATGGGTAGAGAGGAGGAGCTGAAGTCTGAAGCCATGGTCGATGGACTGGGAGATTGCGTTTGGGCATCTTTAGGAGACTGTGTGGTGCTCATTCCATCCTGCTGGCGTAGCCGGCTGATAGGACGTGCCGGCAATGCGGTTCCTGAAAGCACGGATGGTCTTCGATCATGCACAGATTCTCGACGGTCGTGTGAGCTGATTGGACGAAGGGCTGGGGAATGCATTGGCTTCACCACGGGTGATTGATAAGACAGAGAATGCCCAGACATGTCTCTCCCAAAGCTCGCATCTTGCATTACTTCCCCATCAAGGCAGGTAGTCGTGTCTTGGAAGATGACTCGTTGAACGGAACCTCGCATGGCCTTTCCAACGAATGGCGACCATACAGCAGAAGCTTGTAGCACATATGGTCGGTCGACCTCAATCTCGATTGATGTTCCAGGCTGATCATGGAGCTCAAAGATCTTCTTGGGGTTTCCATGCAACCTAGCAATCACATCATCCATTGTCAGTCGACTTTCGGAGACGGCGGTGAGCAATAGAGGGAGAGTGTCAGCAATTCCCACTGCGGGCGTAGCTGCTTCATTGGCGGCAATCGCAATCCGGTAAGGAAGACTTCCAATTGAAAAGCAGTCTATTGTTCCCATGTGATACCACAACGCTTTTTGGTCGGCGGCAGTAGGCAGGGTGGAGCATTCTGGAACGTCTTCCTGCGAAAGGAACAAGGAATAAACTGAGACGTCGCATGTCACTTTCAGTCCTCTCGATTTACTCAAGGCAATGAGCTGGATATCTTCCTCCGTGGTGACGCAAGTGACGTGTAATTTCCGATTGTGCAAGCTTGCCAGTAGGAGCGCCGAATACAAGTCATTAGTTTTAGCATCAGTGACAATGGTCTTATCGTTCGGCCAGGTAGCAAAATGAGAAGCCACTGCTGCGACTTTGCTGATGCTACTCGACAGATGGTCGAAGGTGATGAAGAGGGAGCCAATATCGTCAACGACTTGACTTATCTGCTCGGAATTTGATGACGTCGCTGCGACAGAGAAGTTGTAGTCACAGAAAGCACCATGTCGGCTTCCTTGTTGTGCTAGCTTCAATGAGCGGGCGTCTGTCACTGAGCTCTCAAGTCCCAAGGGCATGACTCGGATCATACTAAATCCTGCTGCAGCGGAGGCTTTAGTGACTGTGGAAAAATCCCGGTTACCACTGATAGCCACACCGGGGACAAAAGCTGACACGTTGATCAGGCCTGGCAAAACCATCGTTCGGTGACCGGTCTGATAATCAATGCTTCGAATCTCAAAGTCGTATTGCCTAGCGATTGCTTCGATGAGAATTTTAGCATTTTTGACGTTTGTAACCAATGGTATCTGATAGTCCACTGCCAATCTTCTGCTTCTATAACCGCGACTCATGTAATTGGCAGGTCGACGGAAATTGTTGCTGGATGGTAAGTTGATGTACAGATCGATGAGATTGTTCGCAAGATGCTGCGGTATTGAATACTCTGAATTTTGTTGTTCAGACTCACTGGAGAGTATTTCAAGAACTTTTACCGGTAGGCCGTGTTCTTGAAGGTAGTCCGCAGTTCCAGTAGTCGCGAAAAGGTTGTAACCTAGCTTGTGCAATTTTATAATGGATGGTAGCAATTCCATCTTCTCTTTCAAGGCCCCAAGCGACAGTAGTATGTTATTCTTCGGAAGTTTGAAGCCAGTCGAGATGAGAGCTTTGATGTACGCTTCATACTTGTCTCGGCCGAAGCAGGCCACCTCCCCCGTGGATGCCATCTCCACTCCCAGAACAGGGTCTGCTCCGGAGAGCCTGGAGAATGAAAATTGAGGTACCTTGACGCCAACATAGTCTTGGGGTATTTCGGTAGGTGGGTACGCCACAAGAGGAACTCCCATGATAGCCTTAGTAGCCATTTCGATCAGGTCTACACCCATGACTTTAGACACGAAAGGGAAGGATCTTGAAGCTCGAACATTGCACTCAATGACCTTGATCTCGTTGTCTTTGGCAATGAATTGTATATTGAAGGGTCCAGTCACATTCAGCGCATCGCCGATCTTTCTTGTCGCATCTACTATCCGTCTGACAGTCTCTGGATCAAGATCTTGGGGAGGCAGTATTAGGGTAGCATCTCCAGAGTGGACACCAGCATTTTCAACGTGCTCAGAAATGAAATGACCGACCATAATACCATCCCGCGCGACTGCGTCCATCTCTATCTCTTTCGCATTCTCGATGTACTTGGTAATCACGACCGGATGCTCTTTGGACACTTCAGCTGCTTGATCCAGATAGCTTGCGAGGTCGTGCTGCGAGTAGACTGTGTTCATTGCTGCCCCGGAGAGGACGTATGACGGCCTTACTAGCACAGGGTAATTGACTTTGTTGCAGAATTCCCTTGCTTCTTCGATGCTCGTTAGCTCCTTCCACGCTGGTTGATCCACGTATATTCGATCCAGCATACGAGAGAACTTGTATCGATTTTCGGCCATGTCAATCATATCGGGTGATGTACCAAGAACTTTGACATTTCGGCGATACATATCTAAAGCGATGTTGTTTGGTGTCTGGCCTCCCAATGAGATGATGACCCCACTGGAGGATTCCAATTGGTAGATATCAAGGACAGTCTCAAGATTGATGGTCTCAAAGTAGAGCTTGTCTGCCTCGTCATAGTCTGTGCTGACCGTCTCCGGGTTGTAGTTCACCATCACAGTCTTGAAGCCTTGATCTCTAAGAGTGCGAATGCCTCTTACAGAACACCAGTCGAACTCTACTGACGAACCAATGCGGTAGACTCCTGATCCGAGTACCATTACACCATGGTCTTCAAAGCTCACATCGTGCTCCGAGCCGTTATAAGTCAGGTATAGGTAGTTCGTGAAGGCAGGAAACTCGGCTGCTACAGTATCGATCTGTTTCACGAATGGTGTGATCCCAGCATCGACTCGAAATTGACGCACCGCTCCCTCGGTGGAGCTCCAGAATTTTGCGAGCTGTCGATCTGAAAAGCCTAGTTGCTTGGCTTGACGGACCAGGTTTTGCGTCACTGTTTGAGGTTTCAACGTGCTCATGAGCTTCCCAAAGTCGCTCAGTTTCTTCAGCTTTCTCAAGAACCACTTGTCAATTCGAGTCATCTCCCAGATCTTGTCAACAGTGTAGCCAGAATGCATGGCATTGGCGATGGCAAAAAGGCGCTGATCCGACGGTGTTTGTAGCTCGTTGTCAATCGACATTAATGCGCTCGTGTCGTTGAATCCAAGATTGTGGAAATCAATAGATCTGATAGCCTTCTGGATAGCTTCTTCAAATGTCCTGCCAATACTCATGACTTCTCCAACACTCTTCATCGAGGAGCCCAGCTCTGTAGAGACTCGAGTAAACTTATTCAGATCCCATCTCGGTATCTTGACAACGACATAGTCCAAGGATGGTTCAAAGCATGCACAGGTGACC